CTACTACTATAACAATTAATTATACGTAATATTTATTTATTACATGAATTCAATTTAATTAGGCATCAGTTATGTAGCTACAACTATTTGATTACAATGGAACCCGCTTTCGGTCTTCTGCCAAAGCCCACAATGGGTATATATTCTTGTGGGCTGCATAGTGTAACATGCAATTTTTCATGAAAACTCCAGTAATTTCCTGCATATAAAAGTGAGATGGATCATATATTAGACAACTCCCCAATAAAATAAAAAAAATCAATCAATATTACATTATGGATTAGAGTGTATTGCCTACTTTAAACCATTTCTCTCTTTATACAGATTGATTTTGCATCTTAACAAATTCATTGTTTGATTTAGTTATATGAATTACCTGTTAAGGGAAATCACCATTTTGGGGGCTTGCAGTGTTCATGCGTACATTGTTTTCAAAATAGATCCCTCTGCCCAGGCTTCTTTGGATCATAATATGGCCGTGGTATGTTGTTTTCTGATATTTGATATTTGCCCAATTCAAGAACCAAAAGTAAAAACAGAAATTTATTATTTTTTACTAAACACACTTTATGTGTTTTACTTTCAAATTTCAAAAGTAGACACCAGTTTATTAAACACACTTCCTGTGTTTTGTTTTTAAATTTCAAAAGTAGCTAGCAGTTTACTAAACATAATTTTACTTTCTGTTTCATCTCAAATAAATCAAAATCAGGATTTTACTTTTTGAGAAAGCGAAAGTAAGAAAGTAAAAGCGTTAGTAAACGGGCCCTTGGCAAATTTGGAGCTTGGTCTTCATTTTTGTTCTTTTTACTTCAGGTTTTGTTTGTCTTTTTATGTTTTGCCTTTATTGCATCTTTACTGTCCCTAATGGATGTGTTGTGTAGTTGCCAGAATAAAAAAATAAAAAAAAAAATAGGAAGAAATCTGAGCAACTAATAAGAACGTGACAACTCAACCAACCTTTCTTTTATTTTTTACTTTGTTTAGCACCCAATGTTACACACTGTTCTTCGTCTTCCTTCCTCATACCCATCTTCATCAGTTTGCACCTAATTTGTTTGAAACATAGGTGGTGTTCATTCACTCAAATCTCTCTCTTCAGTCCGAATCATTCCACAACTGTTCCATCTCTCCTATATAATGACACACTCATCTCCACAGTCAACAGCAAACACCCGTTTTCCACTTCCCGCGTCAGCAGCGGCAAAATCTCTATCGGCATATTCAAATTCGCTATCAATGGTTACGAGTCAAGGACCAGAAAGGCAAATTGTACGTGTCGACGACCACGGCGGCCTTAGATGACGGTGATACCAGATTTTTTTAATAACTTCCCCAATTTGAAAAATTTCCAACTATCTTACAACAATCAAACTAGACCATTGCTGGCGTTTTTTGGGTCATCGAAGATTCAGAACCTATGGCTGAACAGTGAGGTGATGGGCTTGTCGGGGACGATCAGGGGCGGAGCCGATGTGTGGGGGCACATGCCCCTGGCCTCGCCTCGCCTCACTTATTATAAAATATAGTAATTTTTATTTTAATTTGTATATTTATAAAAAAATTTCTATATAATACACTTTAAATTTTAAAATAGTCTTCTAATTTTTTTTTTTTTCCTTTTTCTTTTGCTTTTAATATTTGTTTGATTTCCTTAAAAAAAAAAAAGTTTAATTTTCCTTCTTTACTCCAACTCTATATATATATATATTTTTCCCTTTCAAATTTCTCATTTTTCTTCCCTTTTTTTTTTCTTCTTCTTATTAATTTTTTTTGGCCCCCTACTTCTTAACATTCATCTTTTTACACCTAAAAATGATGTACATAGTATGTAATTTTATTATTATTATTATTTTTGTTCTTCTTATTTTTTTTTTACACTACGCCCCCTCTGAATAAAAATTCTGGCTCCGTCCCTGGGGGACAATTGACGTGTTGTCGACAATGACCCAACTCTCTCGAGTGTGGATACAACAAAATGGGTTCATGGGACCGATCCCAAATCTGTCTGTGTGCGAATCTCTTCGATTTGCAACTCAGGCTAATATATATATATATATATATATATATATATATATATATATGTATTCATAATTGTATATAACACATGCTTGTTGATAGGGGATGAATAAAGGGGTAATATGGTATTTTTGTATCAAAAGGGTGAAATGGCCATTTAGAAAAAAAAGTGGCATACACGCGCTTAATAACGGCCAAAATATTTCTGTAGGTGACCGGAGTGGGTTAATTGCAATCAAGTACCATAGTTTAAGGAGTTAATTTTATTTTTTTGTAGTTCAGGGGAGTTTATTGCATTTTAGCCCGTAATTCAGGGGTTTTTTTTTTTACACTTTACCAATTCTTTATTGTATTTTAGATTGATAAACAAGTCCTGAAGTGTCATTATGGTATATTAGATTGACAATTTGACAAACAAGTCCTAAAGTGCAGTCTTAAGTTACTACTAAAGATGGATTTTTAGAGGAAGATAAATTTTAGAAAATTTAATTTATTCATAAATTTAAGTTATATTAATTGAAATTTAAGCGCAAAAATAAATATACAATAAATGAAATAGCAACAAGAAATATTACTCCATATAAATTGAAGTTTCAAATGTGTGAATAGAAAATTAGACCAACTTCCCTGACATTTGCTTTAATTAGACCATCCTCCCCTATATTTTGAAGATGTACGTTGTCAGATTATTATCAAGTGATCGCGATGCAAGTGAAAGTGCTGAAATTACTATTTATCCCTTCCATTATTTAATTAGTTATTATTATTTTTTGTTCTTAACTTGTGGATTTGTAATGTTTCGTGGGGAGAGATTTGTATGTCTTAATACATAGATAGAGATTTGTATGTCTTAATACATAGATATATGTAACGTATTGATAGATGGATTAGAAAATTGTGATTGAATATGTTAGAAACTTGGAGGTAATAGGAATTGTATTGAATTGAAAAATACTGTAATTGAATGGCACCTAAAATCTTTTATATAGAGTGACAGGTGAATAGTTAGCCATATTGTGTGTTTTGTTAAACTGATCACATGTATAATATGAATAATGTAAATTTATTTTCAAACTCAAGATAAGTATAAAGAGTTTTGTGACTTAGATGTTCTTTAATTTTTATTTTTTAAAGTGGATAGTGAGGAGTTTAAATTCTTAAAGAAACAAAATAAATGTGTGAGTGGAATATATATTTTTTGTTAATAACCGAAAAAAATAAAAAACTTCAAGATAATATGCGTAGCTAACTTGAGTTTGTAAACAAGATCAGGAAAAAACATGCCCTAATGGAAGAGATTTAGTAGAATATAGCAGCAATATGAGCATGTGACTTTTAGGTGGTTGGATTGTCGATGTGGCAATAAGTGAAGCTAACATAGATTGCTATTGTGATAGTAGATCAGACATATGAGAGTGTGTAGCAAACGCACCAACAAATCAGTCACTCGTGTGTTCTGTAGATGGGTTTTCACATTTGATATAGATTGAACCGATTTTGTGAAGGGCTTAGCGGGGCAAATTCACCCCACTGAAATTTTTTTCTTTTGCTTTTTTAACCCACTAATTTTACTTGTTTGAATTATATACTTACAAATTTTTAAGTTTGTCTCCACTAAAATTAAATAAAAATTTCACTATTACCTCTACAATATTTTTTTTTTTATTTATAAAAATTGTCCCCTCTCACATACTTTTTCTGGGTTCGTCCCTGGATTGAGGCGTATGGCAGCGCGATGGTAGAGCAGTAAAGATTCAACAGGTTGAGGCACACGGAAGCACATGATTACTACTGAAAGCACATGAAAAGTGCGATAGTGGAACTGTGATGATTTGGTGCATTGAGGCCTATGAAAGTGCGTAAAGACCACTGGAGATGCGTGTTTAAAAACACTTTTATTTTAAAAAATTGCATTAATAAATGTTTTGTAATGATTAAAAGTGTTTTTTAATAGTTACCGAATTAAGTTTAGCAGAGTTTTTAAATGAGCTAGAATTTGAAACTTTTAAAACTGATATTGATTATTTTAAGTTTTATAAATATAACTATACGCATTCTTTAATAAAGTTGCTATTATCAAATATGCTACCATCCTATTAAAAGATATTATTATAAAATTAACAATAAAAATGTTAAAAATATATATATATTACTAAATAAATTAAAAAATAATTTTATTATAAAAAATACTTTATTATAATGTATTACAAAACATCTAACTTGTTTTTTACTAATCCCAAGTTTTTGACGGTTATTATTTCAACAACAACCCAGCTCTTAGCAGCATGCAAAAAAAACCCAACTCTTAGCAGCATGCAAAAAAGTATTTTGGCCACGTGGATGCATGAAACGACTAGTGACAAATAGGATAATAATTCTTTCCAGAAAATGAGAGGTGTTGCACATCCACCAATCATTGAATTAGATTCTCTTATTAATAATGATACCATATCAATAGTTTATAGGTGTGCAACACCTTTCCTTTTATAGAGAGGATCCTTATCTTGACGAATAACAGTAGAAACAACCCATGTTCTATGTAATGGGAATGGTATTGAATTGAGTAATAATTGAATATTAGCAAAGTCATTTATATAGATTAGGGATGTGGTAAGTAAGTGCTATAAAGGAAATTGGTAAAACTGTATTTAGTTTATATTGCATGACACTATATCCAGATAAATACATTATGGATAAATATGAATAATATGGAGTATACAATATAGTACATTGTGTGTATTTGGTAGTTTTTGTTTTGTTTTGCTTTTGTTTTTTCCTCATTTGTTTTTTTTTTGGAATTTTAAGCAAGTATTATAAATATAAGAAATGTGTACAGATGAGGGCCAACTCCTTATCTTTGTGAGTAATGCAATTTACCCCTGTTGCGTGAGTGTCCCAAATTTGAAATCCCCCATCTTTCTCGTTCATTTCCCCAAAAAAAAAAAAAAAAAAATCTTTTCATTTTCATTTCCCTTTTAAATCTATTTATTAATTATTATGGAGTAGAAAATAAAAGAACCTCTGCTCATTCGTTCGGTTATAAAACCCTGAGAATACACCGGGAGAGAGAGGCCGTGTTTGAGAGAGAGAGAGAGAGTGGAGATGGAGTCGAAACCAACAGAAACGAGCAGCTCAAAGATGTTTGGGGGATACAACAAGAGATACAAGCATTACAGTCCCACACTGGGCTGCTCCATGAATTTCCACATATACTTCCCTCCTCCTCCCTCTCCTTCCCACAAATTACCTGTAAGTCACTTAGCCATTTCTCATTTCATCCCTTATCTAAACCCCAACTCCAATAATAAAAAAATATTTCATTTTTATTTATAGGGTTTTGTTCTAATATTTATTTATTTTTCCCAAGGAGAGTTCTAACCCTAATTCATTTCCTAGGGTTTTATGTAATCATGCATATGTCACAATATGTTGGGTTGTATAAATATAAGATTGTATAATCCAACCGGCCATTAAACTTTCTGCAAGCTTTTAGTTAAATTCTCAAAATCAAGTGTCATTGTAGCTTTTTCTTTCATAATTCTTATTTAGGGTTCAGTCGGTTGATTTTCGTCCTTCTTTCTTCTTTTATTGTATCCTTTATTGTAGCCCTTCTTTTGTTTGATTCTTGAAGTATTGCCTCCAACAACTATGTTTTCTTTATTAATTTTGTTTTTTTACTTAATAAACAGAATATTGTTGTATAAATATTATCCAAACAGGTTCTTATTGTTGTTTTATTCTTGTTCTCGTTTTCAACAACTTTTTATTTTTTATTTTTTGTTGTTTTATATAAATATTGATGAGTACTTTAATTCTGTTAAAAAACAGCAAAAAAAACTTTTTAGACTTTCTTTTTATAATAAAATTGAGGTCTGTTATTGCTGTACATTTTTCTGTCCTCTTGTAATTAATTATTTATATGTAGATTTTCACCGATTATTGTCAAATTTCATACTCATAGATACAGTTTAATTTTGGTTCATATTTTGTGGCAACCATTAACGCAGGTACTCTACTGGCTCTCTGGCCTAACTTGCACTGATGAAAATTTCATAGCTAAGTCCGGTGCTCAGCGTGTTGCTTCGAGTGAGGGAATTGCTCTGGTTACTCCGGATACATCTCCAAGTAAGTCAGCATACCTTAAAATTAACTTGCAAATGCTGTTAATGGAAATCAATTTTCCCACGAGTCTTAGAGATCAATATATTTGCCAATGTTTTGCTTGTCCTTTGTTTTGCTATTTTATGTATGGCTTTGGTTAAACTAATTTGGTGCCTAGTCAAAGGACACCCTTCCTAATTTGGTTCAGACATCATTTATTTTTTTTGATAAATGGTTCAGACAGAATTTACCGAGTTTGAACGCAGCTCATATGGCCTGTTTATCTGATTTTAAGGTAGATCTCGAGCTCATTTTGAGCTGGAGCTCAAATTGATAAGGAAAGAATTGATTATAAATACAAGCAATCCCTAATAAACAAGTTATGTTTCATGAACTCATATACCATGTTTGCAAGCCTAAAAAGCTGAGTCATCGATTGTTTGGGCTTGGGCACATTTATTAGATGAGCTGAAAAAATGACCTCAACCACCCCCCCCCCCCCCCCCCCCCCCCCCCCCCAACACACACACGCACATATGGATCCAATGAATTCTCTACACAGTGGGGTAGCAGCTACCCATAAACCCCCTTTACCCTCCCACAAGAATCTAGAAGGGGGAATTCAATCCTAGATCTCTAGTACGGCTACCTAGAGTCTTTACCAGTATAGATAGCTGGCAGCCCAACATTTCAACTATGTAAACTATCATTCTGCTATCATAAATTGAGAGTATAACCAATATGTGGAGTTAGCAATTCAGATCCTGCTCCTCCATTTTCAGTATCTGACACCATATTTTTTCTGTCAGATTTGGAGATTTTGTCTCTTATTAAATTTCAAAAGTAAACTATTTGTAAGAAACTCATACTTTGGTGTAAAACATTCAGAAAACCTCATGTGAGACTTTTTTATTCAAATACGTAACACTTGATGTCCGTGAACATATAGCCTAAACTATCATTTCTTTTGTATTGAGATGGTTTTGGTGTTTCATATTGTTCAGATGCCATCGCATGGAAAATTTTCCCTTTTGAACTGCCTTGCTGCTGCAGAACTGACTATATCTTCTTTTAAATTTTTTATTATAGGAGGCCTGAACGTGGAAGGAGAGGCAGACAGCTGGGATTTTGGTGTAGGTAAATGACAGATAGGCATAAAATTTTCAGTATTATTGAGTAGTGGTGATTTTATTGCATCTCAAATGCCTTGGATTTGATTGGTTAGTTTGTGAGGGTCTTGATGCAATGGGTTTGATCCCAGTAAAGTTTCAGTTTCCTTAAGTAGTTACTCTATCCCACAACCACATTATGAATTATGATGCAATAGGATTAAGTATTCTTTTTACTCAGCTGCCTCAATTGGTTAATAAGGTGTCATAGTTATGCCATTATAATATTATTGAATGCGTGGCCATTGGTATTCCCTAAATACATGGAAATTTGGTGCTCTATTTAAGTTCTTACTGACACTGATAATAGAATTGAATCCCTAACCTCACCTTTGTCTTGTATATGCGATGTAAATACTTATCACTGTGCTACAATAGCTTGATGATGTTCTATTATACAAGAAATCATGATCCTCTAAAGATTTGTGTACCTTAATTTACTCACTAAATATAATAATATCTAAATGAATCTCTAAAACCTGCAACACACATTTTTCATAAGATTGAGATTTTTTTGTTTTTTTTTTATTTTATGTTATCATCTCGTCATGTTATATAAGTTAAAAAAAAAAAAAATAGTGCGTCTGTAGAGTGTTTTGCTTCCATTTCCACTTTCTTTGGAGTTTATTTTTCTTTTCTACTGTAGCACTAAGATTTATTGTACGTTTTCTCTTGCATATGGGACCAATGACTATAAAGTGATCCATGCACATTGAAGGCTCTTTCAAAAGAGATGCTTCCGCTTTAGGTTTGAAGGAATGCTTTAGATATTAAAAGAATGTTTCATCACTGGAAGAAAATGAAGTGGACATTTTCAGAATTAAATTGAATTATGATTAAACAACTAGAACTGAACCAAATGCCTCTTGTTTATTTTATATAAATAAAAGAAAACATTTATTGGTTCTCCAGCTACTGTGGGCCAGTTACCTGTTTTGGCTAGCTAAATTTTTTGGGATCCCATGTTCGTTAGATATGACTGAAGTCATATACTCATCGGGAACCTCTCTAAGCCCACCTTTCTTTTACATACCTTCATATACTTGGACGGATGACAACCTAATTCTTTCTTTTTCTTACATTCATATACTTTGATGGATGGCAACCTAATACTTTCTTTCACATACATTCAAGTTATAAGCATATTCCAGCTTACTTGTGTTGCATATAATAAGATAATGGAGTGTGATGACTAATAGGCACTGCCAGTGCCAGCTAGCAATGCATTATTGGTTACTGTGGTACTTGCTAATTGACTAATTGTTATTGAGTTTATGACTCATGTCTTTGTGGACTTCTATGAGTATTATATAGCAATCGATCCTAGAGAAGAGTATTACAAGGTAATATACATTTTGGCTCTCTAATTTCTATTTTGATGACTGCAAATTCTTGTGATAGCCTAATTTGAGCTGCCATACTTACCTTTGCAAATCTTGTCCAATTATTCTCACACATATCTTATGATGGATCTTGTCTCAACCATTTTGAAAAAGTAGACTAGTTGTTCGGATTGTTTAATAATTTTGAAAAAGTGGGATTTTTGTTGTATAAGAGGAGATTTATTTTTATACACATATCTTGCCAGAGTGAAGCTACATCAAGAGCAAGAAGTGGTAGGATATAAGAAAAATGCCTTTAAATAAATAGCTTACCTTGGATTGATAAAAACCTTATTCAGTAATTTTTTGTTTTACCAGATGACTTTGTGATTAAGTGGAAAAATGTATACACAATTATGCGACCTATATTGGTTCTTGTGATGCTATAAAACAGTTAGGTAAATAGAATTTGTAGTTCTCTTCAAGGTAAGTTGATTCATCTAGTTAACCATTACAGAACAATGTTTTTATTTTTATTATTTATAAACTTATAGGAGATTTTGCATCCATCTTTGAAATTTTAAAATGCATGCATTTATTCTAATATTCAAACATATTGCAGCCTACAAATGGCTGAATTGCTTTATAACTTGTTTGCTTGTGTCCACCCTGGGGGTTGTTTATATACGTAAAGGCTGTTGACTAACCAGATGCTGAGTTCTATGAATTTATAAATCAGGTGCTGGGTTTTATCTCAACGCTACACAGGAGAAGTGGAAGAACTGGAGGATGTATGACTATGTTGTCAAGGAATTGCCAAAACTTCTGACTGAAAACTTTCCACAGCTTGATCCATCACGTGCATCTATATTTGGTCATTCTATGGGTGGGCATGGAGCTCTGACAATCTACCTGAAAAACCTGGATAAGTACAAGGTACACGATGATAGTGTTGACGATAAGTTTTGACTCAATTTAGTCAGTTACATATATATGTGAAGTTTTCTCAATAAAATATTGCAGTATTGCAATGACAAATTACAAAATTTTTGAAATTTTAAAGATTTCACGAACTTTGCTAAATGAAAATTTGCAGTATTGGAAGGACAAATTATGAATATATGAAACTTTAAGATTTCATTTCTATCTTGTATAGTTTGACAACACGTCTTAACAGGAATTTTAAACCTTGCTGCATCTTGTTGTACAGTTTGAGCTCTATACCACCTTGAATGAATGGACCTATAATTACTTTGGTGCTTGTTATCTTTGCTCCTTATGGTTTTTTCTTTCTTTCCCGTCTTTCCAGTCAGTGTCAGCCTTTGCACCTATTGTCAATCCTATAAACTGTGCCTGGGGCCAGAAGGCTTTCACAAATTATTTGGGCGGAAATAAAGCTGATTGGGAGGTATGATCTTCGGTGGTGAAACTCCCTTTAATATAACATTCTTAAAGTGCTTTTGAGTGGAATGTTTATATGTGAATTGAATTGTGAACATGCAGGATTATGATGCCACTTGTCTGATATCAAAGTTCACTGATGTTTCTGCTACCATTCTAATTGATCAGGTAAAAGCTCCATGTTTTTCATTTGATGTGATTTAGTAAACTTGGATCTTCTCCATCTTGAAACTTGTAATGACAGAATAGATACCTCTTCTTATAAATTCCTATATTGTTCGGACTGCTGCTTAATTTTAAAATTTTATCCAAGATACTTATGGTTGTCATCCATTGTCAGTCGTATTGATGATTTTAAGATGATGAGTTAAGAACTATGACCTGGTTTATTTCCTTATAGGACACATTGTCATTGATGCTTTATGGAGAATTGGGGCAAAATTTCTCTTATGGCATCACTCGTTCTTGCTTTTATCTCATATGAATGGGGTTGGATGCATGAATTTTTATTTTTTGTTCTTTTTTATTGCAAGCAAAATTTCTTTATAGCATGAGAGTGAAAACTAACACCTTTTTATTAGCGCAAATTGATGAGAAAACCGTGGCACTATCTAATTGACAAAGATGTGTGAATAGATTGGCCACATGAATTGTTTTTTTTTTTTTTTCATTATTTTTTATTAAAAGCAAAAAAAAATTTATGGCATGAGAGTGAAAACTCACTCTTTGTTATTAGTACAAATTGATGAGATTTTTTTTTTGCATAATGATAGGGAGACCGATAAATTAATCTCGAATAATTATCGAATCTGACGTGTTTTTGTCCACCTTATCTGCTTAAACAGTTTCCAAAAATAATTGTTTAACACGTGATAAGAATGACCAACCACGTCAAATTCGATACTAATTCGGTGATTCTTTTTCGGTTCCCCTATCATCACTCTTTTTTTTTAGGACTGTCCATAGCAGATGAAAGGGATTCTGGAAACTTAGTCCAGAAACGGATGTACAAGTCGCTGCAAAAAATATATAGTATTTATTCCTAGAAGCATATTCTTTCTCCTCCATGAACTGCTCAGCAAAACGAATAACGGAGAGAATAAAGTACTTTTTATGCCTTCTAACCTAGCGCTGTGTTTATACAGGGAGAGGATGATAAGTTCTTGCATGATCAACAACTGCTGCCACACAAGTTTGAGGAGGCATGCAGGAAGGCCAATGTACCTCTCCTCTTGCGGTTGCAACCTGGTTATGACCACTCCTACTATTTCATTGCCACCTTCATTGATGACCACATCCTTCATCATTCACAAGCTCTTAAGCTATAATTCCATGAAGCTCGGGCTTTTGAGAATTTCCGACCCTTCTGCTGAACTGCGGACTGCTATGTTTTCTGTGGAAAGATGCATCAAGAATATCTGAACTAGTAGTTGGTTGAGATAAATAATGTTAAAAACATATAGGATGGTTGTGTTGCTGTTCAATCGTTATTATTATAATGAAAGCCGTAGAGGCTGTGTTGGAGTTGTTTCTACTACAAACAACTATTTTTAAGAGTGATATGTATTGTTCTTGTCGGAGTCAATCCTATTCGTAGTAACAATAAGCACATTCTACAGTTCAGTGGATGGATATCGATTTATTATTATATTAAGAGATATTGCAAGTATATATTGGATTTGACCCGAGAGTTTATATGGTGGGATTGCAAAGTCAGCTGTATCATGAGAAGTATACTTTTAGATGAGAAATCAAAGCAGGCATTGTTATTCAACTCGCGCTGGATACAAGTAGCCATGTGGGATGTGATGGGGCGCCCGCAGACGCGTTGCCGACGGTTGCGGGTCATAGCTGTTTGCACGATTTTGCATAGCGATTTCATTTTTCACTCCAAAAGTTTTGCTTCGATTCGGCTATTTTGCTTTAAGCACATTCAAAACTTATTTAGTCCCATTGATCCAACCAGACCTCAATTTATTTGAATGAGATCAGAATATTAATAGCTCTATCATTGAAGTCAAAACATTTCAAAATTAAAGTTGGTGAGGCTTAAGGTTCGACTTCTTTAAGAGCAAACAATTATTTGAGGTTTACGTGTGGGGTGAAAAGTCTAATTTTACCGTGTGTGGGATAAAGTCAAGGGTTTCCGTTTGTTGAAAAAAATAAGTTTTATCCGACTTTGTGGCATTGATTAAGCCCCATTCCTAACACTATTCCACGCGTTTGGAGCTCAAAAGTAGTGAAAACCTAAAAGTGTAGTGTCCCTCGCTATTTCCAAGCACTACCGTATTAAAAGCACAAATCGGATGAGATCATGGTAATAAGCAAGTGGTATTGATTCGTACTTATAAATGATCCTTTTCATAAAGTTTCTATTACTCCATTACTGTTATGTAACCTCATCTGGTTAGAATTGTAAATTCAAAATTGTGGTCTTATAACTTTGCTTTCTTCTTGATGCATTCTCAGTTTCTAGTCTATTTATTCTTTTTTTCTTTTTTCATTTTTTTACCCTAGTAGTTAAAAGATGGGTGCAAATTATGAAGCATCACTACGCTAACAAAAAATGGACATAATCTAAAATCCACCTATTATTATTCTTCTAAAGTTTGGAAAGATATTAAAAAGGAGAGATACTACCAAAAAAATATTATAATAAATAAATAAATAAGGTGACTTTAAGATGTGTTCAAATTTGTTTCATTTGCGAAGGACAAAAAAAAAAAAAAAAAAAAAAAAAAAAGGAAGAAAAGAGTTGGCATAGTTCATACTGAAAATTTGTTTACAATGTGTAATATAAATGAAAAAAATACGCAGTGATATATTCCACCCTCAAGAAAAAAAAATTAAATAAATAAACACGAAATAAAACTAATTTCGTCAAGCATGGCAATTTTGTGATATCACCCAATTATCAGGGTAAATTCCAACTGGAGCCACTATAAAGCTAAATGATAATCTGCACCGTAAAGGGTTATCTTTTTTTTCTCTCTCTCTAAGAAATATCTCTCTTATAATGTCTGGATACCCATACAATCCACAAGGATACGGTTACGGCCCGCCGTCGGGCCAACAACCCTACTCCTCCGCTCCTCCGTCGAGCCAACAGCCCTACTCCTCCGCCCCTCCGCCGGGCCAACAGCCCTATGCACCCGTGGCCGTACCCTACGGCGCCCCATCAGCACCTTACGCACCCACTGGCCCGGGTGATCACAAACCCCCCAAGGACAAACCCTACGGCGCTGCCCCACAGTCATCTTCCGGCTACCCACAGTCCTCTTCCGGCTACCCACAACAGTCCTCTTCCGGATACCCGCAACAGTCCTCTTCCGGATACCCACAACAGTCCTCTTCCGGATACCCACAGTCTGCGCCACCACACGCTTCCGGTTACCCACCGTCCACGGCGTCGTACGGGAGCCCCTTCGCATCTCTGGTGCCATCGGCGTTCCCCCCTGGCACGGATCCCAACGTTGTGGCCTGTTTTCAGTTAGCGGATCAAGATGGTAGCGGATTCATCGATGATAAGGAGTTGCAGAAAGCACTTTCTTCTTATAATCAAAGCTTTAGTTTGAGAACTGTTCATCTTCTCATGTATCTCTTCACCAATACCAACGCTAGAAAGATCGGTAAGCGTTTCAATCTCTCTACCTATTTATTTATTTGTGCGTGTATATATATATATGTAGATATGAATTTTCAATTAATTGATAGCACTCTAGGTTAGCAACAATATTGAAATTAAGTGATAATTTTTTTTAGCTATGCACAATATTGAAATTAAGGGCTGCAAACTTATTTCTATTAATCTATTCTCTGTAAATCTCGAGTGCTCAAGTTAGCAATTGTGTGTCGAGACGTCCGGTGGTGAAATTCACCTATGGTTTCTTATTTCCGCCGGTGTGCCGGAGAGAAAGAAAGCTGGATCATGGATGTGGTAACGCAAACTGAACATACGGCAATTGCTTTGATTTTAAATTGCGCCGGGGAGATGTAAACCACCGGCGCAAAGTAGAATTTAGGCGTCGGTCCTTCCTGGGTAAATTCTTCTTGAGTTGGGCCAGTAATTAGAATGACTATTGTACCCCTGGCCTACTTTGATTTTAATGTACTTGTTGTCACGCGGTTTATAACATTCCACTGAATTAGACTATTTTACCCCTGATCCACTTTTATTTTCATGTTTTTTGTCACGCGTTTGATTTAATCATTCCCTGAAGCGGGACCCAAACGTCATGTTATAAAGGCTGGCTTGATGCATTCAGTTCAATAATCAGTATCCTTCTGTATACTGAATAATGTGCCAAATGAGCCTCAGCTTTACCCAATAATGCCCTTTTGCTCTCTATTTCTGATTCAATTATTCAGGATATAGTAGTAATTTGAGCCTGACGGGAATACAAGTGTGGTTGGTTGCCTAATACCTACCATATTACCATCACGGGGTTGATTGCATTAAACATCCTGATCTATGACCTGACCGATTGCAAGAAACCCTGAAGTAAGTAAAACCCCTTAAACAACAATTATTTTTGTTGCATTTAGTGACAAACCAAGGAGAAAAAAGGAAATTACTTTGACGACCTGTTGTTAGGTGTTTGTTGTGAGTCGATGAAGATGGATACAAACCTGAAACTCGCCGGAGTTGGGACGCTGCTCACCGGCAACTGAGCTGGGTCGTGGCTGCACGTGAGACCTGCAAGTGGTGTGAGTTGTGTGGCTTCCTGGAGTAAGTAGCTGCAGATCGGACTCGGATGCTGACGAGAGAGATTTAGCTAGTCCACTTCCGATCCGGCGGAGACCAGCAGTATCGAATGAATCTACCCACCGATGAATTAAGACCCAGTTATCGACGACGGGTTGTGATTGTAGAATCCATGGCCCTGATTGAGGAAGCCATGTCGATTGGTCGTCAAATCGGAGGGAGATGGAGAGTTGCACCGGATATAATCAGGAAGAGAGTGGTTCCTTATTTTCGGTTTGTGCGCCCATTATGTATATGACCGTCACCGCACAATATTGTCTTTAATCTCTGTGTTGAAGAAGATGAACAGTGACAAATGGGCATAAGGCTGTGTTTGCATAAGGTAAAGCTCTACTACAAATGAAATAGTTTAGGGGGTTAAAAGTCATTTGGATAGTTTAGGGAGAGAGAAGAAAGCTCATGGGGTTTAATGCAATTAACCCCATTACCATTAATATGTTAATGGCGATCGATTTAAAAATTAGATTTTTAATCATCCATTAGGTAAATTTATATTTCTTAACGTCATGATGTCACTTTGAATCTAACTTCGACATTTTAGTCAGCTCATTTAACTTAACTATCATATTGAGTAGTAGTTGATTTGTTTATTTATATATACTTTAAGAAAGCATTTTTTTTTTCCAATAATGGTGATGTGTCCCAGCCTGCTTGGATACTTTCTCTACTTCCCTTATAGCTACGTTCTATTGAGCTGCTAAATCATATGAATAGACTAAATTGTCCTTGGATTCTACCTATGCAATTACTGATGTCGCTGCTGGGTAAATTTTATGAAACAGGACCGAAGGAATTTACTGCAGTGTTCTACAGTCTCCAAAACTGGAGGGTAAGCATTCTTGGACCTGTAATTATTTTACCTTGCCTTTGGAGATGTTCCGCATATACTTTATGCACTACAAGTATCAAAGTATTGGTAACAGTGCAACTTTGTCAATTATAAAGGAATTTCTTTAACTTGATAACTTGACATTGCTTACCAATTGGGAGATCTCATTTATAGGAGTCCATTCCTATATTTGTGTGCCTAATTCTACCTTGCATGTGGATTAGCTTAATTTTGCCATATCATCAAATGTAAAGAAAATTTTTTTTAGCAAAGTGATTTTAAAACCAAAAGAGTTGACAGAAGAGAAGAGCACAGTGGTATGTATATGTTCAGTTCACTGTTTTGGTCATTAATTATATCATCACACTGTGGATCTCTTCTTTAGAGGCGAGGATCCCATTTCACTATTTGTGAATTGTAGTAATTTTTTTTTTTTAACATTCGTGTGTGTTTGTATAGGCAATATTTGAGAGATTTGACAGAGATAGGAGCGGGAAAATTGATCCTTCGGAGCCGCGGGAGGCACTGCTGAGCTTGGGATTTGCGGTGTCTCCAACAGTGCTGGATTTACTGGTTTCCAAGTTTGACAAGAGCGGTGGAAAGAACAGAGCCATTGAATATGACAATTTCATAGAGTGCTGTCTCAGTGTGAAGGGATTAACGGAGAAATTCAAGGAGAAGGACAATGGGTTCACGGGGTCGGCAACGTTCACCTATGAAGCTTTCATGCTCAGTGTTCTGCCATTCCTTATTGCTTAGGATGTACTGCCACTTAGTGATAAACCCGTTCTCTTTGAAGTAATTTGGTTTGTACCAAATTCGTATTCTTCTTGTGCTGTGTTCTTGTAATGACTTGTTGGCTTTAAACTTGTTTGTTTGATGCTTTTACCGTATACCATCTTTTTGCTTCGTGAGTTTCATTTTGCGTGATGACTCCTGGTTGGTTTGAATTTGGTTCTGACAACTGCACAAAGTACCCCTCCTCTCTCTCTCTCTCTCTCTCTCTCTATCTAAGTACTTAAGCGTATTAATAATGTAATTAGTACTAATATAATAGGAATGCACTTGGCAGGCTTATATCTAACCATACTTGTAAAAGTTATTACATAATGTGATTGTAAAAACAAAAATTCATAATATTTAATTTTAGAATATATAAGGACCTAAATGTTGAAAAAACATCCCTCTGTAACTACATAAAAAATAATAATAATAAAAAAAAGAGGGGTAAAAAAATTGATTAAATGTGACATAACTAAACTGTCCTTCTTTATATATACCATTTAATTTTGGTACAAACAAGAACATGAATATTGAAAATACTAAAATATCCCTCTATAACTGAATAAAAAATAAGTAAAAAAAATTAATTAAACGTGACAAGTGTATATATATATACATAAGGACATTATTGGAAGAGAATGGTATTTTAAAAATTGTATATCTTAAAAATGTCATATGTAATGCACATAAATAAATTTTTAATGAAAAAATGACATCAAACCTGTTTTTTGCTACATTTTTTCAAACTTAACAGACGTATATACTCAAAATACTCAAAATAAAGGATGTAAGTGTTATTTGCCTAAAATGTAAACATTAGGGGTGTTTTTCTCAATTTGCCATTATAAGGGTATTATAGGAAGAGAGAAGGGTATTTTTGGAATTTTATATCTTAACAGTGACTTCAAGCCCTTTTTTGCTCCTCTTTTAAACTTAACGGACTTATATACACAACATAAGGGGTGTTATTTGCTCAAAATTAAAACATTAATGGTGTTTTTCTCACCTTTAAGTTATATAATTAATCTTTTTTGAATTTGGGCTTGGGTCATCATGGGCCTAAATCCCATGCCTAGCCCAACCCAACAAATAGTCTTGGGCTGGACAGAGCACCCCAATGGGTTTTGATCAGCAGGCTATTTGGTGATATTTTTTTTCGATTTTTTTTGGGGTGATCTTGCGAACTCTATTGTTATTTTAATAAACCAAATCCCAATTATTGCATCAACGGACTATTTGGTGAGCTATGCACAAAAGGGCTGCAACTTGGGTGGGCCAACCCAGCCCAGCCCAACCCAAACCCAGAGATTTTGAAATTTGGACACATAATTCACAAATCGGGTTTATGTTCGAGTTGTGTTTTGTCAAAACCCAGACATATTCGGGCTGGGCTCGGGCTCAGCCCGAATCCCGAAAAAAAAAAAAAAAAATTCTCTTTCTTCTTTCTCTTTCTTTTTCTCTCGTTGCCCATGCATACAATTTAGCAGTCAGCGTTGAAGCTTGCGATGGAAAGAGAGAGAGAGAGAGATCTAGGTTTTGATTTTTCTGAACAATCTTAGAGAGCCTGCGATGGGAAGAGAGAGAGAAATATCTGAAGCTTGCGATGGAAAGAGAGAGAGATAGCGGCTGAAGCTTGCAATGGAAAGAGAGAGAGAGAAAGACAGTGGCTGAAGCTTGCGAACTCGAACTGGAACAACAGGCGATGGAAACTGAAAGATCTGGGTTTTGATTTTTTTGAACAATCTTAAATGATATGTCGATCTGGGTTTTGATTTTTTTAACAACCTGAAATGATATGCCGATATGGGTTTTGAACTTTTGATTCTTGCAGACAGATAGATAAAACTGAAATATATGGGTTTTGAACTTCTGATTCTTGTAGATTTTGTAGTTTGCAGTTGGAAAGAGAGAGAGAAGGGGGGGGGGGGGAGTTCCGAGAGAATAAAGATAGGGGCGATAGGGGAGGCTGGAATGATTTGCCCTAAACATATATATATATATATTTTTATAATAATATAATCAAATATTTTATATATATATATATAATATAATATAAATTTTCAAAAAAATAAAAATAAAAATAAAAAACTCAACCCGTTAATCCGACCCAACTCGCCAAAAAATATTCGGTCCGAGTTTTGACCATAAACCATGTTAAGTACAATTCGGGTTGGCCCAACCCAACCCGATTCGGGTTGAGGTTAGGTTGGGATTGGGCTGGGTTGGGTCAGCCCAAGTTGCAGCCCTATGCACAAATGCATATGTTTGAACCACTAATGTCGAAGAGATACAACCAAATGTTTTTTTTGGATGAGTTCAAAGGAAATCCATCTCAATTTGATGAGATTGGTTTAACCCTTATTTTAGACATTAAATTTTGAAAAAGTGGGGTTGATTCTACTTGACAAGACATAATTTTTATTATTATAATTTTCTTTAAATTTAAATATATATATTTTTATAACATTATCAGTTTAATTTTATTTCGTTGAACTTATAAAAAAAATAAAGAGAAATGATAGGCCTTTCGTTTTCAATTGTCGACTCATCCTTCGAATATAATATGGTTGGATCACGTTGGAATTCTTAAAATAAAATTTCGTAAACATCTATTTTTTTCGACTCATTCTCAACTACGTTATATTCAGAAAATGAGTTGACAATTGAGATTGAAAGACCTACCACTCCTCAAAAATAAAACCTTCATCTCAATCATGTTCTTGGTTGTGCTCGGAATTCGCATAGATGGGCTTTGAACAGCCACTTCGGGCCTAAACCTTCTCATGCTGACATCTGTGCTAAAGCCTTTGTAGTTTTGATGGGCCCCAATAATGGGTAGATGTAGGCTGTTGGTGAGTATTTGGACGGTCCAGATCTTTTGGCTACCCATGGACATTATTATATTCGTGACCCAGCCCCTCATTAAGCGTGTAGCGTGTTGCGCTACCAAGACAAATTAATCAACGTTCCATACGCCCACATGCCAGTATAACTTTTTTAAACTTTTATTTTTAACACAAGTTTAACAGGGCGGATAGCAGCAGAAAAATCTTTGCCCGTTACATATGAATGCATACATCACCTTTGATTTATCCTTTGATAGTAAATCAATCAACCCAGAAAAGAACAATCACATTTACTCGCTCCTTTATTAGAGAGAGGGGAGGAGAGACAGAAATCTGACTTTCTGTTTCTTCGAAACCAAGCAAAAGCAAAGAAAGCGAAATAGTGCTAAACAAACAGCCAAATAAAAACCCTAATCCAACCTCAAACCCTAATCCTCCGGCACCGACGCGCTGGTATTCTGACACTTACGTAGCCGTCGGGCCCTGTTTCATTTCATGGCCTCTTCCACAACAATGTCCTCTTCGGTTGTGGATTTCGGGTGTTCAATCACTTCCCCCAACCAGATGCAATCCAAACAACAGCCACACTCTATTCAAAACCCTAGCCCAAACACTCACAAACCAAATTTCGATTTCACCTCTTTTTCATCCAACACCAACACTTCGTCAGACCAAAGCCAAAGTTCGTCACACGCTGATTCAAAGACTACGAGTAGTTCCAATCTTGGTAAGGCAAGTGAAGGTGGCTTCAATTCCAACCTTCATTCGCCGTTCGCTTCGGGAATGAGTTCAGAGAAGTCCAATTTTTCAGGTCGATCGAAGCCCAGGCTCGTGAAGTTGAGGAGACATTCAGGTTCTCAACATGGGAGGTCAACAACAGTGCCTCCACAAAATGATTCGGGTTTCAATCCGTTTCGGTCAGTGTCTGAGAGTTCCGATCGAGTTAAAGACGCTACTATCACATCCAATGGGTTCGGTGCTTCAATTGTTGATGTCAAGATCGGAGCCAATAATGGTAACTCTGTGTCGAATTCAAATTCGGAACATAGAGAGTCTAGTGGAAGTGCGCCACAATCGAATGCTTCTGAGATTGGTAAGTTCGAAAACGTGGGTTTTGTCTTTGATTCTAATAGGAATACTTTGTTGACGAATTTGAATTTGGAGAATAGTCAGTCTGAAAGTACGGGACAATCTGGTGCTAATGTAGATTTTGTGTTTGGTGCCATGAAGAGTGATTCGGTCCCAAATTCAAAGTCTCAACAGAGAGAATCTAATGTAAGCATGGATTTTTTGGGCGCTGTCGGGTCTGGGAAATTTAATAACGCGGATTTCGCGTTTGGTGTCAATAATAAAGATTTGGATTCGAATTCGAAGTCAGAACAGTTTGCTAAAAAATCAGAAGAAAGAGATGCCGGTGAAGGTTCTAGAAAACTGTCAGCTTGTGAGTTTGGGATATCTGATATCAAGTCAAACTTGAATTCTGAATCAGAAGAGAGTGGATTTGTGTTTGATTTCAAATTAGACAGTTCAACATCAAGTTTGAAGTTGGAAACAATAGAATCAAGTGAAAATGTGGAAAAAAATGACGGTTTAAGGGGCAAGAGGAAAGAAGAGAATAAAACAGAGTTCAGAAAACTCGATAAGGGGGGTTTTGTGTTTGATACTAATCATAGAGATTCCAAAAATAAAGAATCCAGTGAAAATTTTGGATTACTGGCCTCTGATATGAGGGGGGAGATGAAATTAGATTCCGAAGCAGATTCTGGGAATTTAAATAATGTGGGATATGTTTTTGGCCAAGAATGGACTGACCTAGGGCCAAATTTAAACTCGGAAAATAGTAAAGCCGGTAAAAATGTGCGAAAATCAGTTTCTATTGACAGGCTGAAGATGGAATCTGGAGAAAAGTTGGGGAAGTTTGACAATGGTGGTTCTGTATTTGGTGCTTATCAGAGTGCTTCAGCACCACACTCAGATTTGCACAATAGTGAATTCAGCAAAAATGTTGGGAAACCAGTATTTGAGGATAGGGGTCACAAGATTGTAAATATTGAAACAGGGTTTCAGGAAACAACACCTGAAGGTGTTTTCATATCAGGAAATAACAGTGAGAAAAATTCCAGTTTCAGTGGTCGTATTAAGTTCTGTGACGACACAAACAAGGTAAATGGTGATGACTCTGGATATTACACGGGCTTTGCGAAGGTTCGCAATTCAGATGTTAATAATCGTTGTTCCATTTTTGGAGGTGGTATTGGTACAGCTAGTGCTTCTGGTGCATGTGCAAGCCCAGTACTTATACTCACAGATGAGATGAAGAATTTGAAAATTGTTGATCATGAAAAGGTTGGTGATTCCGACATAAGTAAAGATTCTAATGTCAACTCTTGTGCCAATAATAATTTTTTATTTGTATTTGGAAGTAACAAAAAGGTTTCTGGTTCTTCTACCAGTAGCTCAGGAACTGCTTCCAGTCATCAGATCAAAAATTCAAATTCAGAAGGTCATGGGAGTGGCAGTACCTTTGAGAAGTCTGAAAAACATGAGCTTGAAACTGGTGACCTGAATTCCTTTGTATTTACAAATGTTAATGATGCTTATTCTTTAGGTGGAGGTTTGGAAAATTTGGAGTTAAACGGAAAAGAGAATAAAAACACCAGAAATTCAATGGGAGCTACCGATGAAGAAATAAATTTGGGGTCCCCTTCCCAAAAGGAAAAGCAACCAATAAATGTTAATGAGAAGAGCTCCGATGACCCTTCTATAGGTGTCTCTACTCCTAAATCATTTATTTTTCACGCAAGGTCAGCTAAGAGTTTTGATGGGCCTCGAGATCAAAAGAATGATGATGTCAAACTGAATAAAGCCTCCTCCCAGTCTTCATTTTCTTCAAGTGGCCTTGCTTTTGAAGCACCTTCTACAGCTGAAGTAGAAGATGGGAACAAGTTCAGTTTTTCAAGCACGCTAAACTTTAGAAAACCAAATCTGGATGTGCCTTGTTCATTTACATTGAATCTGTTTCCTGGGTTAGATAAGACTATGGAATCCAATGCAAAGAGTAGATCAACCAGGGACAAGGGATTGAAGAAGACAAGGGCGAAGTTGAGGCTGGCTAGTCTACTTCAGGAGCAGTCTAGGCAAGATCAAATGTCAAAAGAAGGCATTTCCCAGCATATACCAGAGTCTCCTGGACTTTATTCACCCATGGATTTTTCTCCATATCAAGATAATAACTGTGCACCTTCTGCTGGGACCTCTACAATTTCTACTCATTCAAAGGATGAAGATTTGGTTGCTACACGAGAAGGAGATGATATCAAGGAAGCTGACAGCAAATATAGAAAGCCAAATGAGAATGGTTCCATGAGTCACGGTGAAAGTAGTTGTGTTGCTGATTATCTGTCAGAAAAGTTTGTTTCTAGAGTTGACACTGAATGCAGTAATGCCAAAATTGAGCAGGTCAGCATCAACGGCAGTGCTGGTGCTGTGGAAGATAAAGCTGGTGTGTGTTCAAATATTAAGAGTGAAGAAAGTGATTGTAGAAAACAGTACCGTTTTGCTTCAAGTTCCGAAGATACAGGTAAAAGAGATTTTACCTTTTCGGCAATCTCTCCAAAAGCTAATGTATCAGCAGTAAAGCGTCAAAACAAAAAGAAATATAGGATTAAAGTTGGTCGAGTTTCTAATTCTACTACTCCAAGTCAAAAACTTGAGTTTTCATCTTCCTCGGTCCAATTTTCGCCCCTTTCGTGCACTTCTTCTCGGCTCAATGCGGCACAGGATAAAAAGGAAGAAAAATTTGAATTCCAGAGCAAAAGGGAGAATAAATTTAAAGCATTTGAAGAGCTTGTCAAGCAAGCGCCTGCCACTGCTGCAGCTCAGGATGCATGTGAGAAGTGGAGAATCAGGTGCTTCTTGCATTATAGTAGTTCATTGGCTTCTGAACTTCCTTTGTCTTTCAAACTTTTCAATTAAAGAGTAGTCTTAAATACTTCATCTGTAGTAGGTTGCATCTACCTAAATGGTTTTATTTCTATGAGATATGATCATCATATCTTTCACTTTGGGCATTGTCAATCTTTTACTCTTTACTGAAGGGATTTGATTTTTTATCAGGGGAAATCAAGCTTATAAGAATGGATATTTGTCCAAAGCTGAGGACTTTTACACAAAGGGTGTAAATTGTGTCCCTCATAATGAGGCATCAGGATGCTGCCTTGAGCCTCTTGTGCTGTGTTATAGCAATCGTGCTGCTACAAGGATGTCTCTTGGGAGGATGAGGGAAGCCCTACGTGACTGTCTGGTGGCTGCTGAGCTAGATCCTAACTTTCTCAAAGTTCAAATTAGAGCTGCAAAGTAAGGCTTTCTTCGTGCACACTCATATTTCGTGTATGCAAAATACCTGTTGGTCACTTTGTTAGAATTTACAATTTTTTTTGTTTGAATAAGTTCAGGCAAACACGCGCACACACTCAACCTCACCTTTGAGAGCTTATACCAGAATTTATATATTTTGTTTAACGTATTATAAAAATTGGTTTTTTAGCTTTTAGTAATAGAAAATGAATTTGTTTTCCAAGTGTATTCACTCTGTACTGGCCAATTTGGATATTCTATGGTCATGCATTTTATTGATCACGGAACTACTTTTCATCTCTCTCTCTCTCTTCTTTTTTCCCCATAAGAAGTTGGTGTTTAAATTTCCAATGGTGGATGTTGGATATTTATATTCAATCACTGCTTGGATTGATTTTTGAGATGCTGCAATTTGAGGGGATCATATGTAGATCATTGATGATCTTTTTATTTATTTTTAGTTGTCATCTTGCCCTGGGGGAAGTCGAAGATGCGCTGCAATATTTCAGAAAGTGCTTGGAATCAAAGAGTGGTGTATGTTTGGATCGGAGAATTATGATTGAAGCTGCTGATGGCATACAAAAGGCTCAGGTAAATGGAGTACAAGTATATAGATTTCTATGCTTTATAGTTCTCTTAGTGCACAAATTATTATATGCTGGTAGGTTTTTTTTTTTTTTTTCTTTTTTTTTTTCTTTCTTCTGAGTCTTATTTCTGATAGTTGTGCGAATATGGAGATTTGTTTTTTTTTTTTGGTTAGTTAAGGACAAGGCAAGTTCTACAATATTCCATTTACTGTAAATAATCATAATAATAATAATAATAATAAAAGATCTACAATAGTTCAATCTTTGTGGTCAAGTTTGATTGATTAGAATGATAGAAATTACTAAATCTTTCTCATCTTCAGTGATTTTTATAATTTTCTTATGGATGGAAATATTTGATGCTTATGTTGATTTTCTACTCTCTCTATCAGTTTATTCTCTTGTTTAAGAGTATAGAGAATCAGTTCGTGGAGGCTGCCAAGATTCAAGCCCTAGGTCTACAAAAAAAAATTGAATATTGCTTTGCATAATTGGGTGATTTCTCAGTTTTTCTGATTAAAATGCATTTTCTTCTTGAAATTGCTAGCTGTTTCTCATCTTCAGGGATTTAAAGTTATCTTATGAGTGGAAATGTGTGATGCTTTGTGGATTTTCTGCTCTATTTATTAGTCTATCTTTCTGGATTTAGAATATAGGTAACTAGCGTTTTTGAAGGTGCCAAGTTTCAAACCCTATGGTCTACAATTTTTTTTTTTGTATATTGCCTTGCATAATTGGGTGATTTCCTGACTGGCAGAAAGTGGCGGAGTGTACAAATCGTTGTGCTGAACTTTTGCTACAGAGATCTTACGATGCTGCAACTAGTGCATTAGGCATAATTGCGGAGGCCTTATCGTTAAGCACTTACTCAGAGAAATTACTTGAAATGAAAGGAGAGGCTTTTTTCATGGTATGTACTATTCATGACTCCTTTTAGATGACTTAATTGAAGTCATAAAAGTCGATGAAGGAACTCCTTAAAATTTTATATACACTGCTGTAATTATGTTCTTAGCATTGGCTGTATTTTTGGTGGCATCTAGCAGCTGCGGAAGTATGAAGAGGTGATTCAACTGTGCGAGCAGACTCTTGATTTTGCTGAAAAGAATTTTTCTGTGTTAGTTGCTGATAACAATTCAGCAGAGGCAGATGTTTCCAAATTCAAAAACTCATTTGTAAGGCTGTGGAGGTGGCATTTGATGTCCAAATCCTACTTCCATCTGGGAAGGCTTGAGGTGGCTCTTGATTTACTTGAGAAACAAGAACTGTGGACATCTGGCAGTGACAAGTAATACATATTTTTCATGTACATTACAAATAGGATATTTCCTCCTTTAAACAATTTTGCTGATACTAATTTAATGTTCTTGTTTAGGTATGGAAGCATGCCTCAGGGATCATCAACTTTATTAGCTGTCAACGTACGTGAACTTTTACACCGCAAGGTATGCAGTTTGTTGTTTTCAAGTTCATTTCCTTGGATGTTGGAACCTTAGCTGTACAATGTTTAGTTGGGTGACTTGTTTATCCTTCCCATGGTAATGTGTAGCATTACTACTTTATCTGTCACCCATGTATTTTTGAAAAGTTATCATACTCAATGAAACTGATGAAAGACAGCGATCTATGTGGTAAGAGAACTGCGTTTTCTGGAAGTTGTTATCATAATTGCAAACTGAACACTAATGAACACAAACTTTCATAATATCTATTTTTTTTTCCCTTAAAAAGTGTACGGTAATAGTTTTATCATGCTGCAAATCGATGGTTCTTCCAAGAATATATAATAAATAAAGTTCTTAATAATTTTGGACTTGGTTCTCATTTTGTAGTTGTATCTTTGCTGGTTTCATTTCAACATGTGTGGTGCAGGATAATCTGAAATTACAGCCATCTAATGAAGAATTTGGACTAGAGATTTTGTGGAATAGATCAAAGATGGTTGAGAACAAACTACTGTAGAATTTTGGGTATGCTATTTTAATGGTTTAAAGTGTGATTGAATTAAAAAGCCTGTAAGAGAGAAAAAAATATATATATATATATATACTCTTACAGACTTATCAAATATATTTATATATTTGATAAGTGGAAGAGAAAGGAGAGAGTAAGAAGGTGAAAGAAACAGAGCAATCAGAATCTCTCTTTCTCTCTCTCTTGAAAAACCCTAAGAATGCAACTCTTAGTTTGATATTCATCAAATCTAAGTATTAAATAGACTCTAAGATAGTAAGACAAACAAATCCTAGGAGAGAGAACCTTTAGTATGGTAACAGTAAAATCCAAAATGACTAAAAAATTTAGAAGAAAAGGTGAAGAAGAATAATGAGTCTAGCCTTTCTATTTTGCAAAATTGTATGATTTAACCAGGCTAACCTCTTGGATGTCTTTTCAACAATTGGTTCGCATAAATCCTCAATTAAGGGATTGCTTAAGCCGAGATCTGCCATGCACCCAAGAGTTGGATTTTTTTATTTTTTAATATTGAAGTATCATTATAAAGCACCTAAGGGGATGCACCATGTACAATTGACTTATACAAAAGTAAGCTATATAAGGTTATACCCTCATGTCTTCCAAAAACTCTACAAAAAGAATCAATTAAGGAAGAAGAATTTCCAGTAACTTGGGCGGGTGGGACCCTGGGGGTAGAGGGGAAAGAAAAAGAACCCCCACCCCCCCCGGCGCCGCGGGCGTCATTTAAGTAAATTTATCCCTCTTAATGTTTTATGATATGTTGTTTTTTTCTGGATTGAACATACATTTGTTTCTCCTATCGTCTCAACTCCAGAATGCAGGGAATGAAGCTTTTCAGTCTGCAAGGCATACAGAAGCAGTCGATCATTACACTGCTGCTATATCAAGCAGTTTTGAATCACGTCCTTTTGCAGCTATCTGTTTTTGCAACCGTGCAGCTGCACATCAAGCTTTGGGGCAACTTGCTGATGCCATAGCAGATTGCAGTCTAGCCATAGCTCTTAACGGAAAATACCCAAAGGTTTTGCATTTAACGAGCATATTACGTGGCTTACTTAGTCTGATTTTTTTTTTTTTGGAAGAGCTTGCGAATCTTTATTGTTCTTTCTGCTTTAATTTATTTTCGAATGATGCAAAAATAAGTCATGGATCTCATCCTATTGGATACATTATTACTTGGGTATAGAGGTAATTAATTGCATAGAGCATTGAAATTCTATATATTTGGTGACAAGTGATCAAGCCATTGACAATAAACTTCTAAACTTTCATAATGTATCTCTCCTTTGATGATTTCCTTGCGAGCCTTCCAAGTTGTTGGCTTTTTTTTTTTGTATCTGTTCTTGTAGCAAATAGTGTGCCATTTTTTTTTTTTTTCATTCTGATCAGCAACTAAATTGAGGCCTAGTAATGAATTTAATATTTTTATTTGAATGGAAAGAGTTTCGCTAAGAATGACCATGAAGCCTTGATTTTTGCTTTAAGGTGGACTAATCCAAGAATGACGATCCTATCATAACTATTGACACACACACCTTATGAGGTCTGACATGATTTTGTAGTGATTAAGCTTCCGAAAGGAGTATATGCCTTATTGCCTTTTGATTTTCATTTTTCTATCCAGAAGAAGTAAATCATGATTCCTCTTGAATTCTGCCTTGTTTTAATTGTCCAAAAGAAGAGAAAAATACTTTTGATGTTTCAAAGCCTTTTGGTTCTTATTTTCTTTTCAGTTTTTTCCAGTTATCTTTATTTAGGAGAGAAGGGGTAAATGAACACTGACAAAAGGGAATTCTCATCTTATAAGAGTGAAAGGAAGAGTAGGTTATCCAAAAGTTCTTGTAGGGGAGTGGATTATTTGGAGATGAATGAGTATGCAATTATAATGTTTATTTGGACTGAAACAAACAATAATCATCATTATATCTTTACAGACTAGGAAGAAGTACGGAACTTCACCTAGGGTTGCCGTGGCAGAATTAGACACGCGGATATAGCCTGGACAAGTATCGGACACGGCTAGAGGTGTCCTGAAATTTAAATATTTTATTTTCTGGTTGGACATGGCTGAGATACAGCATGGACACGGTAAGGACGAGTTTTGGACACTTTCAGGACACGGCGGGTGGTTTTGTAAATATTTTTTTAAAAGAATAGGATTCATGCAATTTAAAATATATTATGGATTATATAGAAAAATAATGCTCTAAGCCCCAAATTAGTGATTTCATTCATGATTATATGGATTTAGACGTATCCATGCCATATCCATGTCCTACTTTTTTTAGATTTGCCGCATCGTCATGTCCATGTCATGTTGTACCCGTGTCCCGAGTCCGAATCTGTGCTCCCTGGTTTACAAACTTTATATGAAAAGTGTTCTGTGTTCAGTATCATGCTTTCTTGTGAGTTTTAATCTTAAGTGAGTTCAAAGGAGTACAGATGTTCTGGCGATGTGTACTCTTTTATTCCCTGCCAGTCGGGTGTTGCAATTATAGCTGAGGTTGCGGGTCCTTTTGGTTAGCCTTACATATGCTGTGCATCTTGGATTTGAGAAATTTTCCTATGAGTTCCATAGTTGTTAAATGGGTTCAAGGCATTGGAAATATGTGCAACTAATTCATGAAGTTATTCCTTTCGACAGTGGTCTATCTTTTCTTGGCTTTATGGACCAGCCATGAAGCTGTTGGCAAAGCCAGATCAGAAATTTAAGGAATTTTTTACCCTCTGCACTTTTTTTTTTTTTTTTTTTTTTGGTACTTTTCATAACGTTACTCTACGAGGATTCTTGTTATTCACTTAAAAATTTTCAAGGACATCTTTTAACCCTTCACACTTTCTTTTCAGTTTAGATATTGGTCAGTACTTTCTATAATGCCATTTTTTAGGGCTTGTCAATTTCTGCTGAATTTTTGTTTCTTTAATTCAGCTGTGGCTTCTCTTTGGAAGAAAAATAAGTATAGAAGGTAAGAGAAGTGGTTTTAAGTAATAAAATTTGTTGAGGGATTTAAAAATTTAAGTTACACCCTCTCTAACAGCTTAAGCTTTTAGAGTTGATGGTAGTTAACATGGTATCAAAGCAGGCAGGTCCTGTGTTCAAACTTCACCATCACCCTAATTTAAAAATTGAAACAAGTGTTGGACCAAAAAGAAGGCCACACGTGAGGGGGCGTGTTGAGGGATTTAAATATTTAAGTTACACCCTCTCTAACAGCTTAAGCTTTTAGAGTAAATGGTAGTTAATAAAAATGAATTTTAGGTCATAAAGAATGCTGTTTGAAAAAAGTTAACATGGGTTTGAAGTAATTGGCAGTGCCGTAAGAGGTTGGAGAAGCTTTTGGGGGGCATCAGTAAGTTTTGGGTGTCAAAATTATGATACTTGAACTTATCAAAAAAAAAAAAAAAAAACAAAAGTACTACGATACTTGAAGTAATCCCCATGACTTTCCCTTTTTGTGTTATGAGCTTTCAGGAGGGGAGAGGAGTGTGCAGTGTCTCTGCCAAAAACCCTTTCCCCCATTGACAAGGCCAACTCTAGGTTACGGACTAATTCTTGCTGATAAATGAACTTTTACTATATGGTGATTCTGTTTTCCTTTTGTTGCTAATAAATGCCTAATGTTATAATTCATGTTTTTTTTTCTTTCTTTTAACAATAATTTCTTCAACATAATCAATTAGAATTCCTCTAGCAAAATTTGATTTGTGACTATCTTTTCCTCTTCTTATTTATAAGTCTCTTAAGTTTAATTTTGTTTGTGGATTTGTTCTTTCACACTCCTAGTGCTCCCCTCCCGAACTCCTCTTCCTTCATATTTCAACATGATTTGTTTGGACTGTTCCTTGACAAAATTCGGCAACTATGAAGCTGGATACTTCTTTAATAGGACATATCTGTGTCGAATACCAACACTTCTCGGATACTCGCATTCTTAAATATATCTGTAATTTGGAAATAATATAATATATATATATATATATATGTTTTTAAATTTGAACATGTATCCGATACTTGATGTTTTGAACATGTATCTGATACTTCTTAGATCTTTGGTGCACATGTTAATGAGTATCCAACATCAACTTGTTCAAATATAAAGTGTAGTATAATTGTTGGGAAAAACTTAGAATTCTTCTTACAAGAAGTTTTGACTTTTGAGATATAATGAGGATATATCATAATTATTTTAGTCCAAATATTGGTCATGCATTATAATCCTCAACTCTAAGCTATCAGAAAGTTACGGTAACTATGTATATAACATGACAAACAATAATTATTTTAAATTTATACATGGATGCATATATATTATAATTTTTATACATGTCTACATTAATTTTGTATGTGTATTTTAAAATTTTTGTTGTGTCCTTGCCGTAACTATAATGCCATCATGTGAGTTTCCTCATGACAACAACCATGAGCTCTCCACATTTAACCACTGGATTGAGACAGTTATTTGAGAAAAGGTCAGATGAATCATTTAATACAACTTTCAATCCAGTGGTTAAATGTGGATAGCTCATGGCTCGTCATGATGGATCTCTCTTAATAGCATTACTCTTTTCAGAATTTGCTGTATTGTCGTGTCTGTGTCATGTATCCATGTGCTTCATAGTTCGGCAGGTGGTTATATTTTCCTCTCCTAATAGTTACCAAGTCTTATTCAGTTTAATTTTGTGCATGGGCATGTTCTTTCACACTCCACTTCCCTCCCCCTCCCCTTTTTGTGGGCATTCACTGATGTTAACTTCTTTACCTAATTGCCACTGTCCTTGCAGGCAGTTTCTAGAAGGGCCACCTTACATGAGAAAATTAGAGACTATGAACAAGCAGCTAGTGACCTTCAGAGACTTATATGTGTTCTTGAAAAGCAATCACAGGAAAAGGTTCAACAGTCAAGCACACCAGATGGACCAAACGGCAGCAATGTAAAAGAATTAAGGCAAGCTCGCCGTCGTATTTCCTTAATGGAAGAAAAGGCTAAAAAGGGAATATCATTGGATCTTTACCTAATTTTGTAAGTTCGCTGCCATGGGATTTTGATATCAACTGCATCTTGATTTATTTTTGAAATCTCTCTTTGTGTTCTCTATTTCTCAATGATACCTCAGATTATCACATTTTAGCTTGTGAAATTCCTCATTATACCCACATTCTACGTCGTTTCTTTTCGAACTATGTTATGTAGAGAGGGAAATCATTACATTGTGATCCATGTGTAAACATTTGAGCAGATAGTTATTTGTGTTGGCTACAGGTAATAACTTCTTTGTTACACTAGTTATGTAAAATCTCCAGTCAATTAATTAGCCTATTTGTTTCTTATATGCCTACAAGTATTATAACTGCAAAAAAATTCACCAGCATTATATTGTAGTCTTAAATGCATCACCATTTACCATAATCACAAACATTCAATTAAGTTGGATGTCATTCTGTATCATTCAATATATCTCTTACCCCGAGAACTATTGCATGTTGTAAGCTTCCAAGTTACTGATAAAAACTCAAATATTCTATTGCAGGGGAGTTAAAGCATCTGATTCTGCATCTGAAATTAAAAAGGCATACAGGAAAGCAGCACTGCGACATCATCCAGACAAGGTCTTAAGCTTTTAATATATGCCATGTTAGTTTTTTATTTTTGACCTTTAATCCTTGCCATTCATCTTAATGACCTTATGTTGATGTAGGCTGGTCAATTCCTGGCAAGAAGTGAGGGTGGAGATGATGGGCAACTCTGGAAGGATATTGTAGAAGAAGTCCACAAGGATGCTGACAGGCTTTTTAAAATGATTGGAGAGGCTTATGCAGTACTTTCAGATCCCAGCAAGGTCTGGCACCTGCATCATCATTAATTAGCCTGTTTGTTTCTTATATGCTTTTTAAAATGATTGGAGAGTCTTAATGTTGTTGCATTTCATGTCATCATTACCTTAAATATCATGAATGTAAATTTCAAAATAAAGTGCAAGTTGAGCACATAGATCTTCTATTCATGCCTTATATTTTCATAAATCTCCCACATATAAGATGAGCAAACACAAATATTACTCATCAAAACTTTTATTAGCACCTTCGTGTATACACGGCTCAAGTAATATACAGGGGGGCCTAAGATAAATCTCTCCCCGCTCAGGTATATCCTTGCAGTGGAAACTGAAACAATTTGATGATTTTATACGCTTGATTTGTTTCTACTCTGTGTGGTACTATTCTCAAATATTCATCTCCAATCTCCTATTTGCAGCGCTCAGAGTATGATCTTCAGGAGGAACTGAGGAGAGCTCGGAAGGAGAGCAGTGGAAGCAGCGCTTCTGGAAGACCATCTGATTTTTACAGCTCTCCATTTGAGAGCAGTCCCAATAGGCGATATTGGCAGGAATCTTGGAAGACATATGGGAACTCGCCACATTCTCGGTGGTAAGAAGCTGTAATATCTAAGTTATCCAAGCTATATATAGTTGGTATAAGGAAAAAAGGTACAGTTGATTGACATCCCAAAGTGCAATGATCGATTGATGGGAAGTGGTTAGTACTATTCTAATCAGATCATTAGATGACCCAACTCCGCGATGGTTCTGATCATTTGATGGGAAGTGACTGATGCCCGCTTTGTTAGAGAATGAAAACTTTTTGAAGGAACTGCAGATTATGATTTCTAAATTGAAATATATGAGAAAAGTCGGGGAGAGATTTTGGTTTCTATACACAGTTAAACATATTCTAGAGTAATATACTACCTTGAAGATTAGATGGCACATTCAACAAAATGCTTCAGCTAATTTCAGTGGCAGAAGAAGAATGGTGCTGCTAACTTTATGTTACTTACCTCCATGCCCTGGAAGGGAGACCTTTTGCAAAACTCCGAACTTCCGATGTGAAATCAGTAGCCTGAAACAAAATACTGAAGAAATTGATTTCCTTGAGGTTTTACCGGAAACCATTATTGTGCTGGAGAAAAGTTGAAGATGGCCAAACATGATCATATGATTATACTGCCGGAGAAAAGTTGGAAGATGGCCAACAATTGACATGCTAGTTGGTTCTCGTGGTTGCCTATGCTTTTTTCATTATTCAAAGATGTAAAGCTTGATCCATTGTGATCCAAACAATGGTTCCAAGTTTTTTTACTGATCCGTCATTGAAGTAATGTAGCCTATACTGTCCATGATTATTTTACATCCCTGTTTAGATGGAAAATAAATTCATTTCATTTCATTTTTGCACTGTTGTGAGGACGGAATTGTAGGGATTGGTGAAAGAGAGAACTGATTAAATGTCTTAATCGCGCGAGATATTACACAAGGCATGAAGATATGAACCAATATTGAAGAAAAATAATGGCAATGTTGAAAAAAAAATATAAATTTTGGCATGACAGAAATGCTTGTGTTTATTTTCATAACCTAACATCTTTGTGTTTAAATTGAATTCAAGGGTCTTGTTCGTTGTTACATGAAAAGCACCCCCACTCAAATTATAATAAATCTCCCATACACGTTTATTATACAAGCATTGTGCCAGTTGATGACCTTTTATCAAATAATAATATAAATTAGGCACTAACATTTTCTGTAGGAGATAAAAGACAGCATTGCTATTTACTTGTAACATCTTCTAGGGTTTCTTAGCTAGCATATCTAATCACTGAAAAATGAAACATCCATAAATAGCTAAAGGAATTAGATCAACTGCTTGATTAGAGTTCCAAATCCAAAAATGTATTCAAGTCATATGGTCCTTCTGACTTGGATTAAAGAAAAAAATATGTATGGCTTGCAATCCCAAGAAGATGCCATAAACTAAACAGGGAAACACTCCTTTATGAGAAGAATTATGTACTACAGTTAAATTGGTAATACAGATTGTTAAACAACATGAGCCCCTATAGCTCAGTGGTAGAGCGTCAGTCTTGTAAACTGAAGGTCTGTAGTTCGATCCTGCATGGGGGCAAGATTCTTTCATTTTTGCCTGTTGAACAGGGGAGGATAAAGGTTTTTCTTTGTCTTTCGTTTATGTAGGGCCTTTTTTTTAAAAAAAAAATAAGGTTGATATTACGCTGCGAATGCACGTAGAGCACGGCTCTTTTTGTGACATCATATATTATATGAATTAAGCAACAAGAAGACTTGTACCCTATAATTTCATTAAGTTCCATACGGGATGTCCTAATTTCTTTTTTATTTATTTTTTTAACACTTCATTAAATTAAAGACTTCTAAAAGTTTTTAAGCATGTATTTGATAATGATTTGGGTTTTTCCACATTTTTTATATTGCTATTATTTAATCCATTTATTGGAAGCAGTGTCGTAATTTTCCAAAAATATAATCCTACGTATTTGAGTTGAGAAATTTTCTCATTTCCAATTGTTTGGTAGCAATAATGGTCATTTTTAGCTTAGTAGTGAGAAGGATTGAGAATTTAGTCCAAAATGACATGAAAACATTGGAGTATTGCATAAATGAACCTCTCTCCACGTATCGATAGGTACGAGTATAGAATTACCTGAAAGAAAAAAAAAATTATGAAGTCTGATCGTACCGGATTTTGTTTTCCTTGCTGCATAACAGAGTTCATGTTTGCGTATTCTCATCACAATTATGGAGGAACGATCACATCATAGTTCCATTCTAGCTTTCTATTTGATTATTGTTTGGATCATTTTGCATAAAAATAATAAGAATCTGGACGTATGAATCTCCTATAAATTATGTGTAATAAAATTTAAATTTATTGATTATAAAATATAAAAAATAACTTGTATCATATATAATGAAATAGAACAACGATATTTGGATGCAGAGAGGAGATATAGAATTTTACCATCTCATACTATTGAATTGTCATTGCCTAACTAAAATTTTCAAACGAGTGTCAAATGCTCAATTTCAGTAGCATTTTGATTGATAGGACTATCTGAAGAAAAAAGGACCCCCCACAGGTCTCTACTGAGAGCATACTGATGGAGTTGTCCGACTGTTAAGCTTTTTCATGTCAAAAGGAGAACGAGTAGGGGTGAAGAACAACACACAGTACACTCATAGCTAGTGAAAATGGTAAAACATATTCCCTCCATAACAATGTTAAACATTTCCCCCCGCCCCCTACAAAATCCATTACAAGGTTAAACTTGACCCCCCCCCCCCCAAAAAAAAAAAAAGTGAATGTACAGTGAAATTTGAAGGGAAATAATTCATTAAACAGTGTTCATAAGTGCAATTTCAAAATTTAACAGTCTCATAATGTTCCAAAGTATTCATTTTCTTTTTTTCCCTTTGTTTTCTTGGCAACCAAACAGAGGAACCACGAGTACATGACCATATAGAGGTGATCAAGACAATTACTCTCAATTAGTGGAAAACATGACAAGACTTCCTAAAAGGTTTGATTCTTTCACAATTTAATACATAACTTGCTGTACTAAAATATACCTGGGGAGATTTTTATGTCCCACAGAAATTATCACCACCCCTTGTTCCTGCAAAGCATTTAAAAATCATCCCCTTCCGATCCTTCATGGAATTTGAATTGAACTTCTCGTGTTCTGTTTAGATGATAATATATTTTTTTCAAAAGATGATGGGTTCATTTTGCATTGACTTTGTTTTCTAAATACTGGGCATAAAATGGGCAATTGATCTCTTTTTTTATATACATGTATATATGGAACAATGGTAATTCTCATACTTTGATCCTCTGGTCTAAGTGCATGCCCCCAAACATGTATGCCAGATTAGTCCAAAGAAGAAAAAAAAATCCGTAAAGGAAGAACAAGTGGATCTAGAGGCTTACAGCTTCACAAGGCATGGTCCGGAACCGAACTCTACCCCCTTGGGATAACATGCAATTATTTTCAATAACAATCAATATAATAAATTTAAGCATGAACGCTAGGCCACCACGCCGTAAAAAGTTTAAAGGTTCAGTTTAGATCAGAAATTAGTGTTCCCAGTAGAGAAATGAGAAAGAATTGAAATACAAGTGACATACACACACATAAAGAGTCCAAAAATGGAAACCATAAACAAATGCTAATAATTTATCTGATGATAATGCTAATGTCCAACATATTATGCAGAAATGAAGTTCAGGACAGATTGAATAGTAAGGAACCAACACAATATCACATTTCACAAAGTTTGTTTTTTTCTATTTGCTTGCTAGTAAAGAGCACATGTAAAATCCATATGTCAATTACACAACGGATATATCCAGCCACTTGTATTACTTAGGGCAACATTGCCGACAACTAATCAAAACCCCATTCTATTAGTATAGTTGCTCTTCTCATAGCTAATCCACAATTCATGTCAGGTGGCATTATTCATTTATAGACCAATCTCAGTCATAAAGTCAGGATTTTTTTTTTATTTTTCCATAAAGCACAAACTACAATCTGACCTTTTTGTCGTTCTCATTATGACAGGACAGCAGCTGATGACGTTTTCAACTTCTTTGGTGGTGGATTTCCTCCGGACAGCACCACATATAAATAGAAGCACAGCATTGCAGCACTGCAACATTGAATAAGAGAACACATTTAACTAGGAAAAAAAGAAAAAAAGAAAAAAAAAAAAAAAAAACAAACAAAAACAAAATGCAGACCCACATTACAGTACCTTATGAAAGCATAAAAGCCTGTTGGAAATATTTTCTTTGTCTGCATGTACAACCAATTTAAAGTTTAAAAAAAAAAATAGAGGATGAAAGAAAGAAAAAGCAAGCCAATGAGTGAGAATATAAGATTATGCTGATGTGCTGTACTAGTTTAATACCAATGAGTAGGTCTGAAAATTCTTCCATAGAAGGACCGCGGAAAGTGCTGCAAGGTCAGAAGTAAAACATCCAAAATGAGAAGAGAAAAAAAAAAAAAACGAGAGAGAAAAAAGAAACATAAATGAATGTTTACTGCAACAACAAAAACAGAAATGTAGTACTCTTGTAAAACTTTCCATCTTGATTGTCTTTCCAAACACATGGATATCAGGTATACAAAAGACAACCTTCCCCGTGGAGGGTTCTTTATTACCTTTTTATTCTTTTAAGAAGCACTCTAATCTGAACACATTAGAAGTTCATTTTTTTGTACTCTTGTAACGTGAAAATACATCTGGCCTGGCTTATGTCTTGGCAAATTTGACCACCATTGCTAGCTGTTACAATTTGTTCAAGCTTATGTAAAGAACGAACAGCCAACCCAATATATTTGAGACAACATTAACATTGCTTTGAGAAGGTGGGAGTAATTAAGGGGAAAATGACAGATTGCTGCATCATATTAATGTACATTTCATGAGACTGATCTTAGCAACAATCCTGAGGAGCTGTCTCTTGGCAGTAGTGATTAGTGATAGTGAGGCTGATGGTTGCTGTTATGATATTACTTTCCATAAAATGGTCGCTCTTGTACTTGAACCCATGCCCTCACCCTTGTTAGCCTAAGCTTTTACCATGGCACCAACTTTGAATATTACCATGGAACCAACTTTGAATATTATTATATATTCTCTGGATCAAATTCAAAAAACCACTTTTTGGTACTTTTAAGTGTGAAAATGATTTATAGCTATAAGAACTATCAGGCAAAATAACCACTTGAAAGACAGAATTATATGCAAATTCATGATGGGTAGCGTGGAGCCCGAATTTTTTGGGGGGAATTTTGGTAATTTCCACACTTGTTATGTTGCCCTAGTGCGAGGGTATTTATTCATTCTGAACTCTCTGTTCAGTTGCTATTTTGATCATCATAGTGAAATTCTTACAACCCTTGGACGTAGCCCTAGTTTTTGGGTGAACCAAGTAAAATCTATGCGTTCTTGTTGTGTGCGTTTGATCTATTTTTCTGCTTATTTTCGCAACAATTCAAATCTATCGTTCCTACTACATTTTTTTAACTGAACTTAATTACCTTAATTTTTCCCTAACCAACACAGAAACTACAAATAACCAAAACAAACAAAAACTACAGATAAAAAAAATAAATTACAAATGAAAAAAGAAACAAACATCCAACAGCAAAGAATACACAGGAGAAATCACACCAAAGTAAAGTATTTTTCCGAAAAGTAAATATATAGTCATTCACACCAAATGAAAAACCAACAGAAAATTATTAATAAGCAAAAGAATGTATGAGAAAGGAATTCAGCCCCATAAAACCCTAAATAATAGGAAGAAGCATATACCTGCTTGGCCTAGTATCAATGGTAAGCTGGACATTCCTTGTCTCCAGACCTTTAAGCTAACTGTGCTGAGGGCAAGCAAAGCACCTCCAAAAAGCAAACCGGTGCCTAAAGTAGCAGGGTTTCTTGAAATAATAAAACCAACAAGACCCCCACTTAAAACAATCCCACCTACAGCAAAATACAACCAGTAAGTGACAATATACTATCAATTAATTTGCACATAAAATTCAAAGCCCCCCCCCCCCCCCCCCCCGCGTCTCTTTTTAAATTTTTGCTTTTTAATAAACAAATGAAAGTATATAAGAAAGATGCAACAGATTTGACATGTGAAGTGGTATCATGTTGTGAAGCTAAGAATAATAATGAAATCAAATTTTGTCACTATCTCCATTCTATGTTAAATGTCTCTATTTTAATTAGAGAAGGCAAGAGCATTCCCTTGCTAATAAGGCTAGAGACAAAAGCCATTACAAGAGACCAAACTTGGTCAAACCAAGCGAAAAAAAAAAAACACAAGAAGCTTAATAAATAAACAAGACAAAGCTCCAGCAAGCAATGCATCAAGCACCATGAGCTAGCTAAGCAGCAGAAGGTCCTCCATTTCTGGATTTCCCTAATTAAATGTTCCTTTTGGAATGTCAATATACTCTTTTACAATGTTCACAATTTACCCTTTTAAAAAGTTAGAACAAGTTAGTGTGCAAATCAATATGATAAAAGGTAAACTTTAGATGAAAGATATTATAATTCAATATCTTATTGTGTGTGCATTAAATGCCACTTTATTAAGAAGTTGAAATTCTTAAAAGACATTTAATTTGGCACTCAGGGAGTATTAGACTATAGAGTCATTTGAAGAGAAAATTACAAAGCATTTGAGGCTCACACTCCTGTATCCCAGGGATTAAATTGTAAAGTTCATAAACAATAATGCAAAGCTAGCCTTCTGTGAGTACTATGCATCACATTTATTATTCCAATTTATTATGCATGCATTATGCAGGGTCCTAGATGCAGTATTCAGAAATTATTGCCATCAAAATCAGAATTCAGTAGTTAAAATTCATGGAAAACTATAATCCTATATTAGTGCGAACAGCATAACATAATCAAACAAAAAAATAGCTGCACGAGCACGCGCACACAGTTTTTTGCTTTTGGTAAGTTGATATTTCTATTAAGTATGAATAGACAAGACAGAAATGGGAAGATGAGGTGAGATACCCGAAAAACAAAGGTAATAGATAAAAAATAACCAGGAATGGAACAAATAATAGCAAGGACCTACCCTTATTGAAACTTACACTCTGCCAATAAATGATTACAGTTTTTTACCCCCTTTGCAAACAAGTCACAATAGAAGTCCACAGAAATTTTAGATAGCTAGACTACTAGACCTGAATTCAGATAAACAAATAATTCCTTATTTTAAGAATATTGAGTTATCAATACTAAAAAAATGTGATTCTGGAATTGTCCTGAGTCAAATTCCAAGTTAAAAATGATGAAACTCCATTAAAGTTTGTTTAACAGTGACGTTCTATCAAAAACAAGTTTTTATTTCAAATGTTTTACCTTTGTAAGACATATGGTAACCAATCTTTCAACTCCTCCGTTTCTATGCTTAAAATTTATTTATAGTCTATACTTCTATCAACTAGCCAACATAAATTTAATGAGTCCATTACCAAATTAATCAACGTCATCTGAAAACCACTCTATGAGAACTCCGAAGCATATATTTATTATATATGTAATATGCATATATGTATATATCAAAAATAAAATATTACATTCTGGATTATGTGAAAAATAAAAAATAAAAATCAAGTTGAAGCTTTCTAACTGTTGCTGGGATTTTTTTCTACGGATGAATAACATACAACTATCAAAAAGATTAGTTTCTAATAAGGAGGGGGCTTTATGTGTCATTAACAGATACAGCTTAGTTTGTAAAACTGTAGGTGGACTGCCTTAAGTGAAGCAAAAGTTAGTACCAGAAACTAAACTCAGAAATAGATGGAGAACAAGAAAAAAGTATCTTATGCTTCATAAAACAAACCATTTAGGATGCTCACAGAAAGTCTAAAATAGTAGAGTAACTAATGTCTAATTGACAGTGAAGCCAGCAATCTCATCGAGGAGAATTGATCATCATGAAAATCTCATTTTATCTCTTATTTTCTTTTTCATTTTTTGACAAGGAATCATCAAGAAACTTGATATGGCTTCATCCCACATGTTTCCGGTTTCCTAAGTTATTTGTTAGGTTGGCTATTTGAATGCTAAAATTCAAGAGCCTAGACATTCTTTACTATGTAACATCACATTTGTATTATAACATATAAAATATAAAAATGAAATTTAATCTCTTCTACCAATGATTTTTTCTTCTACCATTTACCTCGGATTCATGTAGCCATGCCTGAGAAAAAACAGCAAACAAGTAGCATAACTTTAATGTTCAATCAAAAAACGGAAAATATTCACTATTTTCACTGGCATAAATATATCTCATATTGGTAGTTCAGCCCTACGATTCTTTTCTTGCTTACAATTTCTAACCCATGCAGAGCTGATAAAAGAAAAACCTAGAGTTTGTGGCTACAGTTTAGGAAAACAAAACCTAAACAGAGTATATTACGATAATGTCAGGAGGTGAAACCATTGTTTGGTTTAGCAAATATACCCTCCTCTTAAGTAACCTTGTAAACAAGGTTTAGAAAGCCTGTGAAAACTGTGATTTGTGCCTCAATTTCTACTCCTTTCTATTGCAAAATTTCAAACCTGTGGCTACACCACCATCCATTTCTACTAGACCATAATAAACCATCCAAAATGTACTCACTAAAGCTAAGTTTCAACAAACTCAAAGATCAGAGCAGATACAATTCAAAAGGAAGACTACAAACAAACAACTTTTGAATCTTTCTAGACATCTCATGTATATGGATACTACACTAGATGTTCATGGCTAGGATCACAGTCTCCACCACACCTAATGATTTCTTTTAAATTGAAATTAGATCCACACTGATTGAAAGTAATCCATCCTTTTGAAATGTAACTGAAAAGAGGAATGACCTGATGTATTTAGTAATAAAGTGTTTAAGTCTAAAAGACAAAGAGTATATAAGATTCACAATAAAGGTGTCATTATCATCAAACATGATTTTTTTCTTTTTCTTTTTCCCTGAAATAAAACAAAGGAATAACACTTTCCCGCGCCGCGGCGGGGCGGGGGGGGGGGGGGGGGGGGGGAGTTACATATTAGATTTTTTGTTTGAATCATATATCCATTTTTGAATGTATGATTATCTTTCTATTCTTGATTCAAATCATTTTCAACAATTTTTACTTTTCATTCAATTCTATAGTTTCAGAAAAGAAAAAGAGCAAGAGGCCTGTCATGCCTTGAGTCTTGAAAGGTCCTAATTCACCATCCTAATACCACTGAAGATTTGAAAAAATGGAAAAAGATGAGTGGAAGGTAATGTGGAAGAAGAACTATGAACTCCAGAACTACTTAGGTTAGTAAAAAATTTATAATCAATGGAAGAAGGATAAAATGAACAATCAGGCACACATGTACTGTGGGCTCAGTGGAGGCATCCACCCCCACTGAAATTTTTTGTTATTACATTTTACACCCTTAAATTTGAACTTTTTTGCATTTATACCCATAAAATTTTGAAATTGCCCCCACTAAAATTATGAAAAACTCTATATAAATCCCCCCCCCCCCCCCCCCCACATATGAATTTCTAGATCCGTCCCTGTGAACAATACTAATGATATGTATCATATATATCTATGCATAAGTGTAGCTTTACATGCTAAAGAACGTCAACAGCTCCTGGGTTTATATTTATTTTCAACTTAATGAATAAATTGGGCCAGGGAAAACATGTTTGATGAATTTTATTAAGTTACGAATAAAATTGCATGAAGTATAACATCCATCAACTAACAAGCCTCTTTGATGGTAATTGGTAAACATGTGATTATTATTATTTCTTTTTTCAAGTAGTGCAAAACAAGAAGTTCTTGACCAACATTGAAGTACACTCACCAAAGGGAATTCCAAAACAGAAGTCATGGATCTTTGCTGCCCTTTTCTGTTGAGTGATAACATGTTCTTGCACGGGCTCACTTATCACTTTTCCAGAAGCATATTCTTCTGTAGTAGCATATGACTCTGTTGGCATTTCATTTTGTGATTTTGATGTATCTGATGAATAACTTAGAGCGGTCTTAGTCTCTGAACTCGATATTTCTGCACCACGGCCATGGCGACTACGACTCTTAACAACCAGTACCTAATGAAATGAAAACTTCAAGCAATGATCAGTATGATCCCATCTCAAATTTACCCATTCATTTTTACAAGTATTTGTTATATTTCTCATCAGACAATTGGACTCGCTCTTAAAATGCAAGAATACTCAATATGATAAATTATACATACACACGGAAGTAGACAGATTATACATAATAATAAAAGACAAGGATTCATTAAATCATTACCAATGGCATGAAAATTTTGAAATTACGCAAGAATCCAATATTCAAGAACTGATAATTTGCATAATCTGACAAGAAAAGAAAAAGAAAAAGAAACAGAAAAAGTAGCATACGTGTGTAGATCACAGTTCGCAACTCAAAAAACCCTAAATATTGTTGGCCAAGGTAACAAAAGCAATCAAAACAAACGCAAGTTTTGGAATCTCGTTCATTAGTGTTATATCAGGGTTCGATGAGCAGAAATTTGAGTTTCAACAAAGAAAGATAAGTTGAATTTCTTCTTTCTTGGTGCATTTTCTCAGGAACCAAACGGTAGAGAGAAATACCTTTGGACGAAGAGAGAGGCAAGGAATTGATCGGGTGTGGTGCTTTAGTCTGCGGTTGATGGAAGAGAAGCACGAGAGCTGAGAGATTGCTGATGACATGGTTGCTGATGACATGGTTGCTGATGATGGATTCTTCCAATGGAAAACGCAATATAGCGAGCGAGAGAGAAAGAATAGTGATTTCTGAAATTTGGAAAAGAGAAGCAGGTGATGGGAGAACGCAATATCACGGGAACGTGTTTTGCACAATTTATTGGGTTTGTTTGACCTTGACCGTTATTGGTTTGCCTGTTTGTTCTTCAATTTCTTTTATTTTCTTCTTACTTTTGGGGGTGGAAGGCTATTGTTTAGAATTTAATAATTTATCTTAAATCACCAAACAGAGTGAGTCAACCATGTCAGGCTAGACCTAATCACTTCAATTTTTTATGTTATGTCATTACAATTTCTTATTCTAAATTGTATCTTTTGATTAAAATCCTATTGTACCAATGTTGTCTTGTCCAATTAGTGAAGTACTTTATAAAAATCGTAAATCACTAATTAGACGAAACATGACTATTATTATGTAAGAAAAGAGTGTGATACTTTTTTACATGACTATTATTACATTGGACTGTTTGTAAATGCATGAGATCAAATAACAAGATTCGGGACAATAATCTTTTCCTATATGGGCTTTGTAGCAAAATTATTCTAATTAAAATGTAAAATCCATATTGTAAAAGGAGTACTATGTTAATCTTCCATTGAATTTTAATATATATATATATATTGGACTTTTTATAGTCTAGACCACAAGACTGCAAACTCAAAAGGTGTGCTTTACATTGCTCATGGACAGGCCTTTCCAAAATATTTTTCTTTAAGGATTCCGTATCATGAACATCAATTTCAATACCCTTAAATATTATGCATGGATCTCCCCTGAATAGAATGTCAGTGTGGGAATGTATTCGTTCTTAAATCTTGTCAATGTTAAAAATAAAATAAAAAAAGTAAAAAATACATGTACTAAATGGTTCGAGTTTTTTAATATGTAAAGATTGAATCTTAAAATAAAAATACCTTAATCATGGTAACTTTGAAGTCACCGGAGTGTTTTAATGTATAAAAATTAAATTTTTGAATGAAAATGAGAGTTTAAAGTTAAACCTAATCGAGTTCTCCATAGTCTTTTAATGTGTAAAGATTGAATCTTTGAATAAAAATACCTTAATCAAAGTGTCTTTTAAGTTATTAGAATATTTTAATATATAAAGATTGAATCTCTGAATGAAAAATAGAATTTTGAGTTAAACTTATTCAAATCCCTTTTAAAGTCACAAAGAGTATTGACACTGTCCCTTTTAAAGTCACAAAGAGTATTGACACTGTCAGACCCCTACTTCTCAAAGACAGATCAGAGTTCGAACCTAAGTGAAAACATGCATGTGCGTGAGTACCAACTAAAAAAACAAAGGCCTCTTCATGCAAATCTTCTATAGAATACTGATTTCCTCCAAACGATTCCGCGAAAAAAAAAAAAAAAAATAAATAAAACCTAACACATATATATAGTAATGGAGAAAAAATATATATATATATCTGAATAATTTACAAATATACTTTAAAAAAGATGTTTCAAATGCATCTTCTCATAGCGTGTTGGGACACCATTGAGACTCCATATAGCCATATCTCACAACATACAGAGTATGCAAATACACCTGAATTTGAAGTTTCTTCAGTGACTTGTTAGACCATTGAGTGAACAAACAATCAATATAAGGAAAGCTTGGAAATAATCTTCTGAAAGCATCCCCATTGAACTTCAAGTCCTTTTATATTTGTGAGTATCTAAAAGTGCCACTCCTTCCATTAGTGCAGGTCACTTCACCATTAAAAGAAGACCATGGAGAAAGTTTGATCTTTTGTGGTGAAGTGTGACCAGAGTAAGTATCTAGAAATCCTAGACGTTGCTTTGGCGTGCTCATTGATCTTGCCTTCGCCTTTGCAGATTCTGTGGCAGCCATGTAAGTAGGAAAAACCGGAGAGTTTGGTAATGAGCTCTCATTTCCAATTGATTTCTGTTTCGTGCGGCAAAATGATCTCCTCGGGAGTGAAGATGGCGAATTTGATTCTTCTACTGAATCATGTTTATATGCATTTCTCAGTTTAAACCGTGTTCCGTAAGTCTCACTGGCTGTTGATTTTGAATGAATAGTTGACCTCAACTTCTCTGTCTCTCTCCTTTTATATGTCTCAGCATTTTCACATTCTTCAAGCAGGTGGCTGTGTTCCTTGCTCAATTTTGATTTTTCAGGACTTTGATCACTTCTTCTTTCCTGCAAAAGACAACTTTCTTGCAACATATAAATGTGAAGACACATAAATGACATAAACCTATTCCTTATGTGGTTAGATTTTGGAATCTAACGGCGATTTTTAATTAAATTAATCTTAATTTAAAAAACAAAATCTTCGTTTTCACTTCATCTATGACAAAATGGAGCATCACCAAACATGCTGATATATAAATAAATGGAGTTACCCAATGGGAAACGGAGTATTTCTTCATGCGGTCTTTTTTTATGATGGCCTCTTGCTTTCTTGACCGCAATGCTTTCGCGTCTTCCCTTAAGGACAAGCTGTAATCCCAACTTCTACTGTTGTATTCAAGCTGCCCGTAACCAAAACGTATATAATGTTATATATAATATAATTCAACATCAATATAATAGAATTTCCAATGCTAATATATTTGAGTATGCAATATTCTTCTTGGAGATGATTATCTCCCTAAATTCGTAGGTACTTTCTTTATATTTATCTCAATGAGAAATCAACTATGGATGTTGAAAGTGTAAACTAAATATCCTCTAAATTCTTTGTGACAGTGAATGTGTAGCTTTCTTTCTACAAGTTGCCATAAACTGAACCCGAGACTAACACAATTTGGAACAATCTTACTCACCTTCATTTCTTTTGCTTCTGAAGACTTTTTTGAGCTTGGAAAATGTTTCTTTTCACCATCTTTGCATCTTTCATCCGCATTTGGAACTCTCATTTGATGGAATTGTGATGGTGCGTTTGTAAGGGAAGGCAAATACTTCAGTTTGGTGATTACTTGTCGTCTCACAATTTGACCTCGAACTATTGCTTGAAGCTTCACCAATCCCTTCAATGCCTTCATTGCTTTCCTTGCCTATATCAGTTCCAGTATAAATGTATTTTGTGTTAGAGGCGCATCTTTTTTTTCCACCGAAGGACTCATATCTTAGGAACCATAGTTTAAAGCATAGCGTTAAATGAAATAAATTAAATACTGAAATTAATTAAAAAGATTAAAGCAAGGGGGATTCGAATTGGTGAAATAATTCATGGAATTGAAAATTGGAGCTTTTTCAACTACACAATTTTTTAGATTTTCAATGTGATACAAAAGCATCTTAACCAATGTGATTATGATGAATTATTGTAAAAACCATAAATAAGGAGGAGGTCTAAGAAAGAACACTCACAAGATGAGCCCTGTAAGCAGTTTGAATCTTAGTTGCAGCCAAGTTTCGCGTCCACATGTCATAATCATTGGAAGATTGATGGGAGCACGTTAGGCGAACAGTCTCAGCTGCAGCATTGGCAGCAGCAACAGCAGCCTCAGCTGCAGCTGCCGTTGCAATGGCGACAGCCAACGCATGCCTTTTCTGCTCCTCTGTTGCTTCGCTCAGTGTTTTCTGTCCTGCTGCAATTGCAGGGCTCTGCTTAAGCCTTCCAAAAGCCCATCTCCACTTATTTGATTTCTAGAAATTACAAAAGTTAAAAACACTCAATATCCGCAAAAAACACAGGAATATATGTTCAATAGAGTAATGAAACAATACTATCGCAGATGAACCTTTTCGGTGTTTGGTTGTGCCTCAGAGACACACAATCTATTCACCAAACTAAAGCAACTCCTTTTCTTTCCCATTGCAAATTCATGAGACCACACAAACCAAGCTTTTTTTCAAACACGTTACACGCCTTACTTTGAAAGAAGGAAAGATGCCATAACCAAATTTGTAGAGCTGTGAAAAACTGCAGAATCATCAATTGAAACGTATATGAAAGAAAATTGTCCAATCTCCTGAGAAACCACCTAGTTACAGCATATCAAGAATCTCGCACACAATTTTGGATGATTTGAACGAAAAAAATAAAATAATGGTCGTTCATAGCATGTCTTATACTATTTCACTAATAACGGTGATCAATAACTGAAACATGATGTTTTTATTAATCATACCTTGAAAAGATTCATGAACAAAGAACAATCCAAAGGTTTCGGAGCATACTAGTTGTGAAATTGCTCATCCTATAAGAGTTCCGGACCCATTGAAGCTATTGAATCTAAAGGTTTTCCTTGGTTTCTGTTCTTAAGAACACGGTATCATTTTCTCAGATGAAGTGAGGATAAAGGCGCATGTAAAGCAGCAATTGATCTTTCATTAGTCTTTAAACATCGTGGGTCCTCTCTCTCTCTCTCTCTCTCTCACACACACACACACACACACTTAACTGTCATTTCCACAACTAATACTGACCGATTCAAATGTCTGTTTATACGAAGAAATTGTAGAATGCTATTTGGACACGTGGCATTAGACATACAGTTGATAGATATTTCCCAAGTAAAAGAATTAGAGAGAGAATCTTAGTCTAACATAAATATATATATATATATATATATATATATATATATATAATAGATGGTGAAAGAGAGAGAGATTTGAGCTCTAGGAAGTCGGCTGAGTCAGTTGAATTATTTAGCAATTTCCGGGTTCAAAGAATGTTTTCTGTTTCGTTGCACCTCAAACCTTCCAGACAAATTCATAATAGGTGTCAAGAACTAATTTGTAAGTCGTTTCAAACCAACCAAACATCTTCATAATATGTGTCAAGTAGTAGTTTTACTTTTGAGAAAAGTCTGATACATGAGTCCACTATTATCTTAACTACTTTAATACTGATTAAATAAATTGGCATGGTGGAGTGGACCCATAGGAAAAGTGGTCCGACCTTGTTTTAGATAAGCCATGTGATGATGTGAATGTACTACACCCAGTTGCTGACTCTAATGTTGTCGGTTTAGTCTCTGGCATTTTCCTTGCAATCATGGCCCAGCATCAAAGAGGACGATGATCCACAAAATGGCTACTCTGCCTCTTGTCTTTTTGCCTTTCCCATCAACCCTTATCATGAGAGAGAGTGTAGCTTTTGACTTTGGAGCTAGCTGTTCAATGTCCCCAAAATAGTTAAGTACAGCAAAATGTGTGTCCACAATTAACCAAAAAAAAAAATTATTGTGCCCACAAAAAAAATGTGGATGAAGTTATACAACTTTAATTGTTCAATCCATTAGAGTTAAAGACGAGTTGTTTCTATAGCAAATGCTTCTTCAAAGCCATTCCATCATGCATTACATAATGTGTCATTTAGATCATTTATACAATAATTTAAATAGTTTATATAATAACTACATTATATTATTTATAAAAAATAATAAGTCTTCTGACGTTAATTATCGACCCTTCCTCAGAATACAACGTAATTGGATCCCATTAAAACTCTTACAAATTTTTCGTAAATATCTCTTTCTCTTCGACTCATTTTCAATCACGTTATATTTGAAGGAATAGTAGACAATTAAAGTCAGAAGATTTATCACTTTTCATTATTTATACAACAATAATACAAATAACTTTTTCTTGTATGTGTTACACTAACAATCTAGGCAAACAAAGGATCGTAGGACCAGATCCCTTCATAAGAAAGGATACGGATTTGAACTTCATCAACTTGTGCACAAAAATCTTTGAAGGCTTCAATAAAAATTTCATTCGAGCTTGTAAACCCTACTAGTAATACCTAGTAGGGATTAAATAGCTAGCCATAATCATTTTAATAAAAAAAGGTACCCAAAAGTATTCATGGAATTTGCAGTCCCAAACTAAGTAGTAAGTATCATAATAGGATGCCGTCGCCATCGCTATAATTTCAGAGAGCCCCCCCCTCAACTGGGTAACATTGATGCATCGCTTTCCTTATACTAGTATTACTCATATAAACAGGTGGAAAGTTGTTAGTGTGTATTGGATGAAATTCTATAACAAATTGCTCATGTTCTTTATTAATCTTTGAACATTAGACTGTGGAGCGGGGGACCACAGAGGATGGTAGGAACAATCCCCGGGGATAGAGAAAGAAAAGTCGAATCACACAAATAACTATCCTTTAACAGAGGAGCTCTGCTGAGTGTTCCAAAATTCCTAGCTCCTCTAGGCCGCTGGGTCCCACACATGTGCCACATTTACTGTGTGGTCCAATTCTCTTTGTTAGGTGATTCATTCCATCGTTTTGTTTGAAATCTCTCTTAATTGAGATTTTGTTTTCATAATACATTAATTATCACTAGTTAGGGATTCCAGAACAGGGACATTAATTTGTATGGAATTTAGAAACATGGTTCAGAAACAACAATTTAGGGAAAATGTTATACATTTGAACAGTGAAAATTATTCCAAGATTAGCTGCTGAACCTGACAAAAACCGGCTCTTGGAACTGTTTGATCATGTATCAACAATTTTCTATTATGATTATCAAAATTCTTTTGGTTGACTGCCTTCTCTAACCAGTATTTGAAATGAATCAGAAAAACACCTAATTATATGCTTTTTGAAAACCGTTTTCTTGCTTTTTTTTATTGTTTTTTAAAAGCTTTCCATCATGTAACAGAAGAAGGGGGAAAAAAAAGAGATAAAAAAGAGTCAAATATTGTTTAAATTTTAATTTTAGTACAAGGCTCAAAGCCTCTAACTAAGTTTCTTAGGGGTGTCCGAAAAAATAAACCAACACTTCAACTATTAGAGAATGTTAAGCGTTGTTATTACGTTGACCAGTTTCTTTAACAATTCAAACTCCCACAAAATATTTTTTTTGGAGAGCTTACCAAGCTTATTAGTTAATTTAATTTCATCTAAAGGGTGAGGTAAAAAATGATTGACTACCACAATCGAAGTCTTTCCATCCATAGAGAAACTGTTTAATAAGATGGTACATGTTTAATTTTGTGCTTTTTGCCATTGAAAAAGAGTCCATTTTAACATCTACAGTACCTTTGAATTATTGAAACTGGTGTGGGAGGGAAAGGAACAAAAAAATTATTAAAAATAAAATAAAAATCATGAGGCATAAGAATAAGCTCCAAATGAATTATCTTTACTTTAACAAAGATGGGGACACGCGGAATGGGAACCAACTAACTAAAAACAAAAAACAGAAAACAAAATATTTTTCTGACACCACTTTGATCCGCAAAAAGGTGAATACGATGTAACAAGAAGTGCTACTAAAGCAATTCTTCAAATTTAGAATCTTAATGCTCACATGATTCACATCATTTCTATGTACGTAACATGTAGTATCCTTAATGTTTAAATCACAAAAATGTTTACCTGTAGGGGACAGTCTGTCCTTGTTTGAATATATATATATTGGTAGATACATATACGTGTACACTGTACATAGATACCATATGTATGAAAACAATAGTATTACACACGCCCCGACCTACTCTTATTTTTTAATTTATTTTTAGTATTATATACTAGTAATTTTTTTTTTTCTCTGTTGAATTATATACTTACGAAATTTTAATGTTGCTCAAATGAAATTAAAAGAAATTTTTTTATTTTTGGCCCCCTAAGGCAATTTCTTGGATTGGTCTCAAAATTATTATTACATATATTTATATTATTGTAATAGAAGTGAGTGAATTCTGGGGCATGGCCACGTTTTGTATAATTCACAAACATGCATAGCATAGCAAGAGACATAAAGTTGGGCATTCAATTTTGAGTAAGGGGCGTGGTAGTACAATGTATTACCACACCCTCATAAAGGGAAATATGCAGTGTCAATGATGTTATCAGACGATCCTGACATGGCCATTCATATATAAGGACCTACCCTACCTACAAGGAGATAACAGAGTATGTCATGTTGCCTCCGCCTCCAATTCACAAGGGTAGGTTAGGTAAATACATGCATTACCGCTTTGTCGGATTAATACAGACGAGTTCAGTATTAGTTGTAATTTATATTCAATTCGTTTATAACAAGTTAAGTGCGAGTTAGGTGAAATTTAACCGGGTCAACTCGTCATAACCCGTCAACCTCTTTTTTGTAAAGAAAAAAAAAAAAAAAGAGATTGAATATGTCATGGTGCCTCCGCCTCAGTCCACAAGGGGTAGGTTTGGTAAATATATTTATTAATGCTTTGTTGACCCACTACTTTTTGTTGCTTCATACTAAATATATTCCTAACTCCAATTCAAAGTAGTTAAATTAGCTCTTATGAATTGTAGCTTTAACATTAACTACTATAGACTTACATTTTTGGTCTCATTTATGTTGAATCAGCTCCTGCCCATGACATATAAAGAGTAACATTTTGCCCCTGCTAATTCATCATTTTCCTCATTATTATTATTATTATTATTTTGGTAAGGATATAATTATTACATTCAAATAACATTTTATTATTATTATTATTTTCATTTTCAATATTTTAAAAACTGTTATAATAGGCTGAAAGGTGGCAAAGTCAAGATGTCTCAAAAGTTTGAAATCTCTATCTTCGTTCAAAAAGACGAGGTCAGAGGAATGACGCGGTAAAATTTAAACGCTTTTTACGCTCTCTTCATAATATATACATACCTTTTACGCTTCTTAACTAAGCGTATATAACTCCTCCATAGCTTTCCCTACTCTCTTAGCCAAGCCTGTGTCCACGTGGCAGGGCGGCTTGATGCCACACATCAAAATAGTTTCTAAAATAGGTGTTATCACGTTAATTATATTAATATAATACTAATAATTTTTATTTAACAATAATTCACTCTGCTTAATTTGCAAATCAATTAAATTAAAAAGTGCAAAAGAAAAATATACACCTAATATTGAATAAGTATTGATATGTAAGAATTTTAAATTTGGAGCAGAAGAAATCAAAATGGTGTGAGATTAATTGTTGTGTGAAAAAAGAATAAAAAAAAATGAAGTAATAATAAGATACTACTTCCTCCCATGTTATCTATCCCATGGTATTATAAATTTTTAAGGGGACGCGTTTAATTTTAAAATTATTAATATGTCCTTTTAAGTTTAGATATAAATTATCAAGTTGGGAGATTTTTAAAATTTTAAAGAACAATTATAAAAAGATAACATTTATCTTAGTTTCACTTTTGAAATGGCCAATTAATATGGGTCATTTCAAAAGGAAAATGGGGACAAGAAGGGAGTAAAACTTTTGTATTGACCATTAGAAGAGCATGTGCATTTATTTTGTAATTAATACAAGAAATGAAACATAATTAATACGTAGTAAAAAGAAATAATCCTCTCCGACCGGTCCATTTTTCCTTTTAAGAATATCTCAAATTAGTTATTTCATTTTAAAAATTAAATTAAAATAAATGTTATAGACAATGTGATAATTTTAAAAGGATAATGAATTAATTGTATGGACAAAGAAAGTATACAAGTAAGGGCAATACTTGGACTTCTTCCTTCCATGTTTAGGATTGCAATCAAATTCGCATTAGTAATTGACTGTTTGAGTTCGACTTAAAAAAAATTTATCAAAATCGAGCGTAGATGTAGGGGTGTTGGTACAACTAACCTACACTCATCAAACTCAAGCACCACTTGTTTGGTTCATTTAAAAGTGGATTTTATATATATATATATATATTAAAAAAAAAAAAAAGGAAACAAAGAATTTGTTCAATTATATATTCACTGGTCTACTAAATCAATACAGCTATTTAAACTCGGACGGTTTAATATATAACTCCAAAATTTAATTATTTTTTCAAAATTACACAAGTAAGTTGGAACTTGGAAGTGTTTATATATAAATAATTCAAATTAATGTGTGATGACTGTGATCCTATTATGTCAACATACTAAGAGGGCCAAAAAAAAAAAAATCTTTACTAAGACATGTTAACTTACAAAATATATATCATAAATGATTTGACACAGTGATTAACAACATCGAAATACAAAATTTGATCAAATACAATTAGACAATAATACAAATGATGGGTTTATTCCCCCCTTTAATGCCATTTTTTTTTTTTTAATCAAAAATTCAAGCAAACTCACACACCTTCTATACATTATGCCTCTAAGCTCATCATTTCGGTTTAGCGAGAGAGGGAAACTAATAGTACACTATTAGTGCCTATGGATGTGATGCCACTTTCTCTTTATTCAAATTAAGCGCACATACCATCTGTAAAGTATATTTTTATATAATAAAGTGCAGAAAACATCATTAAAGTATGTTTACAGTGCATATTACATTATTTACGTACAAAAAATACCCTTAAAGTTTTAATTTAATGCAAATAGGTCTTTGTGACAAATTTAAACCCTAAGTTGATTAAATTATTCTTACACAACCATTTTATAAAATATATAAAAATAAATAATTTTGTAAAATGATAAAAAAAATGACAATATTGGGGATGCCCCTCTTATGCAAAAAACACATCCCTAAAGTTTCAATCGGGTACAAGTAGGTCTCTCTAACAAATTTAAACTCAAAATTGACTAAATTACCCTTATTGAACCATTTTATAAAATAAAAAATAAATAATTTTATAAAATAACCGAAAACGACATTATTGGAGGAAGCCGGCAATGGACAAGTAATGATAAAAATATAAAAGTATAAAATAAAAGTAAAGATAAAAATAGAAAATAAATAAATAAATAAAGTGTAAATTAAAGAAAACAAAAATTTTCCAAATTTTTTTTTTTTGTTTAACAGTGTTAGTACAAAAAAATATATATATATATAGTATAAAAGAGTAAACTGAAATTTCAAAAAATTTAAATCATTGTTTTACAAATTCTCAAAGTTAAAAAAAAAAAAAAAAAATGTTTAGAGATATATATAAAGAGCAAATTTTAAAATATATATATAAGGTAATGTGCACATAATACCCATATATTATGAGATAAGTAGCATATATACTCCCTTGGGCATTTTCGAAAAAGTAAAAGAGCAAAACGGGTATTACAACATGTTTTGTTTGTGCCCCTCATTTTGGGTCGTTACAATTAATTTATGTCAGATGGGGTATTTTTGCACAATATAAAAATATTAGGAATGTTTTTTGTATACTTTTTTCAAATAAATGGTAAAAATGCTACGCAGAGTATACTTTAGGGGTATTTTTTGCACTTGTCCCTACTTTATATATATATATATATAACATATATACAAATGCATCTATCTATCTCTTGGACACAATTAACTCCCTCAAATATGTTCAATAGTCGGCTATTTTTTAGAGTTAAATCACTCATTCATCACACAACATTATGGAGATAACAATTGTACACCCACAACACTATTTTACATAATTTAGCAAATTCGATCTGCAACTACGACAATGGAAAGATATATTTTCACTATTATGAATTAGGAAGAGAATATACAACCAAATATCAAAACTCAACTCACTCACTCATTATGTCTTTTGAGGCTATATCTATACACTTGAAAATTACATATATTTTCCTCTATCCTCACAATATTCACTCTTAAATCCTTTACACATTATTTATTTATTTTTTATTTTTTTTTATATCTGTCTAATTCCTTGTTAGACAAATATTCCTCAATTTGCCTCTAAGGATCAGTCTTCAACTCTAAAATAACACTTTTATCTTTGACGTTCAACTTTTCTTGAATTGGTTTAGTTAGAATTACAATCATGTCTAAATGGTTCAAGAGAGAAAGTTAAATCAGTTCCAATCTAAGTTGCATAAAGTGAGAGCGGGAGCAAATTTGAGAGCGAAAGCGTGAAAAGGTAAAATTAAATTACAAATAATAAAAATTTGAACGACAGCGCGTCCAGAACGTAAAAGTGACACCAGTTGTAAAAGATTGTGTAATTTGGGTTCCAACTAAGTTAAATGTGTTCATTTACGCAGGAATGCTACTCACTGCACCGGAATCCGACCCACAAAACCCAAACACTGTAAGTCCATATCATCTATATTATATATATATATATATATATATGTATTGTACTATATACATATGTATTTAGCAACTTTATTTGCGTATGGGTGTTTGAGTAATTATGACCATTCACAAGCACAAACAAGTGAAAGAAAAAAAAACCACGAGTACGCACAAGTGGAAAAAAAAAAAACACAAGTACACACAAGTTAAACTCTGCCACCGACTCGACGTAAGTCGTTTAAGTAGCAAAATAAAGGAAAAAACCACCGCCACTCGAGCTTCCTTCCCTATTATGCGCGTGTAAGTTTGTTTGTTTGTGTTTTTTTTTTTTTTTTTTTTTTAAAAAAAGAAAGTAAAATGATAAAATTACTCCTCAAAAGTTGCTGTAAGTGTATATTTTATATTAAAATAATTATAAAGTGTATAAGAAATTATTAGAGTCGATAAATCGGATTATACTAAACTAAACTATATAATTTAATTTGAATATGTTATGGAATGGTTTGATTCTTGTTTTAAAAATTAAAGAAGTATATGAAAACAAAATAAACAAATGAAAATGAAACAGTTGACAATAACACTTGTTCAAGTTTAATTTATAAAGAGACTAAATAGTATATCTGTCGAATATCACAATAAATAAGATTATATATATATATATATATTAAAATTTGAGTTTTTATTTGATTGGTATATATGCATGTGTTATCTAAAATCACATAGCACAGTAGTGCGAAAATAGTTCTAAAATTTGTGCGCTTGTAAACTTATGTACTACTAAATGGATATATGTGCACATGTATCAAATGTTTTCAATATTTGTAAATATGTTAAAGACCATGATATACTTTGTGAAATAATAAAAATGTAATTTTATTAACACCTTTGAGTTATATTAATCTTATTTCTTTTATGTTTAGAGATACATAATATTAGTAATATTCAAAATACAAAAAATTATAGTATATATATATATATATTTTATTTTAAAAAAAATACGATATGAGAAATTTACATATTAAGAAATGTTCTTTACAAGAAAAATCGTTATAAAATTGAGGATTCACAAATTAAATTAAGTAATTCACATAATGAATTCGAGGATTAACAAAATTAAATTAACAAATTGATGAAAGATCTGTTTCCAAAGTGCCAATTCACGTGAGAAGCACGAAAGTAATACTCTTTTAGAAAAAGAATTGTGTGACTTAATATATTTTACATATATACATTGCAAAATCCAAAACCATATAATTGAACTGATAATCTACCGATGGGTTCAATTTTAATATTTTTTGAAATTTATTGGATTGATTGGATTTTGATTCATTCCACCATCTGATCAAATTCAACCTTTATGGACTCCCATGTAAGTACATTTTATTCAAAATTAAAATGGAAGATTACATTTTATAATAATTATAGTGTGTACTAGTGCGATTTAAAAGATATTTTTATCTTTCTAATTTTAAAAATAAAACAGAAGGATGCAAGTGAAGTAAAGTATATATACTGTTTTTATACTCTTTTTAATGAGTAAAAAATAATATTAGAAAGTGAAGTAAAAAAAGAAAGGAAAAAAAAAATCATGCATATATATTTTATAATGTGATGATTATGAAATTTAGAATAAAATAATACTAATATTTTATGACTTTTATCTGCAAAAAAAGTGTGCACCAATAGGAGTCCAGCTCTTTGAATTTTTAGTTTTATTTTTTTAAATTTTTTTCCTTCCCTTTTATAGCTATCAATTAATGAGATGCTCTATTTATTTATTTATTTATAAAATGAGATGCTCTATTTAACAAACCATTGTTAAATTTTTTTTTTTTTTTGACGTGGAGTGCACGAGCCTATGAAGTAATTTCTCGGTTGCATCCTAATCAGAGGAGGAGTAGGACTTAGCGTTGTAATTTAGCTGAAAAGCGAGGGGCTATAAATAAAAAGAACAACAACACCTGCTTGATTTGTGAGAACAAAACAACGCACCAGACGTTTCAAACATTGGGAGTTTCCTTTTCTTGATCACTCTCGAAAACCCTTAACTTCTCAGAATTCTTTTGCACCGATCAAACCATTTTCAGCTTCTGATCTTCTTTCTGACAAGAATATCAGAAACCCATGTTAGATTTTTTCTGAGAAAACTGTTATTTTCTTTTCTTGTTTCAATTTTCTGTGCAAAATCCCAGGTTCTGAAACTGTCGCTCTTAATGTGAAATTGAGTTTCTGACCCCATAATTCTGCCAAAATTTTACAACCCTCTTCGTTTCCTTTCTTCTTCCTTTTATTTAGGCTTACAAATTTTGGTCTCTGGTACCGTTCTTCTGTGTTCGTGTTTTTTATTTTTTTACTTTTTTGGATTTTGTTTTTTCATAAAAACACGAACGAGGGTGTTTATTTGATTATGTGTTTTGATGATGGATAATTGGAGAAGGAAAAGGGGTGATAATTATTGCCAAGAATCTGCAAAAACAAGATCTCAGAACAAAAAGCCACCTCTGGGTATGTTTACTTTCTGTTTCTTGTTGTTCTTTTATTATAGCTTTTATTTATTCATTTATTGTATTTTATGTTATATGATTTTGTTCCATTAAATTCTCTTGAATATGGTTTATTTACAGTGTATTTTTGGTAGACGAAAGTTTGAGTTTTTTATGATTTTGACAAGGATTTGTGAATGTTGATAATTATCTTATACCTATGCTGGGAGTTTTTTGAGGTTTAGGTTTTAAAGGTTTATTATTTTGTTTAAATGTAATTTTGCTGCTGAGAATGCTTTTCTTTAGAAAGTAATGTTTTGATTATGAAGACTGCTTTTCTTTTTAGCCAGTATTTTTTGGGGGTTCACTAGGATTTTTTCTTGTTGGTATAAATGTTTTATGCTTCGTTTTTTTCTGTTTAAATGTGGTTTATCTGTTACACTTTATGGGTTTTTTAAGCACCGGCAGAGCTTCTTTGCTTACGTGCTTATCAGTTCTAATATAATTCATTAACTTCCTTACTTCTTCCTGATCGTGGTTTTTGGGAGGTTTTTAGTGAAGGGAAGTGAGTTTTCTGAATTTTATTTTTTCATGTTGCATTGTGGTTGATTTAATATGTGAGAATTGGGAAATTGATGTTGAATTTTTATTGTTTGGCATTTATGTGTGTTTTTAGAACTGTGCTGCAGTGTTATTAACACTTGCATGCATACTAGGAAGCTCCTGGCTGAAATGTTTTATATGTGGTTCTGTATCTCGAGAAGCTATAGGGTACCCTGGTAGTGGTTTTTAATTTCCCTCGGCCAATCAAAACACCCCATTTCCTATTATCAAGGTAAATGGGTTGTTCAGATTGGCTGGGGGTATTTAGTAACCCCTACCCCCGGGGTAGGGTAGTGTATATTTTTCCTTGTATCTCAATTATGGGACAAATATGAGAAATGAACTTGAAAAACACTCGAAATATTGTTGCATGTGAAGTACTTTAGAATTAATTAGAAAGAAACTAGGAATGTCCAAAAATAAATGATGAATGTGGCAGAAGAATGATGTGTAAATCAGGAATTGGTGTACGTCTGTTTGAGTGCCGTTATCATTCATTATTGTTGTCGTTTTCGAACACAAAAATTTCCTTTCTTAAAACTTTAGGATTTGTTTCATGTGTGCCTTCTATTCATTTCTTTTTGTCATATTTTATTGACACGTAAAAGGTAAAGGAAGAGAGATTGTCGATTTCCATTAGTGTTTCTGATGAATATCCACCGTGTTTTTTTGGGCATTAATTGAAATTTCTGGCTTGTTTCCTATATCTGTTTCTCAGATCATTTGTCTATTTCTTTCCCTATTTGGGAACTATGCTTTGGTTTTCTTTTTTAGCACATTTTGTTTCCTGTTGTTTATATCTGGTTTTAGTATATATGGTTGGTCTGCCTGTGTAGTTGAAAACTTACATTTTACTTCTTTTCTCCAGGTAGTTGGCAGCCAACTGTGCCTTCATGGGAGAAGAAATTCTGCACTTCAGTTGGTTCAGTTCCATGGTGTAAGCTCTTGGAAACCAAGAAGTTTATGTACCTTTATGACAATGTGGTGAAATGGAACGATTCTGCAGGGGAAGAGGCATTCTACAATGCCAAGAACCGGTTCTGGGCAGAAATAAATGGCCTTCCCTGTGACATATCACTGCCTGATCCAAATATATATATTGATGAAATAGATTGGAATTCCAACATTGATCCCGAGCTGCTATTGGATTTGGAACGCGAATATGTCATTCCTGATGGGGGAGAAAAAGATGAGAAGGTTGTGATTTTTGGTAAACAACTCCTTTCGAATCAATCATTTTCTTGCACTGGCTGGGGAGAAGAAGAGGACGACTTAAAGAAGGCGACTAACTCATCTTTGGATAATAATAAAAATCTGTTGGCGCTTAATTGTACTCACGATGTTGGCGCTGGTGCTGTGAGAGAGAATGGCTGGGGAGATGTTTGTGATGATGAGGCCATGAAGGACAGTGGATGGGGAGATGGTTGGAACAATTCCCAGAGTTTGAATCAATGGGAGAACAATAATAATGAGTCTCAGAATTTGAAAGACAGTACCGATAGAGTTTGGGGAACACAGGATGTCAACAACGGAATGAGTGAAGGCAGTGTTAGGTACATGTCAAGATACAAAACCTTGAGGTTTCATGGCAATGAGCATCAGAGGAGTCGTGAGTGGAGGAATGGGAAGGTGAGGAAAAGGGCAAATTTTGTTTATGAACGACCTTTTTCAGATAAAAGACCAGCTTCAAAGCAGTGGACTTGAGTATCAGTGTGACCGACCAGTCAGACATAGTGGATCATGCAAAAGCAGGAAATCCATGGGACTTGAGAGAGACCAGTTTTTTCGAATCTGAAGTAAATAGTATGTTGTCAATTTGATTCTATATTAAATTGTGGTGTGTATCAGAAAGAATGGCGCGTAATGGCGCCAAGTAATGGTACTGTATTTCGGTTTTGCAGTTTTTCTTCTCTGAGATTTTGAACGCTCGTGACATTGGGGGAGGATATATAATATCAGATAGTATGTTTGTTCTTCTCTCTTTAGCACACAGTGGTGTTGAAATTTTGATGATTTTCTTTGGTAGGTGAAGTACAGATGTTTTTAGATGGATGCGTCATGCATTTATTTTTTGATTAGTTATGGGTACAAATAGTTGTATATTGTTTTCATTTTTGTCTTTTTGGTTGTTAACATTAGTAATTGAGATTTGTTGTGTGGGACAATTGTTAATGTTAGGCTACGTCAGGTTATATATATAATGAATGTCATTACAAAATAGACATTCTAGCCATCACTGTATTTGTACGCATAATTATATCTTGTTTGTCGCACCGCACCCATAGGTTGGGTCAGGCCGGGGCCGAACCGGAATTAAAAACTTGGTGCCCAACCTAGTTGATTATAAGATTAAAGACTGATCCTGCTTTAAATTTGGATTCAGTCTGAATTTAACTGAAGGGAAGGTTGGGCCTTCTTGGTAATTTGTCAAATGAGAGAACAATTCTCAAACAAAGACTTTTATATAAAAATAGGTCTTTTTATATATTGGAGTTTTTAAAATAATTTTAAAAAAAATTGAATCAAGTACAGAAAATTGAATTTCAGTTCTCATAAAATTATTTTAGATTGATAAATCAAGCAGACTTTTTTTTTTTCTTCACAAAATTGAAGAAAAGTTTATTCATGTAACCGTTTTTAAGTTCACATTTTACTCTCTGATTAAACTTGGGAGAGAATTGAAAACAAAAAACAAAAATCAATGAATCAAAGGCAATCAATAATTAAGGTTTTGAAATTGAAAAACCAACCAATCCTATATTCCTATGTATCACTGAGCATTCAATTTATCTTTCATACTTATTCTATAACTTTAATTATTTTACAATCGAGTAGAAGTTTGTAAGGATATACAAGGCAGAGGCAGAGGTTTGGCTACGAAGTGGAAGGGCTACCGTGGTCGGAGGTGTATATTTCGTCAGTGTACTACTGCGATCAGTGACTGTAACTGCGTCACCGCCTGACGTGGAGTCCTACCTGGTGGCCGCCGATAATCCTTCTCCCACTGTGCGGCGGCTGCGCTTCCGGTTTGAAATACGACCAAGATGGACACATATACTCACATCCTCTCTTCTATACACACCATTAAGACCAAGGTTAATGATTTTCTTTTACTGTAATTTTCTTCTTCTTCTTCTTCTTCAAAACGTGCAATGAGAATTAGACTCTGTTGATGGGTGTTATATACTCATTTGGCTTTCACTTATTTGCTTTTGCTCCCTTTGTGGTTTCTACTGCTGACAGGTTTTTAGCTTTGTGGTCTCTCCCTCTTTATTAGTTTTTTGTTAAGAGTTCTATGTATCGATATATACCCCTTCAGCATATTTTTCATTTTATTTTATAAAAACCCTAACTTGCATCTGGTGGCTGAGAAATTGTAGGAAAATCAAAGTTTCTGATTTGATTTTTATTTTACTCTTCTTTGTTTTGGCATTTTTAAGTTTTGAGTATTTCTTTTTTCTTTTCGGATTTGGGATTTGGTTGTCAACATTTTTTAAAGGAGGTATACTTTTCAAACATTAGTTTAAAGAATAGGGTTGAATTGATTTGTAAAATCCATGTCAGCAAGAATTTGGAACTCAAATTTGTCACCATTGGGTTTCAGTGACGATGATCTTTTAGTATGGAGGGCATACATTGATAGGTTCCTAGGCATTTCTTTGAGACTTGAGATCTTTATATTAGAGTTCTGCTTTCCAATTTTAGTGTGTGTCTTTTGATTCTTTTTGGCTTCCCTTAATTTTGATTTAATAATTGTTTAATTAACCCTTTGTTATACAAATGTATTCTGGTGGTTTGGCTTTGACTACATTCTTCACATTTTGTGACTTAATGTGTAATTTTTAAGGGTTTATTTTATTTTATTTTTTTAGCATCATTTATGAGAAATTCCATATGCAGAAGAAAAGTAGTAGATAAATAGTCTCAATTCACCTGTAAGAACAAAAATAGTTGTTTGAGTATTTGATGTTCAGGCATCATGGAGGTAGACGAGGAAATTTTTGTCTCAACCTCCCTTGACGAGCCTGTGGTTGCAATGACTAATGGGCAGAATGTGGTTTCTGCAACTGATCGAATTCCACCACTACCAGTTCAACCTGTCATTCCACCACTAATCCCACCTGCAACTGTGCCTCCTATTGCCCCAATTCCCTGAGCATTGGCACCTCTCCCTGCCTGTCCACCTGTCCTTAGGCCACACCGGCCACAAAATGGTGAGACTGGGGGTGGTGATTCAGATTCTGACCACGACGACTCGGGCCTTAATAAGACTGCTGCAGATTCAGCTGCAGAATATGAGATTTCAGAAGAGAGCAGACTGGTCAAGGAGCAGCATGAGAAAGCTATGCAAGAACTTCTGATGAAGAGACGTGCTGCTGCTCTTGCGGTGCCTACTAATGACATGGCTGTGCGGGTTCGTCTCCGAAGGCTTGGCGAACCCGTAACTCTTTTTGGAGAAAGGGAGATGGAAAGACGGGACCGTTTGCGAATGCTTATGGCAAAGCTGGATGCTGAAGGGCAATTGGAGACGCTCATGAAAGCTCACGAAGAGGAGGAAGCTGCAGCTTCTGCAACAACAACAGAAGGAGCTGATGACGAAATGGTTCAGTATCCATTTTATACTGAAGGCTCAAAAGCTCTTTTAGAAGCTCGATTGGACATTGCTAAATATTCTATTTTGAGGGCAGCTTTACGTCTACAGCGTGCTAGGAGGAAAAGGGATGATCCAGATGAAGACGTGGATGCAGAGATTGATTGGACTTTGAAGCAGGCTGGAAGCTTGGTCCTTGATTGCAGTGAAATTGGAGATGATCGGCCACTTTCAGGATGTACCTTTTCACATGATGGAAAGATGCTTGCCACGTGGTACTCTCTCTCTCTACCCTCAGTATGCATTATTTGTGTGAGCATTTATGTTTATAGATGCCTTCCATGTGGTCAGACCAAGAAAATCTCCTTGTTGTAATTAGGGTATATTGTTTCCCCCTCTCTCCCCATTTTTTTTCTTTGTTTCCCTTATTGCCTTCTTCAAAGCATTTAAGTTAGTTTTTTCTGGTATTGGGCATATTGACAAGTCCCGTTCTTTAAAATAACTTCTGTTTCACAATTAAGGAGCCTCGTCTTTGTCTGAGGTCTTAGCAGATAATACAACTTCATCTCCCTTTTGAGGCATCTGAATTGCAGAAGTTATAACTTGTGCGTGGAAAGAATTATTATTACTATTTTTCATAATTATTATTATTATTTTTGCACTGGATGGAGATAATGAATATAGAAGTCACGGGAGGAGTAGACAAAAACGAACTACTTGTTATACATTGTATAATTCCACCATTTTAGGAGAGTTAGGAATTTGCTGGTATTATGGTTTAAAAATAGTTTGTTACTAATTGCACTAACTGTCTGGAATTATATTTCCATTGCTTTTTTATTTTATTTTTTCTCTCTTTTGGGTTAGTGCTTTAAATGGAGTTGCCAAATTATGGAGCATGCCTCAAGTAAAAAAGGTTTCTGCTTTAAAGGGACACACAGAACGTGCAACTGATGTTGCATTTTCTCCTACAGACAACTATATAGCAACTGCATCTGCTGATCGCACTGCAAAGTTATGGAACACAGATGGGTCTCTCATAAAGACGTTTGAGGGGCATTTGGATCGTCTAGCTCGTATTGCCTTCCATCCATCAGGGAAGTACTTTGGCACTACCAGCTTTGACAAGACTTGGAGATTATGGGATATCGATACTGGTGTAGAGTTGCTTCTCCAAGAAGGTCACAGTAGAAGTGTATATGGGTTATCCTTTCATCATGATGGATCTTTAGCAGCATCCTGTGGATTGGATGCACTTGCTCGAGTATGGGATCTTCGGTCTGGGAGAAGTATTCTTGCCTTTGAAGGGCATGTCTAGCCGGTGGGACTCCAAACTTTGTTACAATATCATTTTTTTGAAAAAAATTCCTGGGTGGTTTGGAATGAAATTGTCCTCTGAAATACTGTTATATGTGGTTTCTTTTTCAGGTTCTTGGTATTAGTTTTTCTCCCAATGGCTATCACTTGGCTACTGGTGGTGAAGACAATACTTGTCGAATTTGGGATTTAAGGAAGAGGAAATCCTTGTACACCATACCTGCTCACTCAAATCTTATTTCTCAAGTCAAATTTGAGCCTCAAGATGGGTATTTTCTGGTCACTGCTTCATATGATATGTCTGCTAAGGTAACAATTTCTCTCTTCTACCATGACTGTATCCTAGATATTGGATCTTTAGAATATATCATTTCATGTTAGGCATAAGTCTTTTGTTTATTTATGTCAGGTATGGTCATCCAGAGATTTTAAGCCTGTCAAGACGCTATCTGGTTATGAAGCAAAAGTTACATCATTGGATGTGGTAGGAGGTGAGTTTTCTTCTACTTTGAAGAACCCAAGTATGCATAAAATCCTGATATATGTGTTTGCATGTCTTTGTGTATGTGTTTCAAATATAAACGACCATGTTTTGCCATTTCATATGCTTATGAAGCAACACCTTAATAAATTTATAGCGGCCTGCTATGTTCAGTTTTAGCATTGTTTCTGAAACCCAAATAGTTGTCATGTTTAGAGTATCCTGATTTGTTGCAATCTATCTTGCTACATATTCCTACTTTGAGAACTGTGTTGTGTTTTCAATAAAAACTTCCTGTTACTTGAAATATCTACAATATATATTTCAATCTCATATTTAATATCGGAATGATACTATATGAGAAAAACTTTTATTCATACTGTTGTATTAATAGACCATGAATTTTGTGAAGACAGCTCATGCTAATGAGAGTCGTGTGCGAGTGTGTTTATGCGTGTCATTTTAGGATACATGGACATTATATAGTCTTGCGTCCAAGAGTTGGGCTCATGTGTGAGGTTAGAAGTTAAAAATATTGTAACATTGAGGGGATAGATTACAAAATTCTCACATAAAGGGATTTAAGCCTTAAGGTAATTTAAAAACATGATTTCATTTAAAATTATGAAAACATGTGCAATTATTTGCAAAATCTTTAGAAGCAAATATTTTCAAACTTTGATTGAAAGAAGTGGGAAAGCTTCATTTTCTTACCGAGGACATAGGTGAGAAGAAAACTGTGGATTATTCCTATTTATCATTTGTAAAATTACTACCCAAAAAAAAAAAAAAAAAAAGGAAAATTTTGTTTCTATTCAAGAAGTAATTCCTCTCCATCTTCGTCCAATTCCACCTCTGGTGAAAACTGAACTTTACACTATTACCTTGCTTCCTTCTTCCTTACCCATATCCATTTTTTTCTTAGCCAGCAGTGGGCTTTGCTACTAAAATCGAGCTATATGCTCTTTAGAATGTTTGAGAAAAACATTTGAGATGGGATTACTAGACCTAATATTATACAGGTGAGTGGTACTGATGCCAAGTTCTCGATGCCTGTGATGCTGCTTGAAAATGTGGCATGGGGACACAATAACACTAATTAAAGTATTCGTCGAAGAAAACACTAAATTGAAGTATTTAAATAATCAGAAAATATGACTTGTGTGCCAGAAACATGTCAAGAAACAGAATGAATAGTAGCAGCAGCAGCAGCGCCGGCAAAAGTAATAATGATATTAAATATTGGCATCTAGGTGCTAGTATGCACTCTGTATGTGAATTTTGATTTGGGCGATGAAATGGAAATTGTGGTTATAATATGGATTCTTAATCCTTGTTCTATGTTTTCCAGAATGTGTATGATTCAATATCCTTGCTTGTAAGTTCATTTTGTGCCCATCGAAATTGAATAAAAAAAATTCCTTATGGAAAATAATGCCACAATCTTTCAGTATCAGTCAAGGCACAAGATTTGATGAATGTTTTCTCAACTTTGGTTAATAAAAATTGGTTATCTAGACTATCTTCTGGTTACTACTGTACAAAGCTTCTCCATTTGAGTTCAGCAGTCCACTATCGTGATTGTTGTTATTTGGTGGCAGATGGACAGTACATTGCAACTGTTTCACATGATCGGACTATCAAGCTATGGTCAAGCAGAAACAATGGAAAGGAGAAGGCTATGGATATTGACTAAAATGCCTTTTGAATTCCTCTTTCCGTCAGTGAGAAGACATAATTGTGGTGGCTTATATCTTTTACTAGTTTTATTTAGAGCCCAAAACATACAGAATGCTCATTGGAATTTCCATGTCTCAAATGCCGATGTTCGCCGTCCAAGATTAACCTTTGCTGTTGAGCATCTTTCAGCAATAGTGGCGCACTTGGCCTCCACAATGACAATGGTTGTGTGATCCATCATCATCCATGCAAGGAAAAAAATTGCATCTTGAGAGATGATAGTATGCGATTTGCTTTTCCTATAACTATGTACCCGAGTCAACGATGGACATAATGTTTGTATCTGCAGAGATCATTTTGACCGTCTCATAATTTGATTTTTCTCATATGAAGGTTCATTCGTTGATTGAAGATTTTCAGCTATTTTGAGAGCAGCTGCTTTTGGTTCTCTGAGTTTTACATTGCATGTCATTTAAATGCAATGATTCGTTAAAACGTGACAGAATGTTGCTTGCTTTTCAAGAATTTTAACTGGAAATTCTTATCTAGAATTTGTTGTATTTCTAAGTTATTTAGAGGGTATTACTCATTAGTGAGTGAGTGATGAAGAATGGTTTTCACACCTTGTAACAGACAAGGACTAATCTTCCATATAGGGGTATTGTAACAAGTGAGCGCTTGTCCATTTACTCAAAAGCTCAGCTGGTAGTGCTGCATACCCACCCATTTATACCAAACCACTTTTCCATTCAGATTTGATGTGAGACAAATTATTCTTGTAACATTCTCCCCCACCTAAACTTGCAACGCCTTCGTTGCGGTTCGGGCCACCTTGCTTATTTGGATGCCTTTCGGGCCGGGCGCTTGTTGTGGCACCGGATCAAAGATTGGATCTAACTCTGATACCAATTATAACGGGTGGACGCTTGCCGATTTATTCAAAAGTTCAAGTTGTTGAATAATACTGCATACCCACTCATTTATAGCCAATTACTTTTCTATCCGGATCCGATGTAAGACAAATGATCCTTGTTACAGGTATTCACTGCCAATTTGATAATTTGGGATCAATCAAATGTGTTGGACACAAATGAAAGTTGAGTCTGATTGTACATAAATGCCTTGGCTCCATATATAAGAAGTTCGTAAAAAATAAATTAAAAAATTTAATCCAAGCAGCAAAAATCACTAGAGCTAGTAGCACAGCGGTAGGATGCAACAGTTTAGGAAGTATTATTCATTACAATGTCGACACTTGATTTATGCTGATTGGAAAGTTCATCAAAGTCAAGTTGAGAGTTGAGACATGATTTAATTTAGTAGAAGTAAATAAGCTAATTGTATATTACATGCTGCGCAGAACCAAATAGATTGCATTACAAAAGCAAAGCAATTTACTACAAGGTTTACAAAGAAAATCCATACTACATACAAATGCTTCCACATAAAAAGGAATTGAATGGATCTTAACCAAAACAGCCACTGGTAGTGTTCATTGATGCACAAACTGTGAATCAGCAGTTTTTAATTGAAACCAACTCGGAAAATTTTCAATCAACATAATTTCTACATTTCAAAATATCAATTTCCATTCACTCCTAGAGTTTTCATTTGATAATTTTGTGAACGAAAGATGCCAATTTTCAAGAAATGAATTTGGCATACACCATGCCAATGCTGATCGACAACTTCAGAATCTTGCATTTATGGCCATTACCTCCACCAAAATTGTTAGTATTACGTCCACCAAAATTGTTACTAGCCACATGATTTTGTGATGAATACCCAAAAGATAAGTCTTAATGGGCCCCAAGGAATCAGCTCCAATGATGCTGATGAAGCTAGAGCTTGAGAATGAGGCCAATAGGACAATGATCACTTCCAGTAACATCTGGGAGAATGTAAGAGTCGTGAACCTTGTCAGCAATGGATTCTGAGACAAGGAAGTAGTCAAGCCGCCATCCTGTTTCACAATCAAGATCAAAGATGAAATAAGATGGCATGAACCAGACCCCAAAGGGCTTGCAGTTTGTGGTTTGTGCTGACAGAACAATACCTAAAGCAGAGCAGTTAGAAATGATATAAGTAAGCATGGGATAGGGCACAAAACCCATCCTTGTAAATGAAAATATTGCACAAGAAAAGAGAAGGAGTCACCACCACAATTATCAAACACCACAAATAAAATATTGGAACCTCACCTCAGGAATACAAATTTTAGGTAACCTCACACACCATTGTTATCTTCGCCATAGGTTCTCTCCCAAGCTCATAACATAATCTCCCTTCCTGTGTTGGAAGGAAAAGGGAAGAAAGAACAGGTTTTTTTTCTTTTTTCACCACGGGGAATTTTTTGCCCCTAATTCCCAGTAACATCAAACCTCAGTCAATTCCATGCATTACCATTTCCTTACAACATCTATCATCATTCCTTTTTGTTTTTCTCTTTTACATCCTAAAGAACGGAAAAGAGAATATAAAACTAACTGGCAGTTGATGAATCCAGACACCAGAATTCACAGCCCATCTGCTTCATTGGGAGTCACGATCTCTCCTATTTTACAAGGATGGCAGAGTATTCAATCGTTTTATGTAACCATTCATTTAAAATACTAGGATCAGCATAATAAATGCAAAAATACAAAGTCGCTTATTCAAGTTATTTAAATCTGTAGACATGGGAAAAATGGCTCAATATTAAGAAATGATATTTCAGAAATATATAACAGCGTCCTTCCAACTCAGGCAGAATTAGCGTATCATAATAAATCATCTAAAGTACCAAAAGGGCCATTCCATATTCTATTATCCTGACCTATGTGCACGATGGAGAACCACAAGTATTACAAGTCCATAATGCTATTTTCTAGACAGAAACAGAATTCTAGTATAGAACAAAGACGATAACATGGGCTAGAATGATGAATATCATTGCATACCAACAAAAATTGGCTTTCCTGAAAAACTCTGATAATTTAATAAGTATCAACCAATAGATAAAATAGAATGTCACTTCAAGAGAAGTAGATTGTGAAATACCTTTATTACTTTTGCGCCCACCATGCCTGAAACCCCAGTAAGTATAGCCAACAACACCAGGATGCTGCTTCCTAAAGGTATCCACAAGACCCCTAGATAAGAAGTTTGTCCCAAATGATCGTCTTTCTTCATCTGTAAAACCAGCACTTCTTCTATTTCCCTATAAAACAATTGGGCATGACAATGAAAACTATCAAAATCCAAGTGCATGCACAGAATGGATAATCATTTGAACCCCAGATAAATAATGCCTAAACAATACCGTTTTAAAATTTTATAATAAATCTTCTCTACATGGCAATCTACTAACATCAGTTATTATTAATGACACCACAGAATTAGATTAAAATTTGAAAGATAATCAGGAAGAAATTCATTCAGATATGAACAGAATAGATCAAATAAAAATGATGTAATGATGGGAAAAGTTTAAAAATGCCAAAAATATGGAAATCACAAAAGCAACTTATTTACCAACAAATGAACTACTCCCATCCAAATCCACTTAATCTATTCGAGTATGGATGTTGATGCAGCAGTATTTATAGCAGCAGGTTTATGGACAAAGCGAGAGAACTCAAGAAATGCCTTGCACTGAGCTGGGAGTAGCTTGGTGTCTATTATGGTTCATCAATGCTGCGATATATTTATCTTGTTTTATTTATGCTTACAATGATTTAGTTAGGTAAGGTATCCTTTTATACAAGTTATTGTAGGCTAAAGATTAACAAGAACCAATTGTTCGCCATTTCTGGGCATTTCCCTAATTGTTTTCTCTTGCTATTTTCTTCCTTTTTTCTTGTTCTATTAGCAGGTTGGTTGGCTGCTCTTCATGATCAGTTGTTGAGCTAAGGGAAGGGTGCAAAATTCCAATTTCTCATCGAAGGGCTGCATCAAGTTTGGCTACCAGCTGTTAGGCTCAAAACTAGCAAAATTACAGTTTGATATATACGTATAATGCATATATATAGCCGAATAAAAAATCTTCCAATCTAATTCCAACAAAATTATATAAACTTCAAATGCAAATAATTCTGGCTCAGTCGAAATTGGGAAGCTCTGGACTCACTGAATTCCACCCTGCAAACACCTAATATACTGCCACCTACTCGTGTAGAATCACTGAAGTTCACTTTACCCAATAAGTCAAAGGCAATAACAGCATAAACTAGCTCTTAATAGAAAACAAATTTAACACCAACGTATCAGACAACTCATTAATCAACCATGGATTTGCCATGAAATGAAGTAAACAAACTAATTCAGTCATATACCAATCACAAAAATCAGCAATTCCACAATGGTAGTGAAACACAAGGCAGTGACATTTGCTATTCAGTAGCTCTACTTAGAGCAGATGCCAACTTCTTGCCTGGGATATGCTTGTGGTCCGAATTAATGTTTAAGAAGTTGAGAACAATCAGAGAAAGCATTTACAATGATAGAATCTTGATTACTTACAGCAGGATTATGGATGTCTATCTCTTCGTGAGCACAGTTCAGGTCTCCAGTCAAAATGACAGGCTTTGACTTCTCTAGCTCCTGTATCATGCATGTGAAGGAAAAGGATATAAGCACAAAGGCCTGACCATTAAAAATCATGCATCAACTATTGCTTTTAACTTTATGATGAAGTGATATATGATGGAGGAGAAATGAAACCACAAGAAAGATCCATCCACACCCACATCCCACACCGCGTCTCTGTAATTCTTATTGGAAAACATTTCTGTAAAGATTGGAACCATAAAAACTAGATAAAGTATAATCAGATTAAATGCATTCTTAAGGTATATAACACTGTTGTCGTGTCAAAGTGATTGGTGAATAGTAAAAACGGAAATTATTTTCAGAAAATTCTCCTGACTTTCTAATGAAACATACTAAAGATTTTATTCCAGAGATCATTCTTCTTGGAGAAGGTTAGCTAATAAATCCAAAGTGAATGAAAAATAATCAGCATGTCAAGTGTAGAAGAAAAAAGAGCAGAAACGAAAAACTATAGTTCATGAGCTTAAAATGAAAACATATGGAAGAGGGGAAAAATATGATACACAAATAAATATGATGCAGAACATAGACTGACCTACGAACCTATACTAGACTAGAAGGCTATCCTAAGGGCTGAAATTAGATAAAGATGCTATGGCTGATGCATTAAAGTTTTTGCAGAGATATTTTTGTATTTTGGCAGGGATATTTTTGTGTAATCTTAGCTAGTAACTTCCCTTATATATTTTGAGTTTCCTTCATTGTTAAGGAACGTTTTGGTGCCTATAGATGGGCATATATGCAACTCATATAATTAGTGAGTCTCAGAGGTCTTCCCTCTCTTCTTCTTCCCCTATTCTTGCTGTTCTTTACCCCTCAGTCAGTCTAGCCTACCTCTTCACTCTGTTTCCTCGTCCCCTTCATCTGTTTCTCCCCCTTTTCATCTAGTCTCATCTCATCTTCTAATTCCCATCCCTTCTTTCATTCTAATTCAAAAATTGTATCAAAGCAGGCCTATCCATCCAGTATCAAAATATGTGCTCGATGATGCAATATAAAAGATTAAAGACCAGTAAATGTAGACTTACTTTCATGTAATCGCTGAGAGACGGATCCCACTGTGTAACCCTGTAAGACTATTACCAAAGACAAACATATCATTCCAAAAAAATTCCTTTTAAAAATTATACTCTGAAAGATATAATATGATCTACTCTGGAGAAAATAAAAAAAAGGTAGAATAGAGATAGAAACAGGATAAAGTACCAGTCTTTTAAGACCATCCCCAGAATTAGGAACATATCCATTTATTATATAATACTTATCAAACTCCACCGTCACTAGTCGTCCTTCACTATCGTGATCTGACATGCCTAGGCCATATGTGACCGAAAGTGGCTTTATCTGCCAGACAAGTCATGATCTCAGAAAGTGAAAAAGAAAAATATATATATATATCTAGTAACAATAAAAATATATATAAACTATTTTTAGGGCAAAAATTGCAGGTATCTCAAATAATCAGGCTGGAAACTATCGCATATCAGGAGAATAAAACAGAACATGCTAGCAACAGTTTTTTTTTTTACACACTATTATTGTGGGTTAGTAAAGGAAGATATGATAGCATGTGGATTGACCGAGGCTATGGCCTCAAATACAGCGGAATGGAAATATGAGATTCATGTAACCGACCCCAAGTAATTGGGAAAAGGCATGATTGTTGATGATGTTATTTGTTTTTTTACGGACAGGTCATGAAACTGAACGTTTTCTCTTTACTACCAATTGCAAACAAGATATCAACTAAGGTGACCAATGCGAAAATTTATCAATCTAAACCTAGAAAGAAATAATATCAAGGTCAAATAATAATATTAGCTATATAGTTGTCAAGAACACTACTTTTTATTGAAGTGTGGATACAATCAGCCACATTATACAAATTCCATGGGCTCAAGTCCCAACATGTAGCTTTCTTTAGAAAGGTAAATAATAATAATAATAAACAATAATAATAATAAATAAATCTTTTGTCTTTTTTTCTTCTTCCTGGCTACTGCTCTTTTTTCTTTCCCCTCCACGCTTCCACCTCTTCCTGATAACTGCTCAACATGTAATTTAACCAAGTCCAAAAGTTCAGTTTTGACATAACAAATGAATTGTGTGGATATTCAATAAATGCTCTGGGAAGCGTAGGATCTAATGTAAGCAAAAGTGCACATTCAGCTAAAGCGGATGGTAAAAGAAACATCCATGCACAAAGTAGAAATCATTTGTTAACAGTGCAACAGGCACAAATAGAGAATTGTGACTAGTTTTATTAGTGAACTAAACTGAATACTATATTTTTAAAGATATAATATAAAAAACTATATTGTTCCGAAAAGGAAAAAAGACCGAGTATACCCGTGATACAATTGCAGTACCAGAATACCCAAGTTTGGAGACACTACAAGTCCAAAAGCTATTCTCATAGCCATCTAGGAGAGTCTGTTTGATTGCCTCAACATCCTTCTCCTGCATATAGGAATAAAATATGCAGTTACTTAAAAATAAATAAATACGTTCTACACCTATTATTATTATAGTTATCCATTTGCAGGCAAGCGGGAATGGGATGAAGATGCTATTCATGTTCCTTGGAAGACTCAAACCCAAGTATGTGGTGTTTACCACTAGCATGATTACTAGCTAAGATAATTGGCATTTTCAAAAAAAAAAAAGAAGTAAAAAATGGTCACCAATCACAACCTAACATGATACACAATTCAGAAATTCAATAAAATGTAATTAATAAATTTATTTTTATTTTTTATTTTTTCTATTTCATAGGTTAGGTACCAAATTCTTACTATGTCTAAATCATGATATCAGACTGATCTTAACAAGTTTATAAAAAATTAAAAAAAAAAAATAAATAAATAAATAAATCTTTTTTTTTTTTTTTGTTCAAAACATTCACTGTGGAAAACATTTTTATAGCAGTGATTTCCTCTCTTTTCCCCCCTTTATGCAAGCAAGACAAGCACAAACCCACAATTGCCACTTACAAGACTTGAATCCTCAATCTTCCACTTGGAAAGCAGAGGAGATGGCACTAGAGCTACGCTCTTGGTGCAATATCTATTTTTAGTAGAAAATACAAACATATTGATTTCCAGCATTGCAAGAACTTTATTGGAGCATTTGTACTCTCAATTCCTAATCCAAATAAGAGAGGAAAACTAAAGTGAAAAGTGAATATTTCAAGCTTCACTTTTTCATTGTTTCTTCGGAGGTGAGGGTAACTTATAGTACGAACTGAGGTTCAGAGCAACAATATCAACAACTGAGGGTTAATAAACCTTCCACGCTCTAAAAATTGTGAGGGGAAGATAATCAAATAGTAAGGTTTACAGAACTGTGGAAAGTTCAGCAATAGTTAGCATACTTATGGAGAATAATGCAAACATGAAAGTTTATACCTACATAATAACTTCCGCAAGAAAGATAAACAATATTGACCCATAAAAAGCCATATATATATAAAGAAAATAAATTATGGCTAACAACATAATCCACCATTAGAAGAATGTCAGGAAATTTAATTTTCAAATAACAAAACTAATCACACTAGTAAAAATGGGAAACTTTTTCATCATGTGCAGATTCACAGTAAACATAGTTTTATCCTCCTTTTGTTCTGGAGATATTTGATCAGCAACTTAAAACATCCCTTAGAGCAGCTGACTACAGTTGATTCTTCCTGATATAACAAACAGCAAAAAGGGGGAAACTTGCCTGTAGTTTGGTCTCTTGCAAGCACAACACATCAAAATCCTCTCTTTGTGCAAGTTGCAGTGCGGAGAACCCCTCTAGCTTCAATAATGCTCTTAAACCATTGACATTCCAAGAGATGATCTTCACACACTGTGTGCCACAAGCAAGAGGAGGAGGTCTCATAGTTCTGGGATTGTATGGAATCCATCCTTTTTGTGGCTTTTTGTGCGCAAGAACTGTCCAAGGTTCATCTTGATTCATGGATAGAACTACCCCATCAGCAGCTCCAACCTCTCTACTAGCAATTTCTAAGGGACCTTTTCTCTTTGGCAGGATAGGTTTCTTACCTACAAACATTATCCGTAGGAGAACACATTCACCTAATTATCAATACGAATGTAACACTACACCAATTTTAGTTCATTTACAAAAGGAAAAGAAGGTAAAAATCGAAGCACCTGAAATATCATTGGTTTTTGCCGAGAAAGTTTGCTTCGTTGCAAGTAGTGTAGTTTCAACTTCAGCACTACTAACCTCAACTTGAACCTGTTTTACTCGTCTCTTAGTGTGTTGAAGTCCAGAAACCTCTGAAACAGTGTTCATATTCATAAGGTTTTGACTAGATGAACTGTCAGCCTTCCTTTTAGATGAACTATTCTCAGTATAAATTGGTTCCAATTCAGAGGATGCTAGACCTTCTACTGTGGGGCAACTTCCACCTGCAATTAGAGGGAACTAATGATTGTAAATGAATGCCTAGCTTTGTGCTCTATGACTCTATCCGCTAGCCAAGAAAATAAAGCAAAAGAACAAGAATTTGAAACTATAAAATTTCACCTTCTCACCAACTTAACTTAAACACTACAAATACTACAAGTTGGGTACAGTTTGAGTAGGATACCATCCACTTTGCTATTCAGGAAACTCCTCAACGCAGATACAAGATCACGTTTACAACCTTTGGCAGAGACCCCAAAACTCCTATAAATTCAGAAAGGTCAATATAAAAGTTCAAATTATAAGATGTAATGCTGCAAAGTATTGTATTCATTACGTATTCCCTTCCATAGACAGTGACGGCCAGAAAGAAAAATTTGCACAAGGAAGTCAAAGAAGTTTTCAAGAATTATGAAGGTTAGCTAACTCATTAGCTCAAGTACTTGGTGTGAGCTGCACAATTCATATTATAATATTAGTCTCTATCTAGGGCAATACGGCTTCCATATTATAGACCATCCAATGAATATAGATACATTTCAGATTGGATACAAACAATATGATTTTTTTATTTATTATTTACTTTTTTCTATAAGAGAATTGTATAATGCTACATGTTTTCATTTAATACGCATCAAACTCAAACATAAGGTACCGAATGCATCAATTTATCTCCTACAAATTTTTGTCATTGCCACATACTTCTCCAACCAGCATTCCAGCAGAGAGTGACAAAATAAAAAAGTTCTCCAATGCCAAGACATGTCAGGAAAGAAAACAAGATACACGTTTGGATCTTAAAATTTTAAGAATAATTATTTATGAACCAAGAAAGCTACATTCAAATGAGCCTAATACAACTACTCTACTTTGTTAGGTTAGTTGTCCCTAGTATTTACAACCAGAACATAGTAAAATATACCATTCATAATTCAATTTCTTTTCTTTTCCTGCCTTTCTCAGTAATCAAATATCAAGTATATATTACGTTACGGATACTTGTGCTATCAAGAACAAAATAAGCCTCAAACTTAGAATTTACCTTAATTTTGATCTGAGTTGTTGAACTGTCATTCTTTCCAGGCTGTCAGAATCATCCCCAAGAATCTCAGGTTCTACTGTTTTACCTTCCACAACGTTTTCCTACAAGCAATTGAATAGTCAAAGAAAAGTATACACACAAATGACTACCAAAGCATTCAAAAAGAGAAAGACGAGTTTATGCAAAGCAAAATATAACCTTGACAATAGCCTTCTTAGCTTGTGATGTATCAATACTCATTGATTCGGTTAACTTCCCCGTAACAGAGGAATTAGAAAGCAGTCGTTTAGACCTCATTGATTTTGCTCCAACCGAAACAAATGCCCCAACTTTCAAATTTCGCTGAATCACTGCAGAACTACAAAATTCTCGTTCAACTTTAGCTGTGAAAAATATTAGATTCAACGTAAATGGTTTGGTTTCCGGGATACTATAAGTTACAGCATTTACAACTGTTCCTCCGTATAAATGGAGATACTTTGTTCCGTTTGGTTGCCGAGAAAACTTATTAAAAAAAATAAAAAAATAAAACACAAATTTCACTATTTAGCTCTTAAAAAACCAAAAACCTTTAGTCAATAGATGGAGATAATGCCAAAATTTCTCGTCTTTCTTTTTCTTTTCACTCAATTTTCTCAGCAACTAAAAGGAGGGTTGAAGGAGGAAAAATAAATGTAACTTTATATCTTTCGTGTAGACAATATATATATATATACCTACTAAATTTTACAAAGCACTGCAACCCTAATCTCAGAGCTTGTTCCATTCATGGAGAGAGGGGAAAGAAAAACAGGGTGCTTTCATTAAGCAGTATGATGTGATGGGGCGCAGGTTAGCAGCAAACCCGGGTTCAGCAAACAAGGAACCGTACACGTGGATTTGGCAATAATAGCTGACCCTCAATTCTCTTTAAAAAAATAAAAAAACAAAAAATTAATTATACAGTTCATTCCTATGATTTGTCATATAGTGATCTCCCTTATAATTTTATAAATTACACGAATTTTTTTTAAAAATGAAACTAATTTACATAAACCTCCCTTTTATAACAATTATAAATTAACGCAAGTCAATGATAAATTTTATTAATATAATAAATGAAAATTTCTAAAATACTTTCATCTCATTCTATATAACTAATTAGGTCTTTTATGATAAATTTTATTAATATAATAAATAAAAATTTCTAAAATACTTTCATCTCATTCTATATAACTAATTAGGTCTTTTATGATTGAAATATACAACTATCTCCATACATACACATACATAACACATAAATTTCAACTAATAAAAAGTCCAGTATCTTTTAAATTCATCAAAAACACAGAATAATGCATAAACCCAATATATAAGAACTCTAGTAACATGCATGAAATAGAAAAATTAGATCTAACTGTCAGTTGTGAAATCGATTAAACAAAAGAATTAAGCAAATTGAAAACTATCGTATGTATCAACAACATATAGGGTCAGTTTGGTAGAATAAAAATGAAAAAAAAAAAGAAGAAGAATGTTTGAAGGAAAATGAATGATTTGGAGGAATAGAATGATACATGAAAGATAACTTTTTTTATCCTCCAAAATATGGAAGAAAAGGAAAGAAAAAGTTAATATTTTTAATAAAACTTATTTAATACCAAAATTACCCTTATTTTAAAATTAAAAAAATTAAAAAATAAAAATAAATCTCTAATGATTATAAATTCATTATAACAGCTTCCTTTCCTTCCTTTTCCTATATTACTATTACTATTTCATTTCTTTTCTTTATTAATCAACTAACAAGCAATTAATACAATCTTCTCATTTTTATTTTTATTTTTATTTTTATTCTACCCAATGTTATCATTTCGGTTTTTTTTCACTGTACCAACATAGCCACAGAGATATATATCAGAAGCCTTAGGACTAGCCACCTGGGCTGCCGCCGATCACCATGACATCATTGTCGTCAGATCCCGATGTGAAGCCTCTGGAGAAGAAGGTTAAAGAGAGAGCAGCGAAGAGCGTCGGGGGAGGAGGAATTGCAGAGGTTCCTAATGAGAGAAAGTAACGAGGATGGGTCCCAAGTAATCTTTATAAAAGTGACAGATTTGAGAGTTGACTCGGTAACTTTGATGATTGGGTCCATGGGTGCTCTGGTGTCTTCGTCTTCGTCAGCAGCAGCCTTTTTCCTCTTCTTTGTGCTCGTGCTCCGGATCGACCATTGTGTAGAGTGTGATTTTGTTGCAGAGAGTGAAATGTGCCTCTGTGATTTCTAGAGAGAGACTGTTTAGACCGAGAGCGATGACGAGGGAAGGTCTGTCTAGGAATGCTTCATTTTTTAAGGGGGTTCGTATAATTTCTTAAACAACAAGGAAGACTTTGTAATTATAATAAATCATAGAGAAGATCCAAGTAATTAATCCCTTTTTTTTTTAACCTTCTTCTATTCTCTCCACTTAATTAAAGAAAAAATATTAATGGCAGCCAATAACAACTTAACACGTAAGTAAAAAAAATTGAATAAAGTTCACATTTTGCATGTTAGGTTATGATTAGTCACGTGATGCAATTCGGAAAAAAACACCTTTTGTTTCATTTCATATAATTGCTCCAATATCACAAATAGCATATATTGTATGTACAGTTGTACTGTAATTTTTTTGGAACTTTAGCCTGTTTAAAGGTTAATAATAGTTCCCAGTCCTTTTAGAATTAATTCACGGTATATTTGACTTTTTAGTTAATGAATCTCGTGTGGTCAAATGTAATGGGCGGTTATTCATTTATTCAAAATCTTTATTAGATAGTATCGCATACTTATTCATTTATATCATTCTTTTCGGTAAATTCAACAGCCATAAGACGATGAAACAAAGAGAGAAGTATCAGATTCTCTCCCACCCGAACTCGCAACGCCCTTGTTGCGGTCGAATCATCTTACCTACCTGGGATGACTCATCCGGACGTCTTCTGGACCGAACGCTTGGCGTGAAAGAGGATCAAGGAGTAAGTCTAGATCTGATACCAATTGTAAGATAATACTGTAAACCCACTTATTTATACTCATATCATTTCCCATCCGACGACCGACGGGGACAAGTCTCCCTTGCAACACCAAACCACTGTGAAATAAGAAACCAGTAGGCTTTTCAGTTTCTTTTCAGTTTTGCATGCTTGCTTTGGTGATCTATATTATTATAGGCTCTTAGTTTGGCTATTTAATTATATTCATTTTAGAAAACAATAATAAAAATAATAGTAAGGGATACTATACAATTGTGATTGTTATAAATATGTGTGTTGCATAAGCATTGTTGTATGAGCAAAATGAGAGCCAACTATTAATCATTTAATCTCAATAAGAACTTGACTTCAACTATGGAAGCTCCATTCATCTCAGATTTCATTTAATGATGACCAAAACCTGCTTAAATAATATGTATATCATAGTAATTCTTTAAAAAGAAGGAAATTGCAATGTTCTTTTATAAAGAATGCATAAAATAAATGGCCATCTAGCAATTTTCAAGAATTAGTCATTTCTGTATTTCCATGAAGAATCAAATTTATCTTGTTGCGCTTTTTGCTTCATTATGCAACGAATAAAATAAGGCCAAAAATACTTATATATCAGAAATACTTTGCAAGCATCTATGAGATCTTAAAGAAAATATGAATCTGCAATCAGAATCCTGTTCTTCATCTCTCAATCAAAAACCTACAATCTGAGCCTGAAATGTACACCAGCGCTTGGTTAAAGATCGGGAACATCCCCGTGAAATTCAACACCAAAGAACCCCATCACCTTTCTGTGTGTGTGTGTGTGTTCCTTTTTGTATACTTTAGATCTTCAGAGCAAAGACCACTTTCAAGCAAGAAGATAGCAAGCCATAAAGATGAGTTATTCTATATAAAAATTGTACTATATATCAATGACATTATCAGCCATGCCAGGAGGAGATAATGGCGGAACTGCATGAGAATCAGTTTCTGTAGTCTCCAAAATCTTCCTTGCAGTTGCTTCATATACCCTACTTTTTCCAATCTTTCTTGAAACAACTTCCCCAGATTCGATGGCTCTAGAGGTGTTACCACTCTTGGTGGATGATAAATGGTTATCCTTTGAACGAGTTGTCTGTGCCGAAGCAATTACAGAACTGAAAACACCAGATTCCCTCAATCCTTGTATAATTATCTTCATCACAAAAGAAAGGGGAAAAAAAAAAAAAGAATTAGCAACTTTTTTTTTTTTTCTTTGTTTGGATCTTGAAAGCATGCGCACAACTAGAAATTATGGTACATACAACTCAAACATAAAACTATAATTAGTGAAGAACATTTTCTTCAAGACATTCGTGTAATTAACTCACCATGGGAGCATAAATGCGAGTCAAGATGCCTCTCTTTAGAAGTTTCACAATCAGTTTTTTGTCAGTCCACACGACATGTTCACGGTACCTAAAGCAAGTAAAGAGAAGAATGAGCAAGTGGAGATCTATGGCATCCAAAATCAAAGGTTTTCTATTGTTTCTTGAAAATGACTAGAAAGCCCAACACAGTCATCTGATCTTTGACAAGGAAATGTGATAGTTCATAAAGAGGAACTTATTGGCATTGTTACAAGTGGGTTATCATATTCCATTACTTAAAAGTACTGTAGCAACTAGATTCTATATTAGAAAAATAACAAAGCAACATGCATAATGTATTTGCGCATGTCGCCAAGCATCATATTTGATATCTAGGAACACGAAAATACCATTTAGACATCCCTAGAAATGAAATACTTCCTTAAATAAAAAATAGTGCTTTTTGTATTTCCTTAAATTGGACATATCAGGTTCTCTTCCAACTGAAGAATCTTTTTTAGGATTTCACAACTGACATAAGTTTTTCACTATTTGTTTAGGGCGAGGACCAGGCCAGAATTAGAATTGTGCTTACCAATGCTATAGACTTAATCATTCATTCTGATTTTAATCAAATCCAGTGTGAAGTCTGAGTGCACCTCTAAGTAGTTCTTGGATCACAAGTACAAGAGAACATTAATTATAAACCATCAAACCATGCAAAAATGATTTACTAGAAATCAAAATTATATAAGGAGGCATCCTGCAAGCACAAGAGCTTCAGGAATCAGATCTTTATTGTTGATTTCATGTTTTCTAAGCCTGAAATGAAAAAGCACGCTACAAAAATCAATACTGGAGCTTCTTCAGTATAATTATTACCAGTAAAGCATTTCCTCCTCTGTCACAGTTGAAGCAATTATGAATGCCTGCAGCAAATTACAGTGAGAAGTAAGAAAGAAAAATAATTAGTATACTAATCAGTGATCATTACTCTTTCTACATAGTAGCTATTTACCCCTCTTTGTATAATCTATCCATCCATATGAAACTAACAACCATTAAAGGAAAGGCTTGACATAAGGAGAGAGATTTGGGGGGAAAGAAAACGCTTCACAGGTGTTGAAGGAAAAAAAAAAAAAAATTAGTGATCATTACTCTTTCTACATAGTAGCTATTTACCCCTGTTTGTATAATCTATCCATCCATATGAAACTAACAACCATTAAAGGAAAGGCTTGACATAGGGAGAGAGATTTGGGGGGAAAGAAAACGCTTCACAGGTGTTGAAGGGGAAAAAAAAAACAGAATTTAGAGTTGGGCCAGCGCCACTTTAATTAAAAATTCCAATTCAAGGAACGCTTCAAAAGTTGCAAATCAAACTACTAGTTGTAGCACCAAGGGCTGTAGCCTAGTAGTATTTCACCACCTTCCAAGGTAGAAAGTCGAGGGTTCAAGTCCCATAGTGGCAAAGTGGGTGTATGAGTTTCTTGTCTAATAATATATATACACACACACACACACTCTACTAGTTCTCAATGCTCCTCCACTGCAACCAGACTATATTAAGAATAAGGTTCTGGAGAGGGGCTTCTGTAATCCAGGAGGATAAATTGGGACCTGCCGTTACCTGCTAAAACATTCTCTACCACAACTCTTTCTATATAGACATTGCCACCCAACAAAAAATAAAGTCTCTACAAGTTGCCCTTAAATGACTAACCAGTTATAAGTGCACAATGTCATTCATAGCGTGTCTTTCATTATTGTTGAAAAGCAGCCATTTTTATACAAATCTTAGGAAATAAAATACTTTATATCTATGCATAATCAGACATTAATTATGCATATCTATGTATTGAAGGGAACTGAATAGAACAGCAACATAAAGTTAAGAACAACGCTACTTACACTTTGATATAAGATGAGCCAAGATTACCAATAATACATGGGGTAAATGGGAGAAGAAAATTGTTAACAACACTACCTAGAATATCTTAGTCTTCACCCCTTTCCCTACCGTTGCATCACATTATCAATCTTCCGAATCAACTCCATTTAACTAAAAGAGTACACAAATACTAGTAATATTTATAAACTAATGGCAGTCTCCAACTCCCACAAGCAATGTGTCTCCAGAATTAAAAACATTGAAACTTTAATATCAAGAATATTCTAGACCGACTTAAGGCAAGGGCGGATCTAGGGGTGGGCTTGAGCCCACCCCAAAAAAAAAATATCTATTAATAAAGGCAATTTTAGCCCAGCCCAAAAAAAAAATTATTACTAGTATTAGCCCACCCAAATATTAAGTCCACCCAAACAAGCCCAAGTCAGCTAAATTTATGTTTAATATTAGCCCACCCCATTAACAATTCCTGGATCCGACCTTTCTTAAGGCCACAATTAAGGGACAGAATATGACCCATCTACTAACAAAACAAAAACCCATGAGCTTTACTATATTCTAGACCCACACAATATGAAATTTCTGAACATTGACTTACAAACAAACATTATCAAAACTAATTCAGCGACAGCAACCAACGGGCCAGTGGCCTAGTGGTATCAAGCTCTTACTTTCCAAAAGGAGGTCAGGGGTTCAAGTCTCAGTGGAGGCATGTGCGTGTGAGTACCAACTATGAAAAATAAAAAATAAAAAAATATTCAGTGACAGCACAAAGAGAACATAATGAATTCTATTAAAAAAAATTAACAATCAGATTGAAAGTAAAAACGCAAACTGAAATACAAATAGGAGTAAGAAAAAAAAAAAAAGAAAAAAGAAAAAAAAAGGAATGTAAATTTTCAAGGCTTCCAAGTGAGCAAAAAAAAAAGGCAAATAAAAATTAAATGCAATAGAACTCACTGCTCTGTCAAAATCCAACATGAAGCATCTTTTAACATCCTCCTCTGTAGGCTTGCAGCCACACCGATCACGTCTTGAAGTCAAATCTGAAAATTTGGGGTACGTGTAATGCAGAACAGCCGCTTCATCCAACTTGATTTCACTATAAAGATCACACAAAACAGTACTTATAATATTCATGTAGCAAAAGAAATTATGCGCTTACGTTGAACTAATAAAAATTACATAGTTGAGTTGTCTATCTCAGCACTATTAAGTTATTAAAAGAATATCAAGATTTTCTGTATTGTGTGGTATGTCCTTCACTTCCCCAAAGGGGACGTTGACCGCTCAAGCCCCAGTAGGGCATGTGCTTCTGAGTATATTTAACCATAGTAAAAAGAAGGAAAAAAAAGTGCTTTTGCCACAGTGCTAACACTAAAACCAAAAGGCAGATAAAATGATCCGAAAGATTTATGAGTAGTAAAAGATTATCAGTATCTATTTATATGAAAAAATACATGAGATGGCCAAGATTCCAATGAGATATCATACACTAGGTGCATAAATACGAGGTATATATGTACATGCATGATGCATATACTGCTATTCTGGGCAAAAGTCTGTTCCATGTAGGTTGTCCTGACCCAAGTCCAGACCATTTTGACCCCCCTGCAATGTGTATATACTGGCTTCCCTGAATCAGAAGTGTATGGATCCCATCTTAATTGTTAAAGCGAAAAGAGTGTCACCCTAAAATCAGCAACTCAGATGGGAATAATAATACTAGAGATTAACCACTATTGATTCAAAGCAAATTTGTTTTCTTGACTTCCTCTATATTTGCAACTAGGCTCATACAAAGGCTAGAACCTATATATTTCTAAAATATAGGAATATTCACACAAGGTAAAATAAAATGCCAGAGATTCAATTAATTGTTCACATTGTGAGATAAGTCATCACTTTCCAATCAAATTAATATCTAACTTACTATCTAATATTGTTAAGGGAAATTTACAATGACTTCCCCTGATAATAGGCTAAACTACAACCTCCTCTGTTTTCAAATATAACACCTGTCAGTGATGGTTTTGTATCACTAACATTCCCTGTCAGAATGGACACTAGCTAAGTTGGACAGATTTTGATGATGTCATAGGTAGTAAAAAATGAAAATCCAATTTTACCCTTAGGATGACTCGAAAGACATAATTAGCCACATCTAGTAAGGTTAAATGATAATAATGTCCCCATTGGCACAATCCAAGCGGACAAAATTGCCATTGACTCAATCTATACAACCCTCTCTCATGGCCACAGACAACGATCCCTACTGTGCAGACAACAGCTCCGATTACACTCTCACATCTCCAAATCACTCCCCTTCAAGCACAACCTCAAACCCGACTCCCTCATTTGTTCCACCCTCAAAACCTCAGTTGATGAATCCTGTTGTACAGTTAGATTACATTGTATACTAGGGTTTTCAGTATTCTGTAGCCACCTTCACCTACCCCTTATTACCATATATAGCATTACCATGTATAGGTTTTACTTGTTCTCCACTCACCTACTCCTGTAGCTTCTCCTATATAAACACCATTGTATTATTGTATTACTCACTCAATAATATATACGTTTTCATATATTCTCTCTCTTTTTCTCTTTCAACAAATCCTAATCCACATCCTCCTTCACAACACTAACCTTCACCAACCTCTCCCTCTCCTTCTCTATCCCCTCTCGCTCCTCCGGGAACAATCTCTATGTCCCGAGCTAGACAACATCGTCCTCAAAGACAAGACCTCCCTCCACAAATATGTCACGTCTGCAAAACCACCATCACCACCCGCATTCTCCAGCTCATCCACCAACTATGCATCAAGATCATCCATGTCACCAAGGGTGACCTCTTCTACGCCAACGTCAAGCTATTCCAAGACCATATGAATATATGGAAATTCAAACCATTTGGTACAATGTCATAGTAGGTATTAATTTAAAGGGCTTATATCCTGTTTTGATAATGTTCGTTATTAGAATGGAGGATAACCTTGTCTTTGTACAAGACAATTTTTTATAATTACATAACACATAAATTAAGTTTATTAACATGGGTAACAAGGTCATTTCACACTAGTTAACAATGTTACTCTGACATCACTGACAAGGGAGGTCGGTGTTATTTTTTTAAACTAACGGAGGTCGTTGTCATTTAGCCTATCATCAAGGGAGGTCAATGTAATGTTTCTATTCTTAACCATGTCCTTTTTTTTTTTTTTTGGCTTTCTAAATCTACCAAAGATATGGTAGGTAACCTTTTAGAATATATAGATGCATTTATATTAAATACTCGGGCACATGTAATTGATGTTACATGTTAAAAATACCATACGTTGGAGACTTCATGTAGTTCTGCCATCTATGTGCACCATTAGAACGAAGATGATCTTGAACGCGAGCAGCTGCTTTCCCATTCCCATAAGTCAAAAAATAGTTTGGATTACCACGGGTTGCTTCTTTATAATAGCCAAAGTATGTCTCCTTTGGAAGATGGTCATAGTTCCTCTTGAACATTGAAACCTACAGTAACATAAAATTCATCACTTAGTGTTCAGCAGAGCATTTGAAAATATGTTTCAATTTGGAAAGACAATAAAATATATGAAAGGTTTTTTTCTTTTATAAAAAAGCCATGCACTGGGCCATATAACATGACATTTGATAAGATTTTGAAGCAAAACTAGCATTTTTGACGTTTCATGTTACCAAACGCAATGACATTACTCAGATTAGGTCTAGTAGCTGGGAAAACAGCCCCATATTTTTTAAACAAATCCTAAGTTCCAGAGTAGATGCACTTTGGTTAATTGACTTACAAACTGTATATCCTGTGTCTGTTGCAAGAAAGCATAGCTAAAAGCATGAAAAAGAAGGAAACGGTATCTTACCTCAGTGAAAGGTTCCTTTATGTTATCACGCTCAACACTACTCTCCTGTAAAGAAGAAATGCCATAATAATTTTAGTACAACTCACCAAATGATATTGGTGATGATCAATATCTTGCATTGCCAGTCACATAACAGCAATTGTATTCAATAGACAAAATTAATTACTTAAAACAAGCCAAAGCACTCACGTAATTTGGAAAGACAACGATATCAATATTTTTAGGCACATCTGACAGCACCTGCCTGACAGAATACTCAGAAGCGCCGGCTGGATGTATTAGCTCATCAGTGTCAAGATGGAGGATCCAATCCATGCCAGCTTCCTAGAATTAAAAAGACAAGGTGAAGATCCTTATCAAGACATATTTATGAACAAAAAAGAACATCATCGAAAAGCAATCAATGGAAACATATGATCATACCCTCGCCATGGCAATACCCATTTCCATATTGAGGGATTGCTTGACAAATAACTCATTGTTGCACGGTTTGTAGAAGAAGTTCGCTAACCAAGTCTCATTCCAGATCCGGCTAAAGACCCCAGGCATCAAAGATCAACAACATAAACAACCCATAATTTAACGAGTTTAAAATGCAAGCATATATAATAAAAGTGTTAAAAGTTCGTGACAAAAAGCAAGAAGCCATTTACTTATTCATAAACGTTCCACAAGCTAAGTGAACTTTTGAGAAAGCAAGGATAACCAACACAAGGAAGGAGTGGACACAGGATCTCAATAAAGATTCATGAACTTAATACTTCTAGATCTAATGAATACTAGCACAGCAATGTGATCCAGTTATCCTGGCTGATTATCTTCTCATTGTGGTCTACTTCTTTGCTATCTTAGAGCTAGTATATTTCTAATTTAACTCTGAAGTTAGAATCTTGCCTTTAAAGACTGAGATTTTGATTTTAGAGAACTTCGACTTTGAACCCCTAATATACATTGCTAATAAATAAATCTCTAATATCTTTAGAAATTAATTAGAAAATAAAGGTGAATTACTCTGACCTCCCCTTAGGTTAGCCATATTAACCCTCAAACTGAATTTCGAAGGAAAAAAATTGAGTCAATCTCTCCCGAGGTTTGATCAAATTACAGTCAACCCCACTCTGTCAAAAGAACCGTTTTATTAAAATAAATAATTAATTATATACCAAAAATGCCCTTCATTGCCTCTCTCTGTTGCCATTGTGAATTGACCAACTTCTTTATACCTACTAATCATTGTCATTGTGAAATGACTAACTTAACCCTATGCTTTGTAACAATAAAAAGCTCAATAACTTATTCCATTATTATATATATTCATATAATTTGTTCCATTAATTTATTCCATGAAAATAATGAAACAGTAATATACATGTATATATTGTATATAACAATCACATCAACCACCAACACCATCATTGCCCACCACCTCTCTTTGCCACCATCCCCTCTCTCCTCTCTCTGTTGTCTCTCTCCTCCACCACCACCTCCTCCCACTGCCACCAACTCCTTGTTCTCTATTTTTCTGTTCACCTCCTCCCACCGCCGCCACCTCTGGCTTTCCTATCTCTCTCTACATATATGTATATGTAGTTCTCTCTTAAGACACATAGATTAGAGAATACAAAAGGAAAGAGTTGTGTCCATTACTAAATGAAATAGATAAGAAGAATGTAGAATGAGAATGTTGAGAGAGAAACCCATCCTCCATCCTCTATGTAGAATACCACCGTCACCAACCATTAGGCGATGGATACAGAGGAAAAAGAAATTGATCGATCTAGGTGAATATAATATATATCTATACATATACTTGTATATAACAATTGTGTGGGTATTATTTATGGATTGTTGGGCAGGGTGTTCTATTGTAAATGGAAGTGAAAAAATAAAAATGCAAAACATTTGAAGGAAGAAAATGAAACCATGTTTTATGAATCCAAAATCGGCCATTAGAGTGGTCCCTGCACTCTCTAACCACCACCAAACACCATGAACCTAGTTGATAATTATGGAGAAATTCAGGCTCTAGAGGAAAAAAGGTGATGGGTGGAGGTGGAAGGTGGTGGCCAGCAGTGATGACAATGTTGGTGGAATGAGGTGTTGTTAGAATATTTTATGGCTCAATTTCTGATATGCTCACCCATGACATCATTCCTTGCATCATTAATGTTTGGGCTCCAAGTATTGTGATCATCAAGCAATCCCATGGCGTGGTCACCAAGTCCAGTTTCTTTTCGTGGTCACCAAGTTCAAGAAACAGTGTGAACTTTTGGCAATAAATAGCATGGCCTTCTCATGGTTTTGGTATCCAAATCATCAATTGTGAGTTTGTAAATATTAGTTATAGAGTGAGAGATTATGGGTGTAATTGGGTTTTGGGTGTGAGCCACTTTGCCTTGTATCTTTTTTATTTCCATAGTGAAATATTGTTCTGTCTTCTCCCCGTGGATGTAGGTATAGCCGAACCACGTAAATCCTTGTCTCGTTTGTGTGTGTGCCATTTTAATTTCTTGTCGTTAATTTTCTCTTTGTTCTCAAAACTCCTATTCGATCCTTTTTTCATAACAGGTGTGAAAAAGGCAAAAATTTACTTATCAAAAAATAATAATAATAAGGCAAAAAATTGATATAAGGTCAAAAATGTAACTTCAGAAGGATGATAAGGCAATTTTAGAATGAAAAAAAATTATAATAAGCAAACAAAAAGGTAAAAAGGGCAATTTACACTACTTGCTATACGACTTTGTCTGACTAAATCTGACGGGGAGTGTTAGAATTATTTTCTTAAAAGTTCAATCCGAGGGTTATTATAGCAAACCTCAGATGGAGTTAACTGACCCAAAAATAAAATACCAAACCTCTACAGAAATAGAAAACTATCTCCACCTTCGCTTTCAAGAATCTGTACGGATCTCTTTGCAAAGCTATCTGTAAAGTCTCAGTGTGGGAAACTTCAACTTAGCTTCAGAATTAGCAATGACCTATAGGTTTGCTATACGGGAATGGCCATGAGAGATACTGGTTGCTAAGGATCAATGGTGAAAACACTAGATCAAGGGGGTTAAAGATGGCCTAGTAGTTTGCAAAAAATAATTAACTAAAACAAAATAGATACTTGGCTTCAAAGTTTAGCATGTAATGCATAACAGTCCACTGGCAAGGAGGACAAACCTTTTAGCTTGTTGCTCCTCAAGTTCTTTTGTTCTGTATATAACTTTTACTCCCTGACAAAGAAATGTACAAGATGATAGAATTGTGTACTATCCTAACCAAGTAAGTGTCCAACTGAAATAACCAAAGACTGAGTACAGATTTGTAGAAAAACCAAGGATATAGACTTACTGGAATGGATTCTAGGACGTTAGCTACATTGGGTGATGCAGCTTTTCCTTCCACAAACATAAAAAAGGTCGTAACACCGATAACTTTATGATAAAAGATCCATGGTAGAGCCTGCTCTAGGCCAGCAGAAGTGCTTGTAGTAATACATATCTGGCATGCATCAAAACGTGAAAGAGATGAGCAATAAATTTCTTGAATGATGGTATCATACACAGTTAACCCATTGGTAAAAGAGCCAAAACTAAACATCAACAATATATCTATATACACGAACTTATAACTGCTGATGTGCAAAGGAAACAGCAAAATTAATATAAACCACTAAACCCCAAAAAGGGATAACACCAGCAATAAATCACACTCAAAGCAGCCAAAAAGTTGGAAGGCAAATTTATGTGGAATAATATTAAGGGGATGGTTTTTCAGTGGCAATCAACAACAGAATACTAGTCTTGTAAACAGCTATTAGACATTCTTTATGGAACAGAATGTTGGCAGCGAAGAAACGCCATCATAAAATGTATGTCTGCTAAAACAAGAAAGGATAGAATTAGAACAGACACATTAGGGAGATGATTGAAGCAATACCAATTGGAGATAAAATGATAGAAAATCGATTAAGACGGTTTGATTATGTACAAACAAGACCATTAAGTGCACCAGCTACAAAAATTAACATGGGTAGAATTAATAAGGGAAAAATATAATAACATGTGGATTGACTGAGACTATGAAGAAAATCGAGAAGTATGATTTATGTAACCGACCCCAAGTAGTTTAGGAAAAGGTTTTGTTGAGTTGAGTTGAGTTGTCAAATTATCAATCCATATTGGCATTTCAATAACCAAAGATTTCTTTTTCCCTAAAATAAAAACTTAGGTAGCTTTGACATTTCAAATGAAATATTGAGAAAATATCATAAACTCACTTTCAACAAGGCCTTATTGACCATTTGAGTTTAAGAGAAACTAATGATAAAAAGATACACATATTACTTTAAGAGTGCTTTATTCATATTATACCTAATACAATTGGAACATTTTTATGTGATCATGCCGCTTTCTCTTGAAAGGGATAGTTTCCATGACGAAATTCATAAGAGAATCAAGAAAAGGAAGCATGAAGAATGCAGAAATATTTAAATGGTTAAATCTCAATGTGGAATCAATTGGTTCCTCTCAAATTTTTTGTTTTGGTTTTTGACCTTGTGCTGAGTTATACTATAAGTTTTCTTTTATTTTTTTTATTTTTAAGGATCAACAATATTTATAATTTATATATATATATATATATATATTTGTTGTGTGTGAGGTGGGGGGTTCTATATGTTCTTTAGTTGGATTATATGGATTCCACAAGTGAAAATCCAAGTTTTACAATTGGAGCAGGAGATGTCCAACTCAAGGGTGCTTAATAGGCCAGACAGGCTGGCGGTTTTGGGAAACCAAGCTTGAGTCTGCTGGGCTTGGACTGTTCGACAGGCTTGGCCCGAAGGCATTTTAAGAAACTCAAGCCCAGCCCTTGGGCTTTAGGATAGCAGGCTAAATTGGTTTGTTTTGTGTTACACACATTGAGAAAGAAGCCTTTGAAAAGGAGTGTTCTAAGGCTATAAATAGAGAAGTGAACCCTGTGTGGGATTGTAAAATATCAAAGTAATGGATAGTTCTAGATATTTTGTGAGCATTTTCTTATTATATTACCTTGGGTGTGGGAGTGAGATGGAGGTAGCTAAACAGTGAGTTTTACTTGTTTGGTAGGGTTACTCATTACTCATAAGACTCATAACTGACTTGTTTCTTCTTTTTTTAACGGGCTGGGCAGGTGGATGGGCCTGGGTGGTGCGCTGGCAGGCCGGGCCAAGGGCTGAACCCTATACCCAGGCCCTCGCCATCCTCCTATATGGCTGGGCCAGACTAGCCCACCACGGGCTTGGTTTGGGCTCAGGCCAGCCCGCAGGCCCTGGTCATTTTTGCACCCTTGTGTCCAAGCGTGTACTCTTTCACCCAAAAGCCTTTGAAGCTCTATGATTATGATGAGATTGAATCCTAATCCTGGCTAAGGGCCCCTAAAAGTGATTCATAAGATTTCTGTTTACCGCTTTTAGTATTTGATCCTCTGCAAATCAATTTAAATCACACGATTGCCATAGTTTCAATGATTCTTCAATATGTAAATACATTAAAGTAATAACAACACAGTCTTTAGAAAGTGTGACGCTAGAAACCCTCTAACAAACTACATAACAAACTCTATTAACAGTAGCGCAAAAATTGAAGTACCACAAATGTGAACCTCAACAACTAACAAATCTTTCAATGGAATGCACCAAAGACAAAACTTCAAATTATGATACTTCCAATGGAATGCACCAAACCAAAGACAAAACTTTGGCTGAAGCACCCAACAAAGTTGAGTATCCAATAAAATAAAAATACTAAAACACCAGAGAGGAAACTACAAGAAATCGATTAAATACGTAGTAACAAACATAAAATTAAAATAAAATAAAATAAAAATTTTGAGTTCTTTAAATGAAATAATGTAGTAATAAAGAATCAAGAATACATGTTGAGTCATCTCTTTAAAATAAGCGTGTGTGTTAATATAATCAATGGAATTCAAAAACCAGCCAAAATTAGAACTGACCTTAGGCCTCTGATCAGACGGATAACTAAATTTCCAATCCCTGAAATACGGAAAGGAAGGCAAATTACTGCGACCAAGAACATCAACACAATCCGAAGAAGACGAGGAGGAGGAGGAGGAGAATGAGGAGGAACGGACGGGTCCAGAAATCCCCAATCTCATGAAATCTCGGTGGTCGGGAGACCAACGAGACGTGGGTTCATCGACACCGCCTCGCCATTGGAGGACGTAGGCGAAGGCGGCGAGGGTTAGAGGGAGGACTGTGAGTAACAAAAGGAGTCTGGAAATGAAGGTCTGTGAAGAAGACGAAGAAGAGAAGGAAGAAGAATAAGTGGGTCTCAGAGATGAATAGAGACCCGCCATCGAAGAAAATCTGAAATTTGATTCATGTAATCTACACGTATATGTGAATGTGTATATATATAGAGAGAGAGAGAGAGTAGTAGAGGAGAGTTTGAAACTGAAGTCGGGGAATATATGGCAGAGCCGTTTTCTCGTTGGCGTTGTTATTGCCGTCTTCAAAGTTATTGTTATTGTTTTTATCTTTCCTTTAGCAAGTTCTTGTTTTTATATTATTGTTTTTGCTGACTTGGCACACCAAAACAAGTTCCAATTATCCGCTTACATACTCCAACCTTCTCTTTTAGTTGTCTATTTTTCTCTTTTTATATGTACCAAATTAGTTGTCCTCTTTAAAAAGTCAAATATCTTTTCATTATATTATTTCAAACTTTGTAACTATATTTAAATTAAGAAGGACAATTTGATTATTTTAAAAAGGGACCATGCATTAATTACATGTCCTTTTAAAAACTCTAATTTCTAAACATGAACTTCTATTTAGAGACGGAGGGACTATCACATGAGCGTCATTTCAGAACACCTTAAGACAAACTTTTTTTTTTTTTCTTTTTCTTTAATATATATATATATTTTTTATATTTTGAAGAATTCATAGTTCTATCAATTAAACTCAATTTTGAACCAAATTAATTCCATTCAAATTTAACTTCATCCGGGCACCAACCACACATGGCCTAATTTAATCATAATTTAAAGACTGAACTCATATATAAATAATAAATATGTAGATGGATAGCTGAATTATGAATTTGTGATCAATTTTAAAGACAATACTTAGGTGGTGAAGAGTGAGGGTTAGATAACTTAAAACTAGTAGACACATCTAATTTAATTACAAAAAATAATAATAACAATAATTAAAAATAAATAACAATATTTAGAATGTATTTGCATTAAAGACCTATCCATATCAAGAATAGAATACATTCTATATTCTATTCATATTAAGAATACAATAAATTCTCATAAGTAAAGACTAAAGATGTATATTAAATAGGGATAAGTGCAAAAATAAAAAACTCTCAAAATATATTTTGGATAGTATTTTTATCCCTATTTGAAAAAGTGTGTAAAAACACCCTTAATCTTTTTACATTGTGTAAAAAATACCCCACAATAAAAAATCTGACATAAATTAGTGTTGTAATACCCATTTGACAAAAATTAGTTTTGTAATACCCGTTTTACCTTTTTACTCTTCTGAAAATATCCAATGGGGTATATATATGCTAATAATCTCATAAATTTATTTTTTTTTTGAAATTTTTTTCTCCATGTATCTCTAATTATTATTATTATTATTTTTTTTTGTTTCTTACCAATACTGTTAAAATATATATATATATATATTCTCAATATCACAGTGCACCGATTTTCAAAGTTTGGAGCATATTTGTTTTCTTTAGATGGCACTTTATTTTCTTTTTTTATTTTTTATTTTTATCTTTACTTTTCTTTTATAATTTTATTTTCTATTTTTATCTTTACTTGTCCATTGTCCGCGTTCTCTAATAGGGTCATTTTCGGTTATTTTATTTATTTTTATATATTTTATAAAATGGTCCGTAGGGGTAATTTAGTCAACTTAGAGTTTAAATTTGTCAGAGGGATCTATTTGTATCAAATTAAAACTTTAAGGGTATTTTTTGCAAGTGAGAGGCGTCCTCCAATAGTGTCATTTTCGGTTTAAATTTGTGAGAAAACCTATTTGAACCAAATTAAAACTTTAGAGGTGTTTTTTGTACAATGTGATATGCCCTGTAAGCATACTTTAAATATATCTTCTGCACTTGATCTTATTAATAATACAATAAATATTTACAAGTAAGGATGTTTATTAATGTATTAAATACTCACAAGTAAGGATGTATTAAGTGAGGATATATGTTCTTAAATAAATATGAATGTGAGGACGTAAATACAACTAAATGTACACAATTAAAAACTGAGTCATTAACCATTAGCAAAATAAAGAAACAAAATCCACCTACATTACCCTTTACAGGGCTAACAAAACCTAACCCAAATTTTTTTATGGTGCACTAAATTAGAATGGAAATTCAATTTTAATTTTGGTACCAAACTTGCATAACGATATCTATTTTACCAAGGACTTGTGATATCTCTCTTGAATAAATTAATTAGTTGTGTAAGTTTCTTGCACAAGATAAAATAAAAATAAAATAAAAGGGAGAGGGCATATAAACACGAGGGACAAATTAAAATTACAGTATTTAAAACAAAATAAAGTTACTACACTACTTGGTTTCCACACTGTTATATACGGTAAGCAAAAAAGAAAATGTTGCAAGTATCTAAGAACATCATCCATGCTTGCATATCTCCAACCCATGACACTCAAAGCACCCACACTCAACTTCTCTATCACCATCTTTTCATGACCCCAATTACTACTTCTTAACCCTAATTTAATTTCTGCCTTAAACTCAGTATGTGTGGTCACACCAGAAAAACATGACGGAACGTCCACCAAGAACCACCCTTCCGTCCCCTTAAAGCATCCCTTCCCCTTACACACGTCCATCACCGTAAATACTCCTTTAAATCCTCCCAAAACCACATTCCATGTGAACTTCAGGTCATCCTCTAACGCATCAAACACCACCATATGATCATCATCATCATCCTCAAGCTCAATATAAAACCTAAACAATCCGTACGGAACGATATCGAGTTCGCCACCGGGCTTGACAATGGTGACAACTCGAGAAGTGCCGAGGTGGACTATGTCGATGGTGAATATGATGTCGGCGAGGGAAAGGCGGGGCTTTAGAGGCTCCCGGAGCCTGCGTTTGACGGATTCGTAGCCGATAGCGTAGAGGCGGCGGTAGGGCACGGCGGGGTCTACTGCTCGGAGGTTGGAGATGGAGGGGAAATGGGTGGTGCATATTTGTTTCCAAAGGTATTCTGAAGACATGGTAATGGACCACGACTTGCAAACACATGAAGCCATGGCTAGGGTTTTTGGGTCAAGGTGGTCAGCAACAAGAAATACTACTTCCCATGAAAGTGGGCAATTAGATGGCCTCCGACGAGACATTCTAACTACCAATTTACTTGAGATGGTTTAATTGTACAGACGGTAGTTGCTGCTTTATATATATATAGATATATATATATATATATATAATATAAATGGTGTTAGACAGGTGTTGTAATTTTATGCTGCGTTTGCTTAATTATGAGATGCCACGCATCGTACAAATATGAACACACTTGTGCAATAATACAACATGCAGCTTCATAATAGATGCCAACAATTTATAGACCAAACTCACTCTCTTACAAATTCCAACTCTAATTAGCTATGTAGAATTATAATAGGAATAGACACTACTACCACCGCCCTTTGTTGATAATTATTATATTATAAATTCATACTATTATAATTAATTTAATTAAAGTTTAATCTCAAAATTCCTTTCTAGATTTTACCACAATTATTTTTACTACATAAAAATCAATAAAATATTATTATTTATTTTTATTGAAACAATTTAAAAAGAAAATTATTCTTTTTGAAAATAGAGTATTTTGAAAATGAAAAATTCAATAGCCCCTAAATCACTTTCTCTTACCTTCTTTCTTTTTGCCCCTAAATCATCCAATTTCCTTTTCTCAACTGTCTCATACTATCAAACTGACCGAAAAAACAAAAATCTTTGTAACATATCAAACATCTAAAAGTCAAAGTGCTCCATGTAATATTTTATGGGCTCATGAACTTAATTGTTTCCCATGAAGTTTCAAATTCTCTACAACAATGCATTCGTACACACTAACCAAAAATTCTAAATAGATTTTAGGAGTATTTTTACACCACAGTATGTGGTTCACAATGTCAATTGACACTTACATAACTGATCCTCGCCTATTTATATATATATATATACACAACCTAATCTCACTATATCGCAAAAATAATCTTAATTTGGGAGTCATATAATGTAAATTATAGATTCACAAGATATTACCGTTAGACCCGTACTATTGGTTAGACCCGTAAACGAGTCGGATTCGAACCGGATCAGTATTGATCCGATCTGAATTCGAAAAGGCTATGCTCTCGATCCGATCCAATAATTGGACAGATATTTTATGAATCAATCCATATCTGATTTTATTAATAAACAGATATCGGATCCGATCCGATAAGGGAGTGTGTGTACAATTTTTTAGTTTTTTGAAAAAAATGTCAAAAGAGAAGAAAAATAATTAAAAAGATTAAAAAAATATATGAAAAAGAAAATTAAATATTTTATTTTTTGTTAAAAAATATAATTTGGGAATAAGAAAAAATAAAGAGAAGAGAAAATAATGAAATATTTTGAAAATATATAAATATTATATATTATAAAATTAGATTATATATGTTTAATATATTACATAATATTATTGCGGATCGGATTATTATGGAATCGGATCGACCATAATTCATATCCGATTTGTTTAGCTAACGGATTATTAAATTCGGATAGTTAGATTTATTAGTTTTTAAGCAAGTAAGTAACTCAACAAGAAAAGAAATTTCCTTACTTGTCCAATTTCTAATGAATCAATATAACTATTTGTAATTTTCAATCCATATCTGGATTACCGAATCGAATTCAGATCAAAATTCAATTATTGACCGGTCTAATTACGACACTATTAATCAATCAAATATGTGTGTGTGTGTGTGTATATCACAACATTGTTATCTCTACTAGCTTTTTTTGTTTCTTTCTTAATTTATTCTAGGGTTTCTCTCCTCCTCCTATTTTATCTCTTAATTTATTAGGATAGTTAGATTTATTAGTTTTTAAGCAAGTAACTCAACAAGAAATTTCCTTGCCTGTCCAATTTCTAATGAATCAATATAACTATTTGTAATTTTCAATCCATATCCGGAATATCGAATTGAATTTAGATCAATATTCAATCTATTGACCGGTCTAATTACGGCACTAATATATATATCAATCACAGCATTGTTATCTCTACTAGCTTTTTTTGTTTCTTTCTTAATTTATTCTAGGGTTTCTCTCCTCCTCCTATTTTATCTCTAAAAAATTTAATTTTAAATTACACTTGTCTGCCACTATATAAAGGATATAAGTGAAATGTTGAGTTATTTAGAACTAAAATGGAAAAAATATTTCAAAAGTATAACTTATTGTTAATATTATGTAATATTATAGGATTTATTTGGTTTTTATAGAGAAAATTAAGATTTAATAGTAATATTTTTATTAAATAAAATTATATCTTAATTGTATAAATAAATTTTCATTTTTTGTAACCAAATATTTCATTTGGATCACATTCCCAAACATACGCAATTCTAAAGAAATTGCAAAATTTTACGGGATAAAAAATATACATATAACAGGCACAGTAATGCCTAAATCTAATTTTTCTCAATGATGCTTCATGTGCCCAGTTTGTCTATATTTTAAATAGAGTCTCCTGCTATCCAGAGTACTTAAGTAGATAATTGTTTTGGGTTATAGATCCCAAATACAGAGTAACCATGTTTTTTTGTTGGTAACGTTTTTACCACATACGAAAGAGTCCTTTTTCTAGTACATGCTTTTTGGTTTGTGGAACCATATTCGTATCATCTATTAATAAAATTGGTCATCTGATTGATACTTGACCACAACATAGATAAGAAGAAAGGAAGTTCTCTCTTGACCACTAAAAAGAAAATTCGTTAATTATGTTTTTTAACATTTTTCAGAAGTTCTTTCTGGCTAAACTGAAGCAGAAGAAATCAGAATTTGAACAAGGCTATATACAAGACTTGCAACCTTGCTCTCTATACATACGTTACAGGAAACAAAGACTCGGTTGATAAACTGAAACTGAACTAGTGAGCGCACTTGCAAGCTGACATTCAGCGGGGCTGCTGGATGCGCCGCGGGCTGCATTTTGGGCTCATGCACTTGGCTGCCTTCTCCCAGTGCTTTGCCGGTGCAACCAGAGACCTGGGAACTCTTTCCTTCCCAGATTTTGACAAGCTCAAAGTCTTCATCAGTCCCTCGGCATCAATGTTCAAACCTGTTACCCCTGAGAAAAAACACAGTTAAGTAAATTGTAACACTCCACATCAATTTCCACAATATTAAGGACACTAATTCTCCATTGCCGACATGCAAAAACCAGCTATCATTGTCATAGTAATACATACTGGGAGACCATTACATTAGCTACAGAAATCAGTTTCTCGCATCTGAGAGTCAATATCCTAAACAAGGTACTTCTTTCCTTTGGCTCTCAAACACAAGGTATATATTATGGTAGTAATCAATTCACTCTTAGAAATTTGTTTCAGAATTCACTCATGAGACCCTTTTATGGCACCAACTTCAGCAAGTGCAATAAAATCCAATTAAATCAATTGATAAGTAGGACAAAGATTGCAAATGCTAATCATAATTGCTAAGAAATACAAAAAGGTATGGTCATATTGTAATCTGATTCTGCAACAATTTGATCTGACATTCTAGAGAGACAGAGAGGGGATGAGTTTACCATACCATTTTCAGGCATTCCTTTTACAGCAGAGAAAGATAATTTGTTTGCTTCTCCAGCTTCTAAAGGTTGGATGAATTCTTCAAACTGAGCATCCATACTTGAGAAATCATCATCAACACCAAAATCAATTGTATCTGGCAGCAGGTCAGCAACATTGCTGCCATCAAAATCATCATCACCGTTGCCATAAAAACCATCCTCTCCCTGATTCTGGCAGAGCCAGTAATCATGGAACCATGTTGAGGTGGTAACCAGTTCCCACCATTCCGGTGAGAAATCCTCCACCTGCCGAACAGCAGCGGGAATAAAAAGAGGGGCGTTAGGATTCAGTGTAGATTTTCGTCCAGAAACTAATGCCATTCCACCTTCTTCTAATCACGTTCAATCCACTCCCTTTTGGTCCAAAAAACCTGAATAGCATTCAAAGAGAAATAAATAAAACACATATTTCAGCTAAGTTTGAGAATTATGTGAATCTAAAAAACTTTCAGCATCCCACCCGACTCAACATCAAAGAGAAATAAATAACACTCTGTATATATCTGTATATATCAAAAGGCCCTTTCGGATGGACTTAAGTCTAAGAGATCTAAAATTCATCATAGCTAGACCTGTCAATGGAGCGGATCCGGATCCGGATCCGGATCCGATTAGTTGGATATGGATTGAACAAAAATCCAATAACCCGGTTACGATCCGAATCCGATAATCCGTTAACTTAACAAATCGGATAGGGATTATGCTGATCCGATCCGATCCGATTGAAATTATATATATAAATAATTATATATATATATATAATTATTTATCAATAATTTTACACACATATATCAATACTCCTATTAGAATTGTATTAAAATTGTACTAGAGGCAACCCAAAAATCCAAAATAATAACAATGTTATATAAAAATATTGTGGTGTTCCCATCCATATGCTAATAAATATACATACTAATAAAATCATACTCTTTATAATTATATATATTAGTAAATATTAATTTAATCCGATTTCGAATCTGATTCGATCCGGATCCGAGTCCGAGCTAAATAGGATTTGGATTGGGACATTCAGTCCGAGAATCCGAGAATCCATTAGTGATCCGAATCCGATAATCCGTTTGCTTAACAAATAGGATATGGATTTGATCGATCTGATCCGAATCCGATCCATTGACAGGTCTAATCATAGCAAAGAAAACCAGAGAAGCATTTCATTGGCAGCCTCCATATATAAACCAAGATAAGTCTATTTTAATTAAGTTGTTGTTTATTACAGTTTGCAACTTCTATTATAATCAATATGTGATTGAATTTATTATATTTTGTTAAACCAAGGGAGACAACATGGGGTGAGGAGGCTACATGGGACTGTGAACAAGAATTCCGTTCCAGGTATCTGTTTGCCATATAGATATATTTAAATTACGGGGAGAAAATTTCTTTTAAGGTGGGGAGGAGTAGAGACCCAAAGGAAATTTTCAAAATTGTAAAAGGACCATCCCTTTCCCTAAAAATAAAAAGCAAATTTCAACCAATTTAGTCAACCCCTAGACATCAAATACTTTTTCCACAAAACAAAGTTAAATGATAAAAGAGAACCACGGATCAGATATGAAGGATAACCTCCAGATTGATCAGGACACACTGGTCAATATAAAACATATTAAAGGACGAATTCAACCCTCTTAACTCATGCCCAAAGACCAAGAAGAAGAAAATTCCAAGATCTACACATAACTCGTCATGAACACCAAAAATTGCTCTAAAATTCAATTTGTGCACAGATCAAGCTTAAGATCATAAAATTAAAAACCTTGCATCAGAAAGATCGCTCAGAAACAGAACAGTTGACTAACCAGATGAGTAAAAAGTAAAACAAAATTAATCCCATACAACTAAGTTCATCTAAACAAAACAAATCGATAATCTTCCCTCGCAAAACCATCGAGATTTAAATAGTAATACATAAATTCAAGTATTTTTTCAAAAAAAAAAAAAAGAAGTTCAAAAATGTAAACCATAATTAGTTCATCAGAAACTACTATCATCACCATCATGACCATATCTCAGACAGTTACTAAAACAAAATCAATAGAGCATAACAATTCACTATTTACTGCACAGGTTCTCAAAACCCTAAAACCAGTCCATACAATCAAAACATGTTCAAAAAACATCAGATCAGTGAATCAAAAACACGAACAAAATCAGAAATGGTTACGATCAAATCTGTTGGAAATTGAACTTACAATACTCTGAAATGAAGAACAAAATATCCAATCGTCGAACCAAAACTTTCTTTCCGAACCAATCAGCAAGAGCAACGTATGATTAGCGTGTGGGAAATCAGTATTTATAGGCCGGATGGTCCGAGCCTTAAAGCTTCGGAGTTGAGGTTCGGAAACACCGACTTATGCCATTGGTTGTCCTATGACGGGCAATAGCCGGTCGTCAACGGGCTTTAACTGGTCAGCAGCCGGTCGTGGGTAGGCGCGTACAGCGTGTTGAATTTAACCGGTGGGGCCACAGAGGTTTTCACAACGATCAACGGATTGGAAAATTTTGATTTCATAGACGGCAAAGATTTCAACGTGTTCATAGTGTTGTTTGGGTGCGGGATACGCGTATTTCACAAGGAAGGTCGGTGAAATGAAACTATATATATATATTTTTAAAAAAAGAATGAGTGTTTCTTTTCTTATTATATGTTAATGTTATTGTTTACTAAAATCCTCTAACTTAATATTCCTTTTAAAAGAAAGAAGGAGATTCGAATTTCATTAGAAGCATATTGTAAATAATAATAATGAGTAAGTTTTTCTTTTAATTTTAAAAGGTAATAATAATAAATATTAATGTTTGTAAAAATATATATAATAGTACGTGGATTGAGATTATAGTCTTAGATAGACTAATAGAGTAATATCTGACCACTCCAAATAATTAAGAAAAAAAAAAAAAAAAACCTTTGTTTATTTTTATTTTTTTTGTTTTATTTTTTAAATTATAAAATAGTAGTGTCTTATAATTTTTTTATATATTTTTTTATATCATGGGTATCGGTCCCACAATACAAACACTATTCAAGTCAGGAGTGCGGTTTGAAAGCGATACCTGATATACTTACCTCCCGAATCTCTGTCAACGCCTCTATGCCCCTAGAGGGGTCCTATAATTTCTTTTATAACTTGTCAATCCTAATAAAATATGTCTCACATATGAGCAATTGATAATTGATAATTACATAAAATAAATATAAGTACAAAATTTAAATCATTACTACTACCACTACTGCTATTATTATTATTATTATTATTATTATTGTTATTATTATTATTATTTATTATTATTCTTATTGTTAATTTGCAGGGGCTAAAATTGATTTACATATCTTGCAATTAAGCAATTTATTTTTGTTATTTTACTATTATTATTATTATTATTAGGCAAAATTATTAAAAAAAACTCCCTGAACTATTGGTTAGTTGCAAAATGGCCCATGAAGGGTATTATGGGTACTGTATATTTATGATATTTTACAATTTTTATATAAATTAATAAGTAGGGGTATTTTGGTAATTTTGACCATATGGGGGCCAAAAAATGTGGTTCGGTGATCGGGAAGGTCCTTTTTATAACATTAGTATAGATGAGGGGCTAAAATTGATTTACATATCTTGCAATTAAGCAATTTATTTTTGTTATTTTACTATTATTATTATTATTATTAGGCAAAATTATTAAAAAAAACTCCCTGAACTATTGGTTAGTTGCAAAATGGCCCATGAAGGGTATTATGGGTATTGTATATTTACGATATTTTACAATTTTTATATAAATTAATAAGTAGGGGTATTTTGGTAATTTTGACCATATGGGGGCCAAAAAATGTGGTTCGGTGATCGGGAAGGTCCTTTTTATAACATTAGTATAGATGAGGGTTCGATTTGTGATCCCAGATAGTTCATGTAACGACCAAAATACCTTAGGATCACTTCTTATTAGTTTTGGGACAGTTTTGTTGCTTTGACTTCAAACAACAATATCTCTTTCATTTTTAATCCAAATGGGGTGATTGTTAAGTCTAAATACAATAATTTTGAGTCAACTTTCTAATGGTACCAATGCTATTCTTAGATTCAAATTACAGTGAGAGTTATGATAGTTTTAGTGAGATAGGGTCATGGTGTCTTTTGATCGAAGGGTGCCGCTTTGTTCTTTTTTCATATCTTTGTCATCTGGACTACAAATCAAAAGATTCTCGAGTCCAATCTTATTAATTTTTCGTTGTCTTTCTAATGGTGTGCTCGGTAGCACCCATATCTATTTTAAAATGATCATTTTGCCCATAGGGTTAAACATTTCATTTTTAAAATGTCGCTTCTGCATTTGTTTCCCTTTTGGTTTTCGTGACTCATGGGAGGTCACATTGGTGTCTTGGGGATGACGTACATCTCTAGAGACCTTGATGTTATCCTTCGCTTCCCATTTCGGATCCGTTGTCAGATCAACTTTCGGGTCACCACAAGATGCACTGGGTTTGTAAATCCAAGGCCGTTGCAGTTCAAGGGTATTTTTCACTTTTGATGATAATTTAGGGTTTTTTTTTGCACTTTTGCCATAATTCTATTACGAAAATAAATAGCGCAGAGCCCAACACATTCAATAATAATAATTATTATATTTATTATTATGTGTAAATTGCACTGACACCCCCTGATGTTTCAGTTAATGCCACTCATATATGGTTAACGGATTTCTGGATAATGACACCCCTTGAGATTTCAAAAAAAATCATTGACACCCCCTCCACACGCAAAATGACCATTTAACCTTTGACTTGTCAATAATCATTAAATTTACCAATATAACCATTTATACCTAAATTTATAGGACCAAAATAGCCTCGCCATCTCAAGTTAATACCCACACTTGCCACCACCACACCCACAGCCAACACCCCTTTTCTTTCCTCTCTCTATTCCTTCTTACCCATGAAAAGTCCTACCATCAGTTTGAGCCTCAACCTCATCCTTTACTAAACTATCACTTAAATTCACCATTAATAGATTAAAAACTTCCTACAAAATTTGGAAACAAGCAAAACAACATGATTGATCTTTCAACTTTGTGAACAAGATTCTAAATTTTTATTTCAATCTCAACCTTCATCGTTTTTTACTCATTCCGCTCGCACTACTCGTCTGATCTCCTAGCAATAACAATAACTGCTATGACGTCTGGCCCGCTATCCAACCAACGTTGACTACCCCACCCTTTAGCGCTGTGGCTTCCCTCTTCATAAACTAACCCACGACTCCATCCCAACACAGGTCGGGCTGCATCTGTGCCCACACCAACTGCACCTGTTCCAACAATCGCTTCTACTACGACAGCGACCTCCAGACGGCGGCGATGTTGGTGGTTCCAGCTATTTGCCATCTTTTTTCTTGATCTTATTTTTTTCATCTCCGATTTAAACTTTCGAGAGTTCTGAGACTGGTTTTTTTCCCCATACTGCGGCAGCGGTGGAAAGGTGGTGGGTGGAAAACAACCAGTTGGAGGTGGACCAGTGGTTATAGTGGGTTAGCTTGGTGAGTCACGCAGAAGAGGGGGTCAGGTAGTGGGTCTGAGGGTAGCATTGGTTGTGGCGGCAGTGGATTGTGGTGGCATTCGGTTATGGTGGCGATGGTGGGGGTTGTGGTGACGATGGGAAGGGGTGGTGGTGATGGTGAGGTTGTTGTGGTGGTGGGTTGTGGTGGTGATAGTGTAATACCCCAAGTTTTTAAAAGGGTAAAATGGGGATTTAATTTTGTTTAATTGATTTAATTATGTGATTTAGGTGTTTTGTTTTATTTATTATTTGTTTGAAAGTGGTTATTTAAATTATTATTATTATTATTATTATTATTTTATTGGTTTTTCTTTAAATAAGTTATTTAACTGTAATTGTATGTTGGTTGTATTTTTAGCTGTGTAATTGTGATTTACTTTAATTATTTAAAATAATTGTGATTTACTTGGATTAATGACGTGTGTTTTAAAATGACTTAGTTGGTATGGATTCTTTTTGTATGGTCGTAGGATTAGGGTTTTTCTTCTATAGGGATTAATTAGCCGACATATGGTTAGGCTCGGATTAGGATTAGGGTTGATAGGGCAGATATATATATATATATATATATATATATATATATATGTTGTATGTCTGCAAGGGTTGAAAAACCCTTTTCCCCGTAACTAGAGAAGAGAAGAACAGAGAGAGATTTGAGGGAGAAGCTGTGAGGCTAAAGGGGGAAGAATAGGGGAAGAACAAAGGGGTTGTTTCTAGATGGAATTAAGAAACAACAGAGGACTGGAATGGTGGTCAGAGGTGGAATGCAGTCTTGGAAATTCTGAAACTTAGAGACGGCGGTGAAGGTTTCAAATCGGAATCTTAAGGTAAGTTTCAGTCTATTCCTCTCCTGTAAACTTGTGTTCTGTGCATCTTATATAGACTCTAGGAACTTAATTAAACTTTTAAAAACAGACTTTATTCATGCTTGATGTTTTCTGAAATCTGTTCTGCGTTTTAAAGTTTAAACTTATTCTTGCATAAATTGTGTGTGTAGTTTAAGTTTTGTTTGTCAATTGGTTCACATTGGGATAGGAGGAGTCCCTAGGGGTTTAAGAGTATTAATGGAACCTTAATAATCTTAAAAAGGTATGGAATAGAACACTGGACTTCGCCAGAAGCACAGACGGCAACCAGACGAACCAGAGACGAAGTAATAGAGCAGAGACGGCTCTCAGGGGAAGAGAGCCGGCTCCCTAAATGAGGGAGCCGGCTCCCAAGAAGGTAGAGCCTGCTCTCCAGGGAGAGCCGGCTCTGGAAGATGAAGAGCCGGCTTCCATGGGGGGGAGCCGGCTCCTTTGAACAGAAACCCCTCCGGGGGTATTTCTGGTAATTTTTGATACTTCAGGGGCAAAAAGGTAATTTTGGAGCTTCATGGGGGTTCTTAAATGGTGTACAGAGCATGTTTAAAACCTAAGATGTATTGATTCAGGTCATGGGAATGGACAACATAAATTTTAAAATAAGAATGTTCAATACTGTCAAGAAGGAAGGAGAACTGGAATCGTTGGTTGGCTAGCAAATTAAATGAACTGCTATAAAGGTAAGTGTTAGGAATTTATACCAATAATATAAATGACATGTTTCAGTTCCAAGAGGGTTGTTTATGCTATGGTTAGGGTCGTCATGTAATTTTAATTGATAGGTTACATGCCGACATGAGTTGTAGGAGTTTTAGTTGCTAGCTTTATTTTAGCGAACTAAATGGACTTGTATGGGAATACTTTTGGGGTTTCATAAGATGTACTCCGGGTAGATTTCTGAGTGTCGTTATATCAGACACAGGATCTATAGTGAGGATTAAAGGGACATCATGTAATTTAAGCATTACTTGGCATGCTGTCAAGGATGATGTATGTTGTGATTACTAGTTGTGTTTTAGCAAACGAACTGGACTAGTATGGAGGTATTTTTGGCAGTCTAGTATAATGTGCACAGTTATAACTCTATTTGTCATTATATTGTGCTATGGATGTTAATTGATGAACTGTTAAAATTTATGTTCGATCAATTGTATGGAATTGGATAATTTAAGTTGGTTATCATTACTTTAACAATTTAAATGAAGGATTTATGGTTAAATCATTATACTCTGCTATGGTTGTTAATTGATGAACTGATTTAGTTTCTGTTTTGTCAATTGGATGGATGTGGATAATTTAAATTGTTTAACAGTACTATAACAATTTAACAGGAGTTTTATGATTATAATCATATACTGGATGCATAATAGGATCTTAATAATACCTATTTTCTATTATGCTGGTTCATGGATATACTTGATGTTATAATGAATGTGCATCACTGGTGGATCATTTGCATTATATGTACCGGTATGGGACGGTGACATATCAGGGATGGATTAGATCAAAAAGTTAAGTCCTACCCCTTCTTACATACGGAATGGATTAACTAAAATAGTTAACTCCTACATGGATACATGTCCTGTCAACTAAAACAGTTGAACGACATAACGGATATTTGTTTTATCTTTCTGCACTAGGAAGGAATTTATATATATATTTATGGTACCGTGATACGAGCTTGAGTCTCCTGATTACGGTTAGGGTGCGTATATTGCATAGGTTGGGTAGCTAGATATAGCTAATGTTCCATGGTAGGTCTAGGTACTTGGCCGTTGAAAAGCGTGTTTTATATGTCACCTTCTACTCAGGTTGAACTATGTTATAGGCTAGTGAGCATCCTATAGTGTGTGTATATATATATATGGACTATTGTAGATATTGCCGAGCTATCTAGGATGTATCTGCGTATCGGGTTTATGTACGGATAGTAGTGGATTGGAACTTGCATGTGGGCCTGACCCACTCATATTTTTTCAGGTATTCGCCAGTACCAGGCTTAGAGATTGATCGTGTTGATGCAGATACAGACACTCACTCTTTCGGTTACATAGGATTTCCTTTCTATTTTGATTTTGGATTTTAATACTGTATTTTTTTTCAAGGATTTGGGATTAGGGGTCCATTAGGTGGATTCCCGAGTTGTACGGTTTTAAATTATATTGATTTATTATTTCAAGTTTGAGGATTCTTATTTAGTTTTCTTTCAGCGTATTATTAATTTATTCTTATTTCAGTTTTATTCCTGCTTGTTTACATATTGATTGTTTGGTATCCCTCGGATCTGTGCTCGGACTTGATCACCCGTGGCTCTAGAATCGAGGGGTATCACAGATGGTGGTTGTGGTGGTGGTGGTGGGGGTTGTGGCTATTGTTTTATGGTTGTTTGTAATTAGGGTTAGCTCATTTTAGGTTAAATGTATTATAGAGTTTTAAGGGATGGCTAGTTTGGTCATTTCATAGGGTTGATTTTTTTTTTTTTTGTTTTTTTTTTTTTTTGAATTACAAGTTCAGGGGCATTTATGACATTTCAATTGAGAGGGGGTGTCAATGAAAATTTGTGAAACCTGAAGTGGTGTCATTGCCAAAAAAATCTATTGACCAACATCTGAGTGATATTGACCGAAACCTCAGGAGATGTCAGTGCAATTTACCCTATTATTATTATATAAATGATAGATGTTGTCGTCCAGATTCCTGGCTCAGGTAATGAATGTGGTAATTTTTGAACTTTATATCACAACTCAATCCTTATTTAAACAATGGTTGAATGCATAAATATATATACACTTAGAAAGTACGAATATGAATACTAATACGACATATGAATACAACACATTATAGATATAAGACATATGAATACAACACATTCTAGATACAATAAATCTCAAAAAATAAGAATATATTATCTAAATAATGGTTGAATGCATACATATATACACACACCTAAGAAGCATAAATATGGACATGAGATATGAATACGATACAATACGAATATGTCCAAAATTTAAAATATATATTATATATAATAATACATTTTGTCTCATTTTATTCAAACAATCCTAAATGAAATCATTATTTTGGAGCTTAGAGTTAGATTTTTGTTATTTTTGTTTTTAAAAGTTTTATATTATTATTTTTAATTAATTAATAATATATTTTAAATTGCAATGAATCTCATTTTTTTTTTTTTAAATTTAAAAATTATATCCTGAAAGTGTGTGGAAAAAAATATTTAAATTTTAAAAGACCATTAGCCGTGTTCGACACGGACCCGTATGTCAAATCGTCAAATACCGCCAAGATAACCCTGAGTTTAGTTATTTCTAAATACACCCTCGTCCATATATGCATAAAGGAGTTTTGATAATGTGTACATATGTGCGCTAGTAAAGAGACCCATGCGATAAATGTGATTAAAAGTTAAAACTATCATTGTGGTTATTTTATTCATTTAAATTTCACAAATATATAGTTATGCAGAGAGTGAGAGATGGAAAATAAAAATAAAAATCTGTCCACAAAGTATATAAAGTAATTTTTTTTCCCCATTATATATTGTATAACTTGAATATTGGTGAAAATAAACTAAAATTACTTATAATTTAAATGGAAGTAAAGCTCTAGAGAATCAATTAGTAGAGTTTATAAGGCACGTATGCCCTTAAAAAAAAATAAATAAATAAATTTCTTTGTTCCAACGAGTTATTAAATTGTGAATTTTACCTATTACATTGCCTATGTTAAATTATATGGGTAAGGTTAGGTGGTAAGAAAAGTTTGTTATGATTGGAGGAGAATTATAAGAATAAAATAAAATTTAGATTTTAAAGTTTGTTATAATTTATTTAATTCGGGATGGTGATGTCAAATTTCTTAGAGTGTTTCATAATTCACCATTGGTTCATATAATCTCAAAATAAATATTTTTATGCATATATATATATATATATATATATATATATATTTAATATTCTTATAGCCGATGGCCCAAGAAGATTTCGAACTCCTAATCTTAGAATGTGAGGAGTATAGCCGATGGCCCAAGAAGATTTCGAACTCCTAATCTTAGAATGTGAGGAGCAAGAGTATCATTAAATTATTGTATTTAGTATTTGATAATAATAATTAATATCTAAATTATTAAAATATTAATTAAAAATTACATAAATCCAATTACAACTTAAAAATAAATAAACAAGAGTTGATAACACAAATTGCATAAGCGGTGGAAAGAAAACTTCCACTTTGCGTTTCTATTCTCTTTGATGGATTTTTTATTTATTTATTTAGTCCAATATCTCAAAGGTTTTATTGTACTTTTCTTCTCAAATAATATAAATATAAATAATATTGAACAAAATAAATAAATAAATATATATATATATGGTATGATTCACTCAAGTTTATAATCAATAATCATGCAATGAAATTCTCACACCATTGTTATGATGCAAATCTACTATATAAATAAAAATTGAATGATTAATTTGTGTGTAAATTTTAATCTCATTCTTATAAATATTTTATTTTCATATGTTATTTATTTTATATGTTAATTTTGAAATTTTTATGATCAGTTTTGTCATTGTTAAATTGATATATTTTTTTGATAGAAATTTATTATTTTACATATATGTTTATATTTTAATATAATATCTTTTATAATAATATTATGTATATATTCAAGGCAAAAATGTAATATATATAGCCTTCAAATTTTAATTTTTGTATTTAATAAACATTTTTAATGAATTCAACAGCTAAAATTAATACAATATCAAATTAAATTTCTAAATTAATATATTTAGCACTTAAAAATTTTCAATTTTATAAAAAACCACCTTTCACTTGGGGGCCAAGAGTGCATTACATATACCTTTACACGTCATTTCGCCGTTTTCTCTGTCTTCGCCGGAGTCACCATTTTGTCTCGCGCCGGAGTCTTGTCTCCTCCTCTTCCTCAGACTCACCATTGTACCATTCAATTTCAACCAGTTCAACATTAAAACAAAGAACACAAAGTATCATCGTGTCTTGTGCCGTAGTCTTTTTTCCTCCTCGTCGTCGGAACGCAACCTCTTCCTAGGACTAGGAAAGAACAGAAAATACGATTGTCTCTTGCGCCGGAGTCTTCTCTCGTCCTCGTCGTCGGAATCAAGAACAGACAATATACTCGATCAGGTTTTGTGGAAACACTTTTACCATCACTACGAGAACTACGCCACACTACATCCCTACAACCTTTCGCAAAGGTATACATTTACTTGAAAATTGTTATTATCGATCTACAATTTTGTTCAATTAAATTTATTTAACCCTTCAACCACAAAGGGTTAAAATGATTCGGTGTGGTTTTGGGGGTGATTGGATTTGGACACATCCTTAATTAGTATGTAAATCATTCGACAGTCTAAAGAAAAATCCCTACTTAATTCAATTCACTTTTGGAAATCATTTTTTTTCTCACTCTCCCTTCTATCAATCTTCCATCAGCCATCAATTTGTCTTCTCCTTTTCCTCATCCCCAACCCTTTTAATTTCTTCCTTCTCCCAAACATGGTATTATTTGTTTTTGAGTATTTTATTTTATTGGGAAGTGTTAAAAAAACCCTGCAATATATAAAGAATATGACTGTTATTTGGTATGTGAATATAAATTCCAATAATTTGAAGATTTGTATCAAATTGCTCTGTCCTTATTTGCTCAATTCGCACGTAGAGGGTTTTTGATTGCCAGGGTTTTTATTTATTATTATTTCTTTTCTTTTTTTCACATTCTGCTGTATATAATAGAATTTTGTGTTTTCACTTTACCCTTTCCTTTATTATATATATATATGGGTTACACTTCCACACACATATCAGTGATATTTTGGTACATTTTAATTTTCCAAAACACTAACTGAATTCCTTCTTCTTCTTTTTTTTTTTTTCTTTTTTTTTTTTTTTTTTTTAATTTTAAACACCAACTGAATGTCTCAAGTTTCCTAATTCAATCTTTTCTATTTTTTTCTGAAGATGGATGCTGGATCATTTTACATACCCAAGCACTTGACGGCCCCAGGGCAGGATGTCCATTTCATTTGTTCGGAGCAGAAAACAATTGGAGTTGCAGATGGCGTTGGTGGTTGGAGCAAGAAGGGTGTGGACGCAGGCTATTATGCGCGACAATTAATGGCTAATACTGTGACAGCAATTTGTGATCAAATCGAAGGACCTATTGATCCAAAGACTGTCTTGAATGAAGGGTTCTTAAACACTGAGCTCAAAGGATCCTCCACTGCTTGCATTATAACCCTCACAGGCAATGTATGTCATCAATCCTTTTGCTCCTTGCTTCGTTATATATATGCTTTCTTTTCATTCACTTGAGGCAAAAGGATATATTTTTAACTAATTTGCAATCTTTGTTTTTAATTATTGCAGAACTTGCATGCTGCGAACATTGGAGATAGTGGCTTTTTGCTGCTAAGAGGTGGTGAAGTTGTATATCAATCACCAGTGCAGCAGCATAGATTTAACTGCCCATATCAGCTGGGAAACAACAATGATTCCCCCAGCTCAGCGCAGGGTAGTGCTATTATTAATCTATTGTTATTTAGGCTCAATATTAATACGGGTCAAATTGGGATTGTTGTCCCCTGAAGAAGACATTCTTTAGAATACTAGTTGGATATATAACATATATAGTTCTTTTTATTTTTAACATTTTGATTTGGTACTAATTATAAATATTTGGTCCACAGGAGCTCACCATTTCATTAAAACTCGGAGATGTCATTTTTGTTGGAAGTGATGGGTTGTTTGACAATGTGCATACAAGTGAGATTGAAGAATTGGTGAAACATGGTGTGGAAGAAGAGTACACCCCACAACAATTAGCTTGGTCTCTAGCGTGGTTTAGTCACAGTTATTCTATCGACAGATTTAGTTCTAGTCCATTCGAAATTGCCGCCCAGGAGACAGGAATGGAATACATGGGAGGTAAAGTTGATGACATCACTGTCATTGTTGCTTATATCAGACCAATGGACTGGTTCTAACTTTCTGCAGCAACAAAAAGAAAAAAGGAAAAAAAAAAAAGGAAGAAGAAGAATGCTAATACTATATATAACATGACACTCGACAGTATAGGAGTTTTTGAATAGAAGTTCAAGTGAATTTTTGCTTATAATTAAGTTGATTCGTGTAATTGTTCCAAATTGTTGGTTGGTCTGTGTGGATATTTACAATGGCAGAAATGTATCAAATTACCAATTTTTTTTTTAATTAGATGTGAATTTTTTTTTATTTTATGTGATGATATGAGATATTCTTGCCCATTTTTCAGAATGTGAGATGTGTTGAATGTTGATGCTCTTGTTTTGCTTCATTGTATATCTACTCTTTATGGGTTATTTGTATATTAAAAAGAGAAGTCGAATAAGGATAGTATAAACCAGTTTAATCCATTAAATGGCACCCTGTTCTGTTGTCAAACTCCAGAGCTGAATTTGGTCCAAAGACTACAAAGTACAAACCATCCTTCCTATTATGTTCCATCCCATCCCTTCCTTTTTAATTGGCTTTCGTGATTTCAATCACATAAGATGGAAAAATAATATGTCGTAGCTTAACACAATACAAGCAACCAAAATTATGATTTACTTATTCACTCATTCTAATTATGGTGAGGAACAAGTTGGTTTATATGTGCATAAAATTGTAATTAACCTTACCGGAGTAACACGCGCGGACAACTAACTAGCCTGTAACAAGAACTGTGATTTTTTTCCCTCTTTCTTTTATGTTTTTTTCCTTTTTCTTTTTTCTTTAGTTTTCATGGCAATTTGGAGGAATCTACCGGGGCAAGAGTAGATGGATGGAACACTGTAGAAGTAAAATAAATTGAGAGAGAAAAACGAAGGCCACACACCTTCTCTGAGTGAGGACTCCGCAGCAACAAATGATTGTGAAACTGGAGGAAAAACATACATGTAGTGAGACCATGCATTTAATATATCATTTTCAAATAAAAGCTACACACGAGGTAAGCTAATGGAAAACCAGGTACTCTCTCTCTCAGCTGTTTGATTTTTCTCCTTGTTTTTGTTGGTTTACACTCAGTTTTCAGATTTTCTTTTTATTGTTTATCTGTTACTGAAAATGTTCTAACTGCCACATTTAAAAGGTTTTGAATATTTTTTTGCTTTATTTAATATAAGTTAGACGCATGTTATGAGAAGAACTTGAAGGAATTCTTAGATTGGCAGTCTCATATTGAAATATCACACACTAAAGATTGCAGCATACAACTTACAAATTGTGTAGTCTCTATGAATTGATGTTCAATTATTCATTTAGAATTTGTTATTGAAAGGCTAAAAAGAAAAGACAATGCAACTTTTTGCCCTACGGCTCTAAGCCTCTATTTGTTTCAAAAGAAATTTAGTCTGGTGCAACATATAGTTTTTGCTAAAATTTGAAACGAAGTATCCTTACTTTGGAAATTTCTTTTCAAAAATAAAATAGAAAAAAGAAAATGCAACGACTTTAGCTTCAAGTGGTATCTCCTCCTTCCACATTGGAGTGGAGGGTTCAAGACCCCTTAGGGAGCAATAGTGGATCTTTCTGAGTCGGGTAAATAAAGAAAAGTTTGAGAATATTTTATTCTCTGTCAGAAAAACAGATAACAAATTCACTACAAACATGGCTACTTGTTGCACTTTGGATCATTACGCTTTAATGCTCCTTAGACCATTATATATTACTATGAATTATTTTTGTACTACATTATTGAATGCAGAGTAAGTGGGTTGGTGAAAAATGTAGTGTATGTTTAGATGTTCCATGTTATTTGAATGGTTAGTTTGTGTCACGTAGCACTAGAAGTTACTAACAAAAAAATCAAATTGAGGAAATGCAAAAATGGGAGCAATGGAGCATTATCAGAATCATCGTGTGAAGGGTCAACTCTGAAATTGTATGAAATGATGACCCATAATCTTGTTCACTCTGCCAACCTCATTTTTGATGAGGGATGCATAAAGAAAAAGTTATACGGAATGAAAAGACACAATTCAATTTCCATGGGACTTCTAAATACACCCTTAATGGGTGAAAATTAAACAACTCTGAGAATTAAATGAGTTGGATTCAACTTTATTTGACTTGAATGGCAAAAGGAAGCTCAGTTGAGATAAAATTTGTTTAGGATGGGATTTAAACCAGGTTCTGAGATGATGTGTTAGTATTCGAGGCCATCCAGTAGATGCCACTGGATTGGTCACATATATCCGCTAATTTAACCCATATTTTTCCATTTCCATTTATTTTGGGTTTCACTTGCTGATTAGCACCATTTTGTTTCTTATTACATGTTTATACAGAAAAATTTAGTTGTGGACTTCTTTAGTCTCCACATGGCAGAGATTGTATGGATGAAATCTGACCTAAGAGGAATAGGGTGATGAGAGGAGACCCCTTGCATTCTTGTTACTTAAACTGTGATATGCAAGATCTTTGTTGCCTATATATTTGTATAAAATTCGAGTACTCCATATGTGTTCCTGAAAACCCCCAATCGTTGTTTATTTTGATTCCTTTTTGTGTATATGTGTTTGAAGGGTGGAGTAGTAAATACACCTTTCTATTTCATTTATTCATTCCATTTCTATTTCATGTAAACTTGTCAAACTAGTTGAGAGCAGAAAAGACCAACATTTATCTCCAATTTCTCCTTTCTCTTCTTGTTTTTTATTTTTTTATTCAGTATCCTTTATTAAATGTGTGAACTTCTCTTAGAGCTTTCCAACACTTATCCCTTATTAACTATATGTACGTTTACTAGGAACTAAGGAAAACCTAAAATTATTTCAATTGGGAAGGTGACCTCAAAGTTCTAGCGCATGCATCCAGTTTAAGGGAGTATTGAATGGTGGCGTTCCAAGTATCTCTCTTTGGTTAGGAATCAATAGAGTTTGTAATGTGAACTGCTTAAGGCACATTTTAGTGCATGCATCCAGTTTAAGGGAGTATTGAATAGTGGCGTTCCAAGTATTGCTCTTTGGTTAGGAATCAATAGAGTTTGTAATATGAACTGCATAAGGCACATTTTCTTTGAAATTCTGTGGAAGAGTTTTTGCTAGTGCTATTTGTTTATGGTGCAAGGCCATCTCAAGTCGGTGGATGAAACAACGCCTATCCAAACTCATAAGCTCTTTCTAGCAAAAAAATGTATAAAAGGGTAATAAACATATTCTAATGGTATCGCTACTTTAGTGCTCGTAGATGATTGGAAAACAGACAAATACATCCAACAATCTCTGAAAATATATACCATCATCATCATCATCAAGAATCTATACTGAGCATATCTTACGAAGGCATCTAAAACAAAAACTTTAATTTATTCTTCCCCAAAAGCTGACTTCCAAAAACTATGAAAATTGCAAGAAACCTTATTACTGTGTTTACCTTTCAACCATGAAGAATCAATCTGCCACTGAGTAAATCTGCCCATTTGATAAATTTTAAGTACTTTAATATATTTAGTTGTGCCTGGTCATCTCTCCTGCACATTTATTATGAAAAAACAATTAGATTCCATCCGTGTAGATAAAGTAATTTTTTAGTTCAAATTCTCACAAATAACATACATTGATTAGGACCAAGGAAAAGTATGTTAGAAGCTTATTTTCCGTAAGTATTTGTTTTTCTCTATGACAAATAGATATAAATGGAGAAACTGAGTATCATGGTTCATACCTGAATGACCAGTATCAATCACACTTTAGCATCTCATGCATGCGTGAAGTTGCAGTTTTTGCCTCTGTTGAGTTCAAATTTCGGGCAGTGGAACGACTGCTTCAAAAGCTTCCACAAGAAGAGACACTTTTCTTTTCCGTGCTGGAGTTAGTTTAGTGACGATATGTTGAAGTGCATGATCGAGCATCCATTGTTCAGCTTTTTTCCTCTCGTCCATCATTTGACGCCTTAGCTCAACATTCTCTGCCTCTTGGTCAGGCTCCATGGTCAGATGTCGTGGTGCCTGATGATTGGATCTCCTTACTTTTTGCAATGCCTTGATGGATCTCTTGAGAAGGATTAACTTCTTGAGCTTGCTCCAGTTCCTGGGCTTTTGCTGTTCAGATTTGTTTCCCACCTTTAATACTGCTCTCTCTTCTTCTGTGGTGGTGATATTAGACACTTTTTCTTTTTGATCCAATAAGATACCGATTCCCACTTCACTTCTGTCATATTCTCTGAAGCTCTTTTTGGCAGAATTGGTGGAAGTTAAGATGCTTAGCTCCCCATCTTCACAATGATTTTTTTCTAAGAGTTCCTGGCCTGAAATCATGTCATTAGTAATTGATTGAGCATCAGATGAGTCATCTTGAATTTCTGGAAGAAGGATTTCATCAATTGATTCTTGTACGAGTTTGACAGCATCAGTATGGTTGAATTCAGTCCTTTGACGTCTTGCATCATGATTTGCATCATGATTTTCCTTTCCCAGATCACAATCTGTTTTAGAGTAATCATCACAAGAACTAATTCTTATTTCAGGCAATGTGTTGCCATCATCTGCTTGTTCTTCCTCATCGTCTCCATCAAGAAACAGCTGGGTTCCAACTTTTGCAGCAATACCTGATGCTACATGCTGATATATCAGGTGCCACATCCTGATATTCTTCTGCTTGTCCATCTGGGACTTGCATGCTACTTTTGCTGTACAATCAGGTTCAGAATCTCCAAGTGGAGGAATTCCTTGAAGTACGTATTGTGGATCAGAATCTCCAGTCTTCTCTTCCCCGGCTGCAGTTGTTTGCTCCAATCTTTCATACTCAAAAGCTGAAGAAACAACGTTGTTAGTTGCCACTGGTTCTCCATTATCATCTACAATTGGGCTTTCATTTATATAAGATGGTGCACCACTTAAACAATCAAGCTCCACCTTTTTACCACTCAATTCAAAGCCAGTTTTGAGAATCCCCAAGTTGAAACTCAAAACTGTATCTTCATGGACTCCTTTCCGATCTTTTTCATCCACAAGCACTTTCAAACCAGCGAAGCTCAAAGTGTCATCTGATTTCAAACGGAGTTCATTACATGATTGAGAAACTTCAACTGCGGACATGCAAAAATCACTCACATCAGAATGTTTATCTGTGACGATGGAATTATCTTCCCCAATATCAAGGTTGGATACAATAATTTCCTCAGTCTTTGTGCCTGTATCAGTGGCTCCAGAAACAGACGTATAACAGTCATCACTAATAGCCTTTGTCACCTCAACATGCCGTTCTTCTGATGGTGGAACCACTGTTTCAAAAGCTTTTACAAGCAATGCCACTTTTCTTTTCTGAGTTGGAGCCAGTTCACTAATTACGTGCCGAAGTGCATAATCAAGCATCCACTCCTCGGTATTTTTCTTCTCTTCCATGACTTGATGCCTTAGACTAACTTTTTCTGCTTCTGCGTCAGATTCTAGGGGCAGAATTTGTGGCTTTCGTGGGTTGAGTTTTCTCACCTTTTCTAGTGCCTTGATGAACCTCTTAAGAAGGATCAGTTTTCTCAGATTGGTCCAGCTCTTGGGTGTTTGCTTGTCAGACTTGTTTCCCACCTTTGATGTCATTTTCTCTTCTTCTGAGTCAGAGATATTATCAGCTGCAAGCCCTGTCCCTTGTATATCCCGCGAACAATCATCTCCCCCTTCCTTTTTGTCATACCCTCTGAAGCCATCTTTGGAAGTTGAAATGCTTGGTTCCCCACCGTCACCTTGATTCTTTTCTAAAAGCTCTTGGTCTGAAATTCCAGCACTAGTAATGTATTGATCATCAGATGAATGGTCCTGAACTTCTGGCAGAAGTATTTTCTCAATTGCTTCTCGTACCAGTTTGATGGCATAAATCTTTCGGAGTTCAATATCTTCGCTGGCTGTATTGTGATTTTCCACACCCATATGCTGATCTGAATCAGAAAACTCCCCAAAAGAACCAGAACTTTCTTGTGCAAGCAGAGTTTTTGTATCATTTACTTTCTTTACTGTGTCTGCTCCATCAAGTTGATGGCTTCCTGCTTTTGCTGCAAGACCTGATGCCATATGTTGATGTAGCACGCGCCACAAGTTGATATGCTTCTCTTGGTTGAACTCACTTTTGTACGTTTCATCAGCTTTGGCATTTGGTTCAGAATCTCCGGATGGAGTAAACCCTTCTACAAATTTATTCTCCAACTTCAAATCTGTATTCTGCTCTTTCCTGACTGCAGTGAGTTCCTTTGAAGTGTCACAGACAGAAGCTGAAAAAATCACTTCTTTTCCTTCCCCTGCCTTCCTGTCAACGTTTGCGGCTTTAGGATCAGATTTATCCAATTCACTTTTAACAGAACAACAGTTCTGATTTATTTCTTTGAGCTCAGGAAATGTTGCCAGAACATTTTTCTCTTCTGGTTGTGGAACAACTGTTTCAAAAGCCTCTACAAGCAGCGCCACTTTCCTTTTCTGAGTTGGAGCTAATTTACTAACTACCTGTTGAAGTGCATAATCAATCATACACTCCTCAGCACTTCTCCTCTCGCCCGTCACTTGATGCCTTAGACAAACTTTTCCTGCTTCTGTGTCCCTCTCCAAGGGCAGAATTTCTGACTTCTGTGGGTTGAATTTCCTCACATTTTCCAACGCCTTGATGAATCTCTTCAGAAGGATCAATTTTTTGAGGTTGCTCCAGCTTTTGGGTGCTTGCTTGTCCGAGTTGTTTCTCACCTGTGATGCTGTTCTCTTTTCTTCTGGGCTAGAGATATTATCAGCTGCAAGCCTTGTCTCTTTTGGATCCAATAATATGTTATCTCTGACTTCATCATGGCCGCACTCTTCAGAGCTATCTTTAGCAGAGACGGTGGAAGTTAAGATGCTTAGTTCCTCACCGTCACCATGATTGTTGTCTAACAGCTCTTGGTCTGATGTAACGCCACTAGTAATTGATTTATTATCAGACAACTGGTCTGGCACTTCTGGGAGAAGAATTTTCTCAATTGCCTCTCGCACCAGCTTGATGGCATAAATCTTGCGGAGTTCAATATCTTGACTGACTGTGTCATGATCTTCTATACCCAAATCCGAATCAGAGAAATTTGGACATAAACCAGAACTTCTTTGTGCAGGCAAGGTGTTGGCATCATCTGCTAGTTTTTCCTTGTCTGTTCCCTGAAGTGGCTGAGAACTGGCTTCTGTGGCAAGACCTGATACCATATGCCGATGTATCAGGTGCCACATGCTGAGGTGCTTCTCTTTGTTAGAATGTGTTGTGGATGTTTCATGAGTAGTGGGATTGGGTTCAGAATCTGTGTCTGCAATAAAACCTCCATGGAATTCACCATCTGGCTCAGAATCTGCATCTTTCTCTTCCTTGTCTGCACTAAATTTCTCCAAAGGGTCACAAACAGTAGCTGAAGAAACCACACTGCTATCTTTTGTTGCTCTTTGGGTATCATTTGGGTTTGATCTCTTGTCTATATTGGATGGTTCATCTTCACATAATTCTGAGTTCAAATTTGAAACTTCCTCATTGCAGGTGCTGATTCTGTCATCTGCATTATCAGAACCCATGAGGGTGCAATTGCTGTCATCGTTATCAAGTTTTGGTGCAAAAATATCCTCATCCTTCCAGTATATATCACTTTCTTCAGAAATGGATTTATCCAGTTCGGTTTTAATGCAACAGCTCGCCAAACTTGTGTCTTTGAGGTTGGAGGGTGTCTCCAAAACGTCTTGCTCCGCAGCACCAAAGTTTTTGACTCGGTTGAGATTCTCCTGAAAACTCTTCTCAGGGTATGATGTTTCACCAAACAAGATCTCGACATGACCTGCATCTTCATTTTCTTCACTTTCTCCCCCCCAAAACTTAATATTTGGTTTAGCATGGATCTCTAAGAAATTATTCAATCCCTCTTCATCTCCTACAGGAGACATTGCTGTGGTGCCATTGGCTCCCTCTTGAATTGCAGGTTCAAAATTGCTTGATTGAAATTCTTTGTGTTTCACTCCAAGGGTTGATAAGCCTTTTATTTTCATGCTCTTCTGGGTCTTCAGTGAACGCCTTCTTTTGGAGACAAAGTGCTTTGGTGGGGGCACAGGAGCATGGCAGTGACCGTTCAGGGAACAGTGACTGTATGGGCAAACCTTCATGATCGGATTTATTTTGGACTCGCTTACTCCATGATGAATCTCTACACGTTGAGGGAACTTCGAGTCTTTGAGAGTGGAAGAACATGTAGCTCTCTCAACGCTCGAATCATGAGAAACTTCAGAACATTTCTTTACTGAAGGCCTCTTTGATTTGAAACTAGACTTATTTATCAGAATTCTCAAACTAGATGTCCTTGATAAAGTCCTTATAGATTTCAAACTAAAAGAAGCTGAGTTTGATTGTGAAGAACTACGATCATTGCTACCAAAACTAGATTCGGAACTACAGGGACTTGCCTGAAAATGTGCCTTCTTCCCGTCAGAACAGCTTGTTGCCTTCAAATAATTTGGTAATGCATCTGACACTTTTATGAGAGATTTTGCCCGTCTCCTTGTTGGTGGCTTGATTGATCTCGACTTCTTCAGTGTCTTCTTCACCTGAGTTCCTCCCTGGATTGTGCTGTTCCAAATCTGAGAAGATGGTGTACTGGGTATTGACCCATAAGTGGATGGACTTTCTGAAATTCCTTCAGATTCACTTCCACCCTGGTGAGAGACACAACAGAGTCAGGAAACTTCAAATCCACAAGAGCCGAAGGAGAGGGAGCTCCATGGTTGCTAAAGTCTGGAAATGGAGCAACTCTGGAGCACTTCCCCAAAGGTCTCTTGGATTTCAAATTAAGCTTTCTAGTTAAGGTGCTCATGGGTTTTTGATTTCGAGCGATGTGAATTTTTTTTTGTATGAATCATTGCTATAAAAACTAGATTCAGAATGATGGGACTTGCCTGAAAACTCTCCTTTGCATCTGAACAACAACCTGTGTCCTTCATATAATTTGGTGATGCATTAGACAATTCAACTGGGTGGTCATCGTTGGATAAATCAATAGAAAGATGCTCAAATCGGGAATTTGCCCATCTTGTGGATGATTTCAAGCTTGGTAGCTTTGAGAGCTTGACTGATCTCAGCTTCTTCAGTTTCTTCTTCGGCTCTGTCCCTCCTCTGTTTCTGCTGTCCTGAACCTGAGAAGAAGATGATCTGATTGCCATTGAAATTTTCTCAGATCAAGCACGCAACGATTATAATCAGTTTTTTTTCCAGATTAAGGGGGAGAAAAGAAGAAGATCTAGGTGTAAATTGGTTGTGTAGTGGTAGAGATGGAGATTTTCTTATGGAAAAGAGAGTTGTGGTTTTGGAATAAAAGCAGAGGAATTGTGAACGACTATGAGATGGTAGATTTTTGCAAGGAAGGTTATTTGATGACTTGGACAAACTCAAAGATTCCAAAGCTTGGTGTTGGTCTAAAGTGATTGGCTTTTTCTTTTCCAACTTTGTTTATGCATTGACTTGTACAAACAAACTTTTGAGTCCTGACTGGGCATTTGTTGAATTGACTCTCAATTTATAGGAAGCTTCTGCATTGAACTCAGTTTTGTAAGTAGGACTTAGTAATTAATTTACAGTTATTGTTATTTTTACCACTTAATTGTAAAAGATTAAACTGCCAATCGCGGGTTTGAGAATCACTTAATATCAAAAATGTTTTGGTTTCTTAAGTCTTAAAATTTAGGAACCAACAATTAATTAATGGGTCTTATTTTAGTGAAGAGATGTGTAGATGAGAAGAGTATAAATTGTTTTTGTTGACAAAGATGGTGGTGGTCACATGATTATTAATATTAATTTAATATGTTTGTGTAGGTTTGGTAATTTTGGTTGTGTGCCATTATTAATTGGAAACACCCCTCTAATTACCATACACGTAGCAATGCTAGACAACTGGTTCAAAGACCTGCATTACATGCGATGGGCCATCTATTTTCCAACTCATTTTTCTATGCTTAATTTACTTTTCATATAATATATATATATATATATATATTTCTTACCTCAAAAAGAGAGAGAGAGAGAAAGACTAGACAACTAAAATTTTTAATCAAAACATAAAGGAAAAAATAAAATCAAAATGAGGAAATTATGAGTTAGGCATATATTTTTGAATTATGAATTATGAGGGAGTAATTTTAGTATTTGCATGTGATAATAGTCGACAGTGGCTCTCAGAACATCAGATGGAATTTATTTATTTATTTATTTTTACAGAACTCAGCCAGTTCACTAAATTTAACCAATCAAATTAATGAAATGATGTAAACACAAGAACATCTAACGCGTGGATCCCACGTGATTGGACAGCAAGAAACGCTGTTTGTGGGACATAGTTTCCAAGCGCAATCCAAAAAGTGCAAATTGTTGTTATCTTTGCTAATTCACTCTTATTGCTGTTTTTGAGTCGATTTATTTCGCACTTACACTTTAAGCTCGTCAAACTTAAAAAAGTTCTCTCATTAGCTTGGGTATGAAAACAAGACTGAACTCCATACTTGTTTGACTTGTAAAGACATGTTTCTTTGACATTTTCAGCATCAATATATATATGCACACACACATATAATAATCATTATAATTAAATTGTCTGAGTAAGTACATGTTATTTGCAGGAATGGTATCAACAAATGGAATTGAAGAAAGTGTGGGCTGTGCATTTTCTATCTGTATGGGACAGTTGGGGGACTCAATTGTTGTTGGGCTAACAATTATGACAAACAATCAACTGTCCGAGCTCATTAATTTTTTAATTTTGGGTGAAAAGTATGACAAAGGCATTAAAAAAGGAGGGAAAAAAATAGGAAGTTATGTGTCAAAAAATTGTAGCACAAATATTAGTAAAAATACTAAAAACAAAATGTGTCCGTGTGTGTGTATATATATATATATATGTTATTATATATATATTTCAATGGTCTTTATTTTATGTGCTTTTTTAAACATTATTGTATATTTTCATATAACTTGACGGGTTAAGTGTAAAAAATCCCCTCAAACTATTGCCCTTTTACAAATAACCACCTGAACTAAAAACTGTCCCCTGAACTATTGATTTGTTGCAATTAAGGACAAATCAATCTTAAAAGACTATTTTACCCTTTCTCATTGAAATTTTTATTTCTTATTAAATTATTTTTATTACCTTTTCTCTTATGTAAATATTAATTATACTATTTATCTTAATTTTATTTTTAGTATCAATTTATCATAAAAATGAAAAACAAAATGGATAAATAGATTTGTCACTATCATTTTCTAAATTGATTAACTTATTATTAAATGCTTATTATTATAATAAAACGTATTATAACCAATTTAAACATTTTTATCGTAAAAAATATCATTTTTTTTCATTCAATATATTGATGAAAAATTAATAAAATACTTTTGAAAAAAATGCATTCTTTTCATGTAATATATTCATTAAAAATTTAAAAATTAATTAATTTTTTAAAAAAATTCTACTAAAATTTTTTATTTAAATAATTAATTAAAAAAATTAAAGGTAAATTTATGCAAATTTAATGAAAAATATCTCATCAAATTAGTATGAATTTTTTCATAATTTGTTTAGCTAAGAAATATATATATTAAATATAATTCAATAAGAATAGTCATTATGGTCATTTAATGAAATATAATATAGTCTTTGGGTATGTTGCAATAAAATGAGATAATTTAGGGAGTTTTATGCACAAAATATAGTTCTTGCAAATTCAAATATAGTTCAAGAGTTTTTTTTGCACTTTATCCTAACTTGAATGAAAAAGAGTTCCTCCTACTTATCACAAATAGTTAATGTATAGTTAGTAATGTAGCGCCTTAACTTAAAATAAGATTTTATGAAACTGCAAACAAATAAGCGGGATTAGAGAAGTTAAAATGGTGTCCACTGTGTTTGAAATGTTGAGATTTAATGCGATTTGAAATTCAAAATGAAATTCTTTAGTGTTTGGAATAAAAAGAATTTTAGATATAATTAGATTTCACGGGAGTCCAAATCCCAAACCATAAATATCCTCAAATCCATTAAAAATGTTGAAGTTTGATGAAATTTGTAACTAGATTAGTTTGACATTATCAAATTGCTTTTTTTAAAGTAACACTGAGTAGGTCCTCCTTTAATAAGATAAGAATAAAATAGTATAATTTCTTTTTTCTTCATAATTAAATTTCAGCTTATTCTAAACACACAAAGAAAATTTCATTTCAAATCCAATTAAAATTTACTTTTCTTTCAATTCCAAATCCTAAAAACAAATTGATCTCAAACAAAACGGTCAATTGCACTTTAGATACATCTAATCTCACTTGATGCATCTAAAAACTGCCTAATCCAAAAAAACAGATAGGATAATTTTGATAAAAAAAATGTTTTATCTAATTTTGACAAAAAGAAGTTTTTGTTAAACTCTCTCTCTCTCTCTCTCTCTCTCTCTCTCTCTATATATATATATATATATATATATATTTATTTATTTATTTATTTAAGTGCAATCGTACAAAAAGTGTGAATATTGTCTCCCATAAAAAAATTATCAGATTTATCCAATTCACTTTTAGGAAATTATCAAATTTATCCAATTAACTTGTAGGAAATTATCAAATTTATGCAATTCACTTTCAGGACATTGTACCATTACTCCGCTTAATATATATATATATATATATATATATATATATATATATATATATAGATAGATAGATCAACGGGAGAAAACACCCGGTACAAAAACACCTTTAAAGTTTTAATTTAGTGCAAATAAGTTTAAACCCTAAGTTGACTAAATTATCTTTACTAAACTATTTTATAAAATATATAATAAATAAATAATTTTGTAAAATAATTAAAAAAGACACTATTGGAGAACGTCGGTAATGACAATATAAAAATAAAAAATAAAAGTATAAAGAAAAGTAAAGAAAAAAACAGAAAATAAAAAACAAAATAAAGTGCAAACTAAAGAAAACAAATTTGCTCCAAACTGTGAAAATCAGTGCACAGATGTTGGGATATATATATATATATATTTTGTTTAATAGTGTTGGTACGAAGAAGAAAAAAAATAGTAAAGTGAAATCTCAAAAAATTCAAATCCTATTCTACAAATTCTCAAAGTTTAAAAAAAAAAAAAAAAAAGTTTAGAAATATATATATAGAGAAAAAAATTTCAAAAAAAATAATATATAAGGTAATATGCACATTTGACATAACACCCCTCTTGTTACAAGGGTCATTTGTCCCACATCGGATTCGAATAAGAAAGTGATTGAGTACAAATGGGTGGGTATACAGCACTACCCAATAGTTTGAGATTTTGGGTAAATGGGCAAGAGCTCGCCTGTTACAGTTGGTATTAAAGTCAAACCAAATCCTTGATCCGGTGTCATGCCAAGCGCCCGACTCAGGAGACGTCCAGGTGAGCCACCCTCAGGTAGGCAGGGTGGCCTGACCGTAATGAGTGCGTTGTAAGTTCGGATAGTAGAGAATGTTATAAGGGTCATTTGTCCCACATCGAATTCGGATAGGAAAGTGATTGGGTATAAATGAGTGGGTATACAATACTACCCTATAGTTGGCAAGCGCCCACTCGTTATACCTATATTATAAGATTAGTAAAATATATAGCATTTGAGCATTTTTAGAAGAATAAAATGGTAAAGAGTATTACAATATTATTTTATGTCAAATTTTTTATTAAGGAATATTTTTTTACAATTTAAAAAAATTAAGGATCTCTCTCTCTCTCTCTCGCGACATAAATACTAATTATATGAAAAGTGAAATCAACACCGAAATAGACGGTGGCACCCACGTCTTTGTTATTAATTGAAAGCTATAAAAACCCGAAAAAAAAAAAACAAAGAAGATGTCCATACGGAGAGCCAAGAATGGCATTGATGATGGTAACCTCCAACGAACCAAACATTTGACAACCCTTTATCCTTTGTTGTACAGAAGGAGGGAGAGAGTGAGTTCTCTCTTCCTTATCCTCCTCCTTTTAACATTGTGTGTGTGAAATTGTGAATATATATATATATATATATATATATATATATATATGTCATTGTCATTACATGAATGTATGTATTATATGTATTACTGGATACGCATCAGACGTCACCATAACCATATCCTTATCTTATATCCTTATATATCATCGCTTTCAGACATTTCCACATCACTTTCTTCTCTTTCCTCATATATTCGTCTCCCTCTCTCGCCTTTTGACTGTTCCAACTTCCAACACATGCACTAGTTTGTTTATTGCTTTCTTTTCTACGGAAAACTCTTTTATCTTCAAAATTTTCTAGGGTTTTATTTCTTCCTTTTATAAGACATCCATTTCGTTCCCACAAAATTTCTAAATTTTGTGTTCCATTGGTGAACCTATTGGCCATTGATTTGCCGATTGTTGGGAATTCGAAGAAACTCAGGTTAAATGTTGTAATTCCATTTTTGTGGTTTTGCTCCTGTTGAGCTCAATTTCTTGAATTTAGAAGCCCAATTTGGGATTCAGAAGTTGGAATCTTTTTCTTTGATTTTTATTTTTTATAGCTTAATCGATATATTTAATTTTGGTTTTTTTTTTTTTTTTTTGTTAAAATATTTAATTTTGGTTGTTTTCCCTTTAATCTGTCGAAAAATCTCTAGTTTGAATCCGCAAAGAGAAACCCATTCGTAATATTCTTGTCTTTCTTAATCTTCATCTTCGTCAAAACACTTAATTTATTGATAAATTGAATACCCAGAACTTCATTTTGAAGATTTTTGGTGTAAATTATATCTACTTGATATTAGAAATCCTAAGAGTTTTGGTTGCCCCTGAAACAATGGAGATAAGTAATGAGGCGAGTGTGGATCCATTCTCAATTGGACCTTCCACAATTATTGGTCGGACAATTGCTTTCAGAATCTTATTCTGCAAGTCGTTGTCACATTTGAGGAATCAAATGTTTCGTTTTCTTTCATTTTACTTTCATAGAGTTAACAAGTGTTTGACAAGCTATTTGTCACCCTTTATCTCATGGTTTCACCCTCGGAACCCACAAGGGATATTGGTAATGGTAACAATGATAGCTTTCTTGTTGAAAAGATACACAAATGTAAAATTGAAGGCTGAATTGGCTTATCGGAGGAAATTCTGGAGAAATTTGATGACAGCTGCTTTAACCTATGAGGAATGGGCTCATGCTGCTAAGATGATGGATAAAGAGACCCCCAAGATGAATGAGTCTGACCTTTATGATGAAGAATTAGTGAGGAATAAGCTCCAAGAGCTTCGACACCGTCGCCAAGAGGGTTCTCTCAGAGACATTATATTTTTCATGAGGGCTGATCTTGTTAGAAATCTTGGTAATATGTGCAACCCCGAGCTCCATAAGGGGAGGCTTCAAGTGCCTAAACTCATAAAGGAGTATATCGATGAGGTCTCCACTCAGTTGAGAATGGTTTGTGACTCTGATTCCGAGGAGCTTCAATTGGAGGAGAAGCTTGCTTTTATGCATGAAACAAGACATGCTTTTGGTAGAACCGCATTGTTGTTAAGTGGGGGTGCTTCCCTTGGCGCTTTTCATGTTGGAGTTGTGAAAACATTGGTGGAGCATAAGCTTATGCCACGCATAATTGCCGGGTCCAGTGTGGGTTCCATTATGTGCTCTGTTGTTGCCACCAGGTCTTGGCCCGAGCTGCAAAGTTTTTTTGAGGATTCTTGGCACTCTTTGCAGTTTTTCGACCAGATTGGTGGGATTTTTACAGTTTTTAAGAGAGTTATGACACAAGGGGCAGTTCATGAGATCAGACAATTGCAGATGATGTTAAGGCATCTCACAAGTAATCTTACATTCCAAGAAGCTTATGACATGACTGGTCGAATTCTTGGGATTACAGTCTGCTCCCCAAGGAAGCATGAACCTCCCAGGTGCCTTAACTACTTGACTTCACCTCATGTTGTCATATGGAGTGCAGTAACTGCTTCTTGTGCCTTTCCTGGCCTTTTTGAAGCTCAGGAACTCATGGCAAAGGATAGAAGTGGAGAAATTGTTCCTTATCACCCCCCATTTCATTTGGATCCTGAAGAGGCTACTGGCACATCTGCACGCCGTTGGAGGGATGGTAGCTTGGAGATCGATTTACCCACGATGCAGTTAAAGGAGTTGTTCAATGTTAATCATTTTATTGTGAGTCAGGCAAATCCTCATATTGCACCTTTCCTGAGGCTGAAGGAGTTTGTGAGAGCTTATGGAGGCAACTTTGCTGCAAAGGTACGTAATGTGGACTCGAAAATAAAATTATCTTTATCTTTATTGGTATTGGTTGGCATTTCTTGTTCTGTATATGATTTTGTGTGGTCACTCTAGTTAAATACGCAAAATATTTTGAAGATGTCCATGCTCGTGTGTCTATATGTTTCATGAACTCTTCAAGAGTGTGTAGTACTCATCTTGAACATAAGATTCTCAAGCAACCGTGTAGCATATGTGTTCGATGTTCATGCACCTAAAACCACATTTTATTATAATCCAATATTATTACATTATTGCTTCAAAGTGAGGGAAATACCTATATTGAGTGCTATGTTACATAAAATAAATTGTTTTACTCTAGACAAAAAAAAAAAAAGAAAAATATCAAATAATATGAAAATTTAGCAGTGTCCTATTTAGAGATTTGATACGTCCAACGCTTAGACACATTACCCACACTCGACGCACATTCCCTAGTCCATGTAACACAGGTGTTTGTTTCTTCTTCTTCTTGTTCAATAGGACATGATTGTGGAGGATTGGAGAGGATACATATGTGAGGAGGAAAAGAATTAAAGAACAATTTTTTTTTTTGGATGGCTAGTGGAGGATAAAATAGAATGGTTGATTAATTGGCTATTGGGGTGGGGGGGTGAAACCTTACATATTCCTCCATAGAAATCTTGATTTGGTTCCGGGTCAGTGGTGCATAATATATTGTGCATTGGTGCTCACGGGTAAATCAGTCATTTGATGCCTTATAAAGGTGGAAGAGAGATCTGCATTAGTGGATTAAGTGGAGTTTAGGGGCTAATGAACATACAGATAAATCAATTATTGAAAAAAGAAAAGGAAATTACCACCACTCTTCTCTGTATCTTTCTCTCTCTCACACACACATGCATGTACTCTTGGACTTCTTACATCCTAATGAGAAATGATCACAATGCAAACATGCCTTGCAAAAAGTTTTTTAAGCGTGTCTTCAATGACCATCATTTAAAATTCTTTTGGCAAATCAGTCTTCATCATTTGGATAAATGTCGCCTATTTTTTGGCATTCCAACTCCTGATTTGAAGCCCAGAAATCTAAACTCAAGAACAATTGCTAACTAATCGATGCATGGTCTGAAGATTGAATATCAATGCTGTTGGATTTTGAAGTCAGCATGTCTGCTTTTTTAGTTTCTTTTTATTTATTTATTTATTTATTATTATGAGTAAGAAAAAATTAAATAAAAAATGTGATTGCTCTTTCATTTCACTGTGCAGCTTGCTCATCTAGCGGAGATGGAGGTGAAACACAGATGCCACCAGGTGTTGGAACTTGGTGGTTTTCCATTAAACGGACTTGCCAAGTTGTTTGCTCAAGATTGGGAGGGTGATGTCACTGTTGTCATGCCTGCAACCCTAGCTCAGGTATATTACATGGGCTTATTATGTTCTTTCCTGATTGTCTTTTAATTCTTTAAGAGATTTTTTTTTTTTAACTTGCTTCAAGAGAAATTTGACGGTGCAAGTATATTGAATTTCTCTTTAATTTTTAAAAGTTCTTAGACAAAATACCACTTCTTTTTATTGTTTTTCTTTTATTTTAGTCACTGTTAACAACCATCTACTCCAAAAGCTTAAGTTGTTAGAGAGGGTGTACTTAATATTTAAATCCTTCAACACGCCCCTCACGTGTGGCCTTTTTTTGGTCCAACACGTGTGACGGTGAGGTTTGAACTCGAGACCTTACTCCAAAAGCTTAAGATGTTAGAGAGGGTGTAACTTAAATATTTAAATCCTTCAACAGTCACTAGATAGGAGAAAATTAGAAAGAGGGGAGTGAGCTCTCCTTTAAATGTGAACAACAGAACAAACAAAGCCTGTAAAGAGGTAAACTCTCTTTAGAAAATGTTTAGTATAACCTCATCTTAATTATCTACTTCAAAGTTAACCAATCTCCAAATCGTAATGAATTCAACACATTTGTGGGAAGCAGCACTGATTTTCTGAGTGTACATATGCACAAATGCGCAAGGAGCGTTTGCACCACTCCACCTTTTTCTTTCAGTTTGTCTTTGTAAACCACCTGCCTTGGCCAAGTGGGTTGCAGCCATTGTTTTTTTAGTTTGCTGGTCCGTCCTTCCTTGTTGAGGCTGTCACTAGTAGTAGTTTGATAGATGTTGATTGCAGGCTGCTGGTTTTGAAGAGAGTTAGTTTTCCATTCTATTGTTATCTTCTCTTTCCTCTTTTTTCCTTGTGGAAAAAAGGAAGGAAACAGGAGTCTCACAATAGGGGATTGCCACAATAGCTTTCAATATTGAAGTTCTGTAATTCCTAATTATTGATTATTGAAGTTTTGGTAGTTGCTCTCCTTGAACACAGAAGGTTATTCCTGTGGCCCTGATTTGATAGTCTTTCTCAAATCATCCAGCCTCAACAAGACAAAAAAACTGTTTCCTTCAGTTTTGGCATGATCCAGTTTGCAGAATTTGAGGAACGACTTTGAACTGTTGTTGAGCAATGCTATACGAATTAGAAAACAATTCATAAATTCCTCTATGGACTGAAGTGGCTTCTAAATAAAATAACCACCATTCTCCCAGTTAGTTTTTAAGTTCCTCTGCGTTGCATTACTTGAATGCTCTCATTCGAGTTTTCTATATGAACTACATTTCCCCAAGTTGAAATCTCTATCCACACTTGTTTCAACATTTTGGCACCCTTGCCCTCCTCCCTTAACCCACACCCACCCACATAGTTAGTCAAATATTTCAGATAATTTTTCTTCTAGTGAATTAACTATCTTTTTGGTTCTTCGAATTGTTGTTTCCAATTTCAGTACTCAAAAATTATACAGAATCCATCTTATTTGGAGCTTCAAAAGGCAGCAAACCAAGGCAGGAGGTGCACTTGGGAGAAGCTTTCAGCCATAAAAGCCAACTGTGGGATTGAGCTTGCTCTTGACGAGTGTGTTGCAATTCTCAACCATATGCGTAGACTCAAAAGGAGTGCGGACAGAGCAGCTGCAGCTTCCCATGGCCTTGCTAGCACAGGCCGATTTAATGCCTCTAAAAGAATTCCATCTTGGAACTGCATTGCTCGCGAGAACTCATCAGGCTCCCTTGAAGATCTCGTTGCAGATGTTAGTTCCCCCCTCCCTCAAGGAGTTGGAAGGTCCACAGAAGGACCCTCTGGCCGGAATTTGCGGGCCACCCCGCATAACATACACGATGGAAGTGATAGTGAATCTGAGAATCTTGATCACAATTCTTGGACAAGATCTGGTGGTCCTTTGATGAGGACTAGATCAGCAGATAAGTTTGTTGACTTTGTCCAGAACTTGGATGCGGATGCCAAACTGAATAAAGGAATGATTGTTCACACCAACAATGTTGTGTTTCAGATGTTGGGAAAGGATTCATATTATCAAAGCCCAAGATTGACAACATCAGATAGAAGCTCAGACACGGAGTTCGATCAGAGGGATTTCAATAGCAGATTTCCCCTGAATAGTTCTACCATTATGGTGGCTGAAGGTGATCTTTTGCAGCCTGAAAGGATTCAAAATGGGATTTTGTTCAATGTTGTGAGGAAGGAAGATTTAACTCCATCTAATAGGAGTCATGATTCAGAAAACAGCAGCACCTTGCAGAATTCTGCTGCTGAATGTATGCAACTTGAATCCCCAGATCGGGAAATGGATGAGAGTTCAGTATCTGAGTATGGCGAGAATGACGTCACTGGAGAAAACTGCCCGATCGAATTAGATCCTGGTTGCAACCCCAAGGATCATTCTGGTGTAGACGATGGCAATGATAAGAGTGTTGTGGATGGTATTTGAGGATCATTTTTATTTTTTTATTTGTTTAGTGATCCTATGGGGAACTCACTGGGATTCAATGCTGGAGTCGAACTGAAAGTTCTACTAAAAAGCAGAAAAGGGTAGGGAAGTAGTCGAGCATCACCACGCTAGAATCGCACTTGTAAATAAGCAGTTCCACTTCCATACCTCCTTGGAATGCACTGTTATTGTCATTCTTAGTTCATAATCAAATGTTCTATGTTTGGCGTCACCTAATCGGTGACTAGGATTGGGATTGGAAAAAATTTAGTATAAAATTTGAACTAAAGTTCCTCCAATCGCAAATTCAAGACACCGATTAAATGCTCCCAAATACAACGTAAGAGTAAAGGTTCTAGCCACAGTGGTTGGTACTTGAAATAGTGTTTTATTTTATTTTTTTAATTTTTTTTATTAGGTGGTATTAAGAGTACATCTCTATGTCAACCATCTGAATTTCTGTAAAAATTATAAATAAATCGAATATTTCAAATTTTTATTTTTCAAAAAATGGGTCATCGTGGTGTGACAAATCACGGGAATTCTTCTTTCTATTATCAGTTTGATCCTGGTAAAAATTAATATCAAAATTTGTTTGCTAAGTTACACTCTCAATAAATTAAAACTTACTACTGTTATAAACGATATTCCTCTCTTTGACAGAATGTGGGAGGAGATGTGTCTTTGAATATATTATATATATATATATGATATATCCAGTAGGAGCAATACAAGTTGCTTCATTCCTTCAATGGTATATGTTTACCTAATCATGTGAATGTCTTCACTAATGTGTACGGTGCGGACAACTTTGGTGAGTGCTTTGAAAATTAGGTGGACATCCAGGGATCCATTGGTTGTTAAAAGTATATTCTTTTATAATACGTATCCGAAATTCAACTCAACAATGTTAATCCAATTCCAACTACGTATTAAATTACATTTGCTAAAACTTGTAACTACCGTGGACCAATGACAGTGTTGCCATTGGTTACGAAAGAAATAGATAACTTGTGCTATATGAACAGTGCATAAATACTTTATGGTGTTATTAAGAAGTTGAAGGGAAATTGCAGCATGTCAATCGAAGTGATCATTATGCAGAGGTACATTCCTTGCATAAAGGAAATATATATATATATATATATATATATATATATATATATTATTGGTGGCACATTTTAATTTGAAATGTTGAGAACATGAAGCGGCCGGCCACTACCCACATTTTATAATTGGATTCAAAAAAAGGGTGTTGTGATAGGTGGGGAGACGATCACTCATCATCATCCCACACTCAAAACAGGTCACTTCGTAATCCATCTACAAGTTGAATGCCATCATATATATATATATGTGTATGTATATTGTGAGGAAGGCACAGCAGAACCATGGTTTCTTGTTGGCCCAGCTCCCAAATAAGTTGGTTAATTGGGACAGATCGACAAGGGCACAAAAGGAAAAGCAGTGGATGCCAAGCAGTCAAAACATCATTTCATTTTGTGCGTGTGATTGTTGGCGGCCCACCAATTCACTCCTCAGCTGGTTGTGGGTTGTCACACTGATAGAGTCTCCTGGTTTTTGTTTGAGTGCATCAATATATATATATATATATATATATGTCCAGTTACTCTCAAGCTTTACTCGCGTGGGACTATTTGTCGCCCCCAAAAGACCACTCCTACTTCCCAAATAAAATCACATCAAGTGTATTCGATGAATTAGTTAGTGAGGAATGCTAATTGCAGTCTTGCATTACTGTTCATTCACAGCCGTGAGTTAAAATTAGTTAGTTTTGAATGCATTAATTATTTTGAGTTTCTATTTTTATGGACTCTAATAACATTACTTTTTAGACAAAAATACCCTTTTAAATTATTGTTTCTTCTTATTTTCTCTTTTAATTAATTTATATAGGGATGTGTGCGTATATGTATATGTATATATATATAATAATAATAATAATAACTAATGTGATATGAATGGATGCTGAAAAAAAAAAAAAAAAAAAAAAGTCTGAAAAAGAATAAGATAGATTCTGAGATTTAAAATATATATATACAAAATTAGTTTTATACACATATATTTCATTTTTGGTGAAGGAATTATTTCCTTTTTTTTTTTTTTTAAATCCATTTATACAAGGATAGTTGTAAAAATTAAAAATTAATATAAAAAGAAACATATATATATGTAGGAAAAAAACAAAAAGGAAGAAATATATAATCGATTTTTTTTTTTACCTTTCTTTTTATTCTTTTTGGATTTTTTTCTCGCTCTTTTTTTTTTTTTTTTCTTCTTCCTTTTATTTTTTTCCAAATCCATCCATCTCTTGTGAATGAATTATCCTACTACATAACTAACCACATATACTCGATTAAAAGAGGAGAGAAGAAGAAAGATTAGATAATTTAAAAAGATATTTTTGTCTAAAAAATAATGTTAGTAGAGTCCCATAAAAATAGAATCTCAAACTAATTAATACATTCAAAACTAACCTATCATAACTGACGACTGTGGATGTGCAGTCGGGACTGCAATTAGCATTCCTCTTAGTTAGTAAGACATATGCTTATTCTCCCCATGAGTGTATTTGTGTTCGAAAAAAAATAAAAATTACAAAAAACCTATACTATATATGTGTTTATTCCTCATTGGCAACCAACATTTTAAACTTATCCTCCTACAAATCAAGCATTCCTTTCCATCTATCAATCCAATTTTCCACATTTACAAAATGTAACGATGATCTATCATTGTCCATAACCGAGAATTAAAAAGAAAAAAAGAAAAAGAAAAAGAAAAAAGTGTTATCTAACATAAATAAATTTTAATATAAAAATTTGAATGTATGATCCTCTAACACAATCACAACAAAGAGGTCAATGACAATCAGGCACGGACCCAATTCAGCCCCAGGGCAGTTGCCCCCACTAGATTTTTTTTTAATTTACATTATTACCTATAATTTTAAAATATCCCACTCAAATTTTCCCAATATACTTTATTACCTATAGTTTTAACTAAATTTCAAAAATGCCCCCACTGGATTTTTCTCAATTTACATTATTACTTATAGTTTGAACTAAAATTTCAAAAATGCCCCCACTGGATTTTTCTCAATTTACATTATTACCTATAGTTTCAACTAAAATTTAAAATGCTCCATTTCACATTTTTTAAAATACTCCATTTCACATTTTTACCCCCACTAACTTTTTAAAATTCTTATATTTATTATTTTTTAAAAATATTAGTTTTTAATTTATTTATTTTTCAATGAAGCTCCCTTTAAAAAAAATTCTGACAAGACATTCTTTTTGAGACAAAAAATATATTATTATAAATTCACCTCATGAAAAAAAAAAAAAAAAAAAAAAAAAAAAAATATCCTACCACATAAGTAGTGCCACTGATCATACGAAACCGTGTGCTTTAGGCGTTTCCGCGTGCTGTGCTGTGTGCTGTCAGTTGGCGCAAAATAAAGTCCAGCTCTCTAAAATGTTGGAAGCGTGCATCTGTCTGTGTCTTCGTCTCTCTCCACTCCAATCTCGCCATGTTTGAGGGACTTTAGGGCCCATCATCCTTTGTCATGTCTACTTCAAAATTACCTTAATGTGTTTGATTTTAATTAATCCTTAAAATAAATTTGAAAAACTTGGAGATAAAATGTACACGATTAATTGTTATTTGATCGGAATTAATTTTCATACATTTTATCCAATAAGTGACTGCTACCATGAATGAGTACTGTTGTACCATAAATATTCCAAGAGAAATAAATTATTTCACATAAGGAAAATCATGTTAAGCCATTTGGAACCAGATTAATATTTTCTTCAGAAGTCAGAAGACTCTCTACTTTAGAGTTGACTGATATAGTAACAAGTTGGAGAATACTTGTACAATAAAAATTGGGTTTGAAGACTTTATAAATTAAGATGGGTGTAAAAGATGTAGAGAAAGAGAAGTGAAAAAAAGATGTAATGAGTTTAAAGGTGAGTATTGTGAGAAAAGTAGAGAATATCTCAAAAAAATGACGAGAGAGTGAGTGGGGGAATTTTGACATCTAATTGTATATTATTTTTCTTAATTCATAATAGTGAAAATCTCTACGAAATTCCATAATTGGTGAATCATGTAAAATATTATGTTGTTTGTGAATGTATGTGATTGTTATATTTAAGGTGAGTACTGTGAGGAAAGTGGAGAATATTTCAAAATTATCTTTCTTAATTCATAATAGTGAAAATCTCTCTGTAAAATATTATGTTGTTTGTGAATGTATGTAATTGTTATATCTACGTATACTTCTTGTATAGTTGTGCTAATGTAATGTGACGAGGCTTTCAGTGTGTGCAGTGAAAGGAATTAATCATGTCTAACAAATCATTCATACAAAGAATTCTCAAATGAGGCTTAAGAGATAGAAACTCCTTGAAAGTAGTCGTTTTTACAGAATCATTATGGGAGGTGTTTCCACTTTGCACATGACTGCGCATTTCCCATATGCATAAACCGTTAAATCATCTACTCTTGAAATGAATGCTAGTAACAAGGAAGCATCTGGTGTCTCAATCTCAATCTCAATCTCTATCTCAATCTCAAAATACAGAAATTGGGTGCAGTTGTCAAAATAAGGCAGCTGGAGCTACATTTTGATAACAATAAGATGTGACAGCACAGTGTTCCTCTTGTTTCGGAGAAAATACAGGGGAGGGGGCCTCCCTTGGAATTTGTCACATCATCCAATTAATTCCTTTCAATGGCACCGCCAAATTTTTATGATATATTTGGAGCTACTTGCTACTAATATTTTCCACCTCATGCTCAAACGCATAATCATGCCATACATAATTCAATAATAGCTGGCCCCACTGATGGATATATCAATAATTTACCAATCTTATTTCCTTCCATTTTTTTTTTTTAATTTTTAATTTTTTTATTTTATTTAATGAAATTCACACCAGCCATGGCCAACCACCCACCAAATAATGTGGGCGTTATCAATGGTGTATAAAAACGAACTCTGTAACTGTAAGCAAAACACTCTTTTGGTACATCTGCTACAATGTACTGAAACTGTTTGAGGAAAAACAAAATCCAGGAAAATTATAGAAGCTCGTGTTCCTATGATTTTTTCCTCAAAAATTAAGACTAAAATCATATCAAGATTGATGAAATGAATTCACCATTGTAAAAGTATTATAAAATATTTATAAAACTGCATCTTTTTATATTTAGATATTTTATTTTCGAACTTACAAAATAGTTCTTCTATTTTTTTTTTTATCTCAATTATTAATATATAATTATAATAAAGTATGTACAATTACATAGTTGAATTAATTTTATTACAAATTCTAATTGCAAATATTTAAGGATTCATATTTCTTTTAGTAACATGATTAAAGCCAATTCAATTGTTGTATGATTGTATCAGACAATTTAGCTGAAAAACTAATTATTCTTGGTTAAGTTTGAAAATTGTATGAAAACCAAAAGTTTTATTTCTTTATTATTATTATTTTTTTTAAAAAAATATAAAATATATATATATGTATGTATGCATGCATACTATAAACGTTTTTGCAAATTAAGCACTTGTAGAACTTTTAATTTCATGTCACTCTCAGTACATGGGTCTAAGTTGAAAGACATGACATTGTGGGGACCTTGATGCCTATTGCGTTGTATGCTTTCGTGGAAACTGGAAACCCAAAGAAAAGGGTAGATTCATATTCATAGTCTATTTATTTTGTTATTCAATGCATTTAAAAGTCTATAACATACAACAACGTCCCAAAACGAGGATTGAATTTTAAGACTTGCCCCTTTCTTACTTTTACTCTGTCCCACCTAAATTCATGAAACGGTAAACTTTCGGTGACCTACATTTAATTCATTGTAATCCCGAATAAAAAATAATTAATTAATTATAACCACAACACATCAAAATTAAAAAAAAAGAAGTTATGTTTTAACTAAGAGTAATAATTTGCAGTTCAAAGTTCGGACATGCTGATTTTAAGTGAATAAATTGACTAGCAGGCGGAGCAGAGTTTGAGAGTTCAATAAAATTATGTGTGTGATTACCAACTAAAAATAATAATTAATATTATTATAATATTATTAATATTCTTAAATTTATAATAACATCAATCGCTATTCATATACTACAAATTAGCAAAATTTGTCCGCCTATCATTACAGTTTTACTAATTACGTAGTATATTATAAGGTGTGAATTCATAGTTTTTAACAATCATCTTAAAGAAGCCGCACTTTTAACAATTGAAAATCATATATAAGTGGGTCCCACTTGTTAAATAAAGTATGGGTTTGACATGATTAGTTTCAAAATAAATGAAACATAAATTAAGTTATAATGTTTTGATGGGTAGATAAAATACCTCAAAATTTAGTAAAATTTACAATTGAACCTCTCCGTTCACCCGGAAAAGTCAGCAAAACAAGGTATTAAAGAGTTGAGAATATCTAACAAAACCAACCAATTGGCAGTGAGCTTGGTAGAATGTCCATCAACATAATTAACAAACCACTAAACACATGCCACGTATCTACCTAACCCAATACTTCAAACACAATTAATCACACCCAACCATCTCCCTTTAAGAAAAGAAAGTGACAAAAAAAAAAAAATAAATAAATAAATAAAAGATGAATAACTTTCCAATAAAGTACAGTACATCTTGGTTGTTCCTAATTCCATCATTTGATTATAAAAATATACAATTTGTCAGACTCCTGCACTATAAAACCACAAAGAAATTTTAACTCCCTCGAAATGCCTCCTACGAAGTTTCCTGGAAGCTGCCTATGGCTCTCCCTTCACTCCCACCATTTAACCACCCCATCTTCCTCTCTCTTTCCACTCAACCCCCCACTCTTCTCTTCTGCTTTCTCTCTCTCATCTTTCTCTCTCTTGTTTCTCTTCTGTCTTTTCCGTTTCAGTCATGAAACTCACCAAGTACAGTCCCAAAAATCTGTTCCGCTCTAAGAAAAGCCGCTCCGTCGCCAGATCCGACCCGTTGTCGTTCAGCTCCGGGACCTCCTTGTCCGACTCGTCCGACTCGTCGTCGTCCAAACACAAGTCAGATTCCGGCAAAAAAATCGCAGCTGGCTCCGCGACTCCGACCAGCGTTTTGCCGTCGAGTTCTCAGGAGATATCGGAAGATCTTTCAGGCTTCGAGATAGTACAAGCTTTCAAGGTCATCGACAAAGACGGTGATGGTAAGGTGACCAGGAAGGAGCTGGAGGCTCTGCTGAGTCAAGTGGGAGCCGAGCCGCCGAGCGACGAGGAGCTGATGATGATGTTGAGCGAGGTAGATAGGGACGGCGATGGTTCCATCAGCTTGGAGGCGTTCGGAGCGATTAGCTCCGCTTTCTGGCCGCCGGCGTGCGACTCGGAACTACGGGACGCGTTTGATTTCTTTGATACGGATCATGATGGAAAGATCACGGCGGTTGAGCTCCATAGGGTTTTCTCGGCTATAGGAGATGAACGGTGCACGTTAGAGGACTGTCAGCGCATGATAAGAGGGGTGGATAGCAAAGGAGACGGGTTCGTGTGCTTCGAGGACTTCACGCGTATGATGGAGCAGCAGAGATGATCAAGATCCATCATGCTGGTCCGGATATGTAGACCTTTGATTTTATTTTTTTATTTTTAATTTTCATGCAAATCAAACTTGGGTTGTGGTATTTAGGATGACTTTAACGGAAAAAAAAATGGGAGAGGAAGATTTAAAAAAAAAAAATCAATCGACGGCTGTGCTTGATCGATCTATTAAGTAGGGAGATTCTGTTTGTCACTGTCGTTTATATATATATATATATGATGATGAGTAATCGACCATCCTGTCATCCAATTTAAGTACTTCCTATTTTTGCAATTTTGCATGCATATAGATTTCATGTAATGATGAATACTTCTTTTTCGGGTATGAGACAGATATATACTTTCATCGTTGTAATAATAATTTTTTTTTGGTTCAGTGTTATTACAGACTTTACAGTGTTTTTTTAAGGGAAAATTACATATAAATGGAGTCAAAGTTTCATATTTACTTAGAGGCTGAGTCAAAGTTTCATATTTTCCTAAAATGGATTGCTGAGGTGGCACATGGTTTTTTACTGTTTAGAAATTGTGGTGCCTAAAATACCCTTCTGCGAAGGTACTACTTTTTCTTCGAAGGTACTACTTTTTTGAACTGAAGGTACTACTTTTTGGTGTCCAGGTACCATGTTTTTTAAACACCCGCGAAGGTACTACTTTTTCTTCGAAGGTACTACTTTTTTGAACTGAAGGTACTACTTTTTTGAACTGAAGGTACTACTTTTTTGTTAGGGAAGGGCATTTTAGGCATCACAATTTTCTAAACAGTAAAAAACCATGTGCCACCTCAGCAATCCATTTTAGAGAAATATGGAACTTTGACTCAGTCTCTAAGTAAATATGAAACTTTAACTCCATTTATATGTAATTTTCCCTTTTTTTAAAACCTGCCTAACCAGCAAATGCAATTTCTAGGAAGGCCCGATTGCGGTCAACTCAGGAATTTTTCTTTGTAATTATCCAATGCACCTGGGACTTGGTAATTATCGGATGCCACTTGGATTGTAGCTTGCATGTGTGGTAGTGGATTAGAGAGCGTACCGTGGATGAAAAATAAAATAAAATTGTACTTCAATTCAAGGGCATCACGTAGTACTATATAGAAACTGAAATAGCGTTTGCTAAAATTGACTTAAAACACCGAATTAAAGATTAAGTTTGGCATTGGTACCAAAGCTTGCCCTAATGACAAGCTCTCTACTGATTAGACTTAACGAAGGTGTCAAACAACCCAAGTGTAATTATACCCTATCCATATTACCTCTCTGATCCGGAGAGCACGGATATCCAATAAAACCAAACTAACTTTTCCTCTGTTTTCTTTCTTCCCTTTCTCTGTCTCAGCCGCTCCTCCCTTCCGGTTTGCTCCCTTTCATTGGAGTGGGGAGGTGATCTTACTTGTCTTTCACAGATTAATAATCTCGGCGTTTTAATAAGTTCGCTATGTGAGTAGTTTTTTACGTCTTTTTTTGTTGTTTTTTGTTTTTGGGTGACTCGATCTGTTCTTATTTGGTTTGTTTCCGGCTCGACAAGGTGGATCTTTTATTTTTCCTTAGGCTAGATTTATGATTTAGGTCGATTTTTGTTTTCTTTGACTTGATTTGATCTTGTTCGCTGTTAGATGTGTGGAGATGTCTTGTGGATGCAGCTTTGGAGTTGTTGTTTTTTTGATGGCCTGACCTTTGGTCACTCCAGCTGCTGCTCTCTTCTCTCTTGGTAGTTTTCGTTCTAAGGCGGTGGATCTTTCTTAACAAATCTGGAGCCTGTCCTTCATTTTATTGTTTTGCTTCATGATTTGTATGTCTTTATCTAGTTTGGCTTATGTCTCTGTACTGTCACTTTGGCTTGGCCTCTGAGCGTTCAAATGATAAATAAAAAAACAAAATAAAATAAAAAATTTGGGAGAGCAAGAGTTATGATTAGCATAAGTTTAACTTCAGCAATTCTAGCACAAGTGCATCAATATGATTCTAATTTGAGTGCAGAAAAAGTATCCTCTGGTAGGTAGTGTTGGAGTTGCCTTGTTGGGGTTGGATTCTGGATTTGATCCAAACATTTTCCGTCTTAAATGGGACTCATACTTGGGGAATTTGCCGTAAAACATTAATAACACGGAGACAATTTGACCAAACTCATCATTCTCGAAGCTTTGACCTTTCCCATTTGCTTAACAGGGTGTTAGATTAATTAAAATCTAAACTTACTCATTAGAATAGTACTGTATATGATGTTTAATCAAACGGTACTTGTGACACCTTAGGACTTTTTGAACGACTTTTTTTTTTTTGTTAAATGTTTCTTTTTTTTCTTTTTTCTTTTTTTTTTTTTAATAATTTCCCTCATTTATTTGTGTTAATATGATATTTTGGTCTTAATATATCATTATCATACTCTATTAAGCCAGGCAATGTTACTGCTACTTTAAATATTTTACTTAATCTGGAGAATGTATGCAAGAAAGCAAAAACTAAGATAAATTATATATTTATTAAAAAAACCTTGTATATTTCAACAGTATTCAAGTGAAGCGATTGTTCCAATTGGTTCACCATCGCTCAAGATTCTCTAGGACGCGGTGTCAAATATGTCTAAGTTCTACCTTCCGAAAAAATAAAAAAATAGCAGTGTCTAAGTTCTTATTAACGGAAATTACACTTGCACTTTGAGGATTTGGACAAATTACTTTAATCTTCTTTTAGATTTTTTACTTTCACCACACTTGTTTGACTAAATTTTATAATGACAAAATTGTCAATTTTTTTCTTTTTTTAATTTTTGAAAATCAAAATATAAGTATAATATTGTTATACACTGAAATTATCGACTTTTCACGGTTAAAGTCAATTTTGGACAGGAATTCTTTCTCTCCCTGGTATGCTGACAAGGGACTCCATCAATGGGAATTCTTTAGCTACTTAGATTCCATCGTTTGTGTAACTTTGTGTGCGAGGGTGAAATACTAACAGATTATCATATTAATAAATTATGGATATACAATCTTACATTATTAGGGTGCGGTGAATGTGATCAGTGTTATTTCCAAATGATATAAGACTTTTTAGAGGATAAAATTCAAAAATAAAATCCTGAATAAATAATATCATACATGTGGGGAGTGAGTCAAAATTGGAGCCTAATAAAAAGTCGTATTGACTGGTCTCTATTAAAAGATGATTGTAACAACTTTATGGATAGATGCACTTTCCGAAAAAAGAAAAAAAAAAAAAAAAAAAAACCTTATGGATGGATGGAACACCTTGATTGACCATTTTGGCTTTAAGTGGTTGGTGCATCAAGCGTGCCCTTGTTTACAGTGCATCATACAATTTTTTATGATCTCTGTGGGTATAATTTGTCAACCATACAATTATAGGACTTCAATATCTAAAGGTGCAAAGTGAACTTGGATCACAACTTCTACTGACCCAATCATGCATTTGAAACTTTTCTCTATGAAAAAACAATGCATGATTAATCACAATTCCTCTGTTCTTCAAAGTTATCTCCATTTTCCATGAAAAAAAAAAAAAAACCATAGACGGTTTTGATTAATCCAACACAAGCTGAACAAATAATAAGAATTTTTAAAAAAATTATAATAACTCCACTTCAAGTCATCAAATCCCATAATTATTTCACTTTAATTGAGAAATAAGTCTATTTTTTTTTTTTTTTTTTGACTTGACAATATTTAGTGAGATTGAAGAATTAGATGTTAAAGGAGAAGGATTAATGATATCGGTGAGTTTCGTACACGGCCGAAACACGCCAACATAGGCTGACTAGAACCGCGCCTGCACAAATAAGTCTAATTAGTCATTCGAAAATACTATTATTTTTTAACTGGAAGGGTAGAAAATTCGTGAAGTGGTGCAAGCGTGTCCGGATCACTTGTTTGGTGGGGACTCGCAAATGATGTGAACATGTTCTTAGAATAACAATGGCTTTGCAATTGGCGACAGGTGATGATACGCGCGCGCACGCATATATATATATATATATATATATATATATATATATATATATAGGTTAATTTCACAAACATTCCTTTAAATTTTGATCAAATACTACATTTAAATATATTTTAAAAATTATTATTATTTAGATCTAATTTTATTTTTTTGACACAGTTAAAAAGACAATTTTAATTCTAATTTTTTAATTCAAAATATCAACAAATTGAAAAGACAAAATTGCCCTTGTCTATTACTTAAGACACCAACCCACCACCATTGTGAAGCTGTTTGAAGTATAAAAAACTAAGACACTTTTAGTTGAAAATAAGCTCTGTTTCTATTACTTGATAATTATGGTAATCTCATTTTAAAGTATAAAAAGTAATAGAAACTCTGCTTGATTTTTGTTATCAATTATGTGACCGTCGTTAAGATAAATGTTGTACGTAAACATATACTAAGTGATTTAGTACGAAAAAAAACTTTTAAAATAGATTTTTTTTTTTTTATATATTAATAATACGAGATCTTGTAAGAAAATAAGAGACTGTTAATTGAAATATTGCCATCATTAATACGAGACCTTGTAAGAATATAAGGGACTGTTAGACTCGAACCCTCTACTCCATTTACCTATTTTTGGGACAAAGAAGTTCCACATTTTAGGAACTTGAGCTCTCTACTTTATTTATTAAGCAAGTGTAGAACTACAAGAATCAATATTCCATTAATATTGATGGGTAATTATTGTGTAAGAGTTGTTGTTGAACATGAACTAATTGGAGCCAGCCAAAAAAATTGATTAAGCGAAGCATTACTTTTAGGGTTAGTTTGGTGTGGTGGAATGAATTGGAATGGAATGAGAATAGAGGTGGGAATGGAATAAGAATGGAATGAAATGGTCATTCCTTTTGTTTGAAGGTGAAATGATTTTAATGGAATGACCATTATTCAAGAATAGTGGGGAATGATGATTCCAACTTTAAAATTGGTACCAAACACGAGAATGGAAAAAAAAACCATTCCATTCCACTTTCTTTTATTCCATTCCACCATGGCTAGTTTGGTATGGCAAAATGGAATAAAAGATTCTATTCTCGTGTTTGGTGCCAATTTTAAAGTTGTAATCATTATTCTCCACTGTTCTTGGAAAATGATCATTCCATCAAAATCATTTCATATTTAAACAAAAGGAATGAAATGATTCTAATTCCATTCCAATTCATTTCATCACATCAAACTAGTTGTCACAGGGGTAAATTCTGAATACGAACCTAGTGGCCAGTGATGGCACTAAGCCAGAAATATGAAACACTTTTATCTGAATTTCTAACTTAGCTCAACCAACTCACACATGCTGCATGGAACACACAGCAAGTAAAACACTCTCACACACAAGTATAATTGCAAGAATGTAAAGGCAATAACACCCACGAATTTACAGAAGCACAAGGCTTCCAACCTTTTACTATTATTCACAAAACAGTACAGGGAAAGGCTTCAACCTGCAGAAGCATACAAGAGTCTCTCACAACACAACTCTGTGTCTCACTCTCAATCTGCCCTCTCTACAGAACCCACATTAGCAATATATAGGCAAACTCTCAAAACCGCCCACTAAAGTGATGGATGACACCCCCATCCATCCACAACTACCCACTAAAGTAGTAGATGACACCCCCATCCACCTAGGGTCATGTTGGCACCCACTAAGTGTGCTAACACTACATATGTAGTTGACAAGCCCAACTACTAGCTTGTTGGTATGCTCTGCTCATGCCACGTGTCCACAGGAAGTTGCACTCAGCATAGTGGAAGAAACCATCTCCAACCGCCTGTGTGTTGTCCTCTCAAATCTGTGCCACATGGATGGGAAGTTACTCAGCATACCCCCACTCCCCACATGAGTGGGAAGTACTAGTAACTTCCCCGAACCAACTGAGCCCACTTAGTGGGAAGTGTAACTTCCCCCAACCAATTGAGCCCACTTAGTGGGAAGTGTTAGTAACTTCCCCCCAACCAACTAAGCCCACTTAGTGGGAAGTGTAACTTCCCCCAACCACCTGAGCCCACTTAGTGGAAAGTGTAACTTTCCCCAACCACCTGAGCCTACTTAGCCATCTTCTGTAACCATAAGCCATGTCTGAGTCCCCTGAGCCAACCTTTCACGCTGAGACTTGCCTACGCCCATTGCCTTGTGCCCATGTCCCTGACTTAACTATGCCACACGTCCATGACTTGTGTGGTCCATGCTTTAAGCAACATCTGAGCCAACCTTGTGAACTAACCTGTGCCAAGTCCACTAATCTGCACCCACATATAAATGTCTCAAAGTGCACGACATCCAAATCGAGTGCCGTCTGCGCCAACCATCTTCTATGGACTCAAGGTACCTCCCATAAAGATTCCGAGCCAAAACTTCAAGCTTCACTTTTTTTGCCAAATTTACTAAAATGCCACTGGGTACCCCCAGTGCACGCTGACAGCATCCCATGACTGTCAGGGGGCTTGTCAAGGTCCTAATCCCGTAACACTAGTCCTTAACATTACTAATATTGGATTGTGAGGAGGTCTCATACTTTGAGGGTATCGGGGTATATGAATCGAATTGGGAAACCAAAGTCACTCGGTAACTAAACATCTAATTATGAAAAGTCTGTTTAAGTAGGTAAACTAATGGGCTCTCTTTCCTCATTCAATCTTATTTTTCCTAAAATTGCTTTTTAAGTTTAATTTTTGGCCATTTTGATCACTTGAAATATGTCTTATAAGGGTAGTTGCGTCATTTTATACATGAATTAATATTTTTATAAGTCAACACAAAGTCAAAAGGCCATCAATATCATTTTTATATGCAAAAAGTACGCCGTAAAATGGATCAAATATTTGTAATGCGAGTGAAATTAATCTTTAATTATTTGAGGAAAAAAAAAAAAAAAATTCCCTTAGAAAAGCGTTTATTCCAACCAAGGTGTGCTGTCCTTTTTCTTTGTCTTGTTCTTTTCTTTTCTTTTCTTTTCTTTTTTTTTTTTTTTTTTTTTTTGGAGACTTTCCAGCTTTCCATGAAACCTTTTCTCTCCACTATTACGTATAGATGCAGAAAATTCTTTGGCTGGACTTTTCTGCTCGTGACTGGTTGGATTAGGACAAAGGCAGTGCGTTTTGTGGACTTTTGAGGTTCTGTTTGGACACAAGCATTTAATTTTTAAATACAAACAAGGCATAGTGGAAGTCTCAATTATGAATTGCGCCCCCTACATAAAGACAGTTGCAACGGCTGTGGGTCTAAAAAATTTAAATGATTGAGCAGTGTTGCATACTTGCATATATATTGAGATTTAAATTATTGATTAGTGTTGTATATATATTCATTTATTTTCTTTTAATTTTTTATTTAAATTTGATCTTTTGAACTGAGCTTTGACGTGATACCAAATTAAGGATTGGACCTGACAATAATATTAATTGTAACAGGTAAGTACTTACTCATTTACTAAAAAATATTCACTCATTTATATCTTTTTACTTTTCATCCGAATCCGACGTGGGATAAGTATTCCTTGTAACAACAGGGATGATGTGATGGGAGTTGAGTGGGTCCATTCTACTCCAAAATTTGGCAGGCCCGTTAAGTAAAGTACCTACCTGGGTCATTGAGATGAGATGGGATGATGAAGTCCGCTACTAGCAGGGCCGGCCCTGGCCCAAGGGAACCAAGGCGGTGGCCTTGGGCCTCAAATTTTGAGGCCCATAGGGGGTGGGAAAAAAGAAAAAAAAAATTAATTTAGGACAAGTCTGGGTTGGGCCTAAATTTTAGAGGCGTTAAATTTTAAGGCCTATAGGGGATGGAAAAAAAAAAAAGAAAAAAAAAAAAAAATTTAAGTTAGGGCAAGTTTCAGACGACACAATCTGCTTCGACACTCCGCAGGGCGCAGCCTCATCCTCTCTCTCTCTCTCCTCTCTCCTTTTGCATGAATCTATCTTTTATATATGTTTTTTTCTTTCGTTCATCTCATCATTTGATTTGTTCGAACTTTGGTTCGTTTGATTCTCGTTACAATAGTGAAAAGTGGCTTCCAAACTAGGGTTTTTTTGTGTGTGTGTGTCACTGTGTGATGGCTATCAAAAGCTGAATGAATATATTTTGGTTCTCTTAGTATTTTAATAAATGTGTGCCTTTCTACATGTGTCTTTCATGGCGATCGAGTCCATAATCTATGGCAGGTACTTTTTATTTTTTATTTTTCCTCTCCCTAATTCAACTCAATCTCACAACAGCAGCAACCATACCCCTTTTCCTCATAATTTTTTGCATTTTCACATTCAATCCTACGAAAATTAAGGATCCCTTCTAGTGGGTTGAGCCTTTGAGGTAATAATTAACTTTTTCGATCTCTAAATTATGCTCATACTTAAAAGTGCCAAATTAAGGTCTTTTTTTTTATATATTTTCTTTTTATATGAAGATACATGCCACCATTATTGATGATATTTGAAGTTGGCTCAGCTAGAATTTCAGTTAATAATACTGTCAAAGCACTTGCCATCAGAATGTACAAACACATGGAAATCAAGAGCAGGCTTTAACAAAACAGAAGTTAGTGGTTTTTCTATTAATTTGCACAGGTCTTCTGTAGCAATGATCAACCAATCACTGCTACTAAAGTTGATTCCTCATCCTGAAATCAAGAAAGGGTTAATTGGCTCCCAAAAAAAAAAAAATGCAAACATAGTTAATATAAAGAGTGAAAGACAAAACTATATATGATGGTGGATGCACATATAACCTAAAAGTCCCACTACTTCTTCAGTACTACAAGTTCAGCCTCCTATGATATATATAGTCACATAATCCCCACATATTTTTGTCATCTGTAATCATCAAATTTTAGTTGCAATATAAACAATGAATGTAGAAGAAGATGCAGTTTTCTGTTCTCTAGTAAACTGTTCTCTTCATTTTTTATTTTGTGCTGTGAAAAGTTCTCACTCTTTAATTGATTGATTTATTGTTATTAGTTAGCTTTCTTATGCACACTGTACATGCGCACAATTATTTATTAGTGGTAATGATAGATTTATAATTATTAATTAATTGTCTTATGCAAACTGCACAGGCGCACAATTATTTATTGGTGGTGATAGGGTTATAATTATTAGTTAGTTGTCTTACGTACACTGTACAAGCGCACAATTATTTGTTAGTGATGATAAATTTGTAGTTATTAGTTAGTTGTCTTATGCACGATGCACTGGCGCACAATTATATTAGCTTAGAATTTGAAAACATCGTGTGAAAATTTCTCTCTTATAATATTTTTTTTTGCGCGTGTGAAACTTAAGAGCCTCATATTTAAAAGTTCGTCTGGCCTTTCAAAATATTTGGAAATATTTGGAATCTCAGGGCTGCCCTGGCTAGTAGGGCCCAAATTTATGTCCAATCAGAAAACTGAGACGTAAGGCCCGAAATGATTCGACCAAACTCATTTACAAACAACCCAATTCATTTTACAATATCCAACTATAAATGGAGTACTGTAATATTATTACTGTTAACTACATCACACCCGTCCCCTCACATCAATGCCCTAGACTCGCTCGACTCAACTCATCTCTCACTCACTCAGTTTTTCTCAATTGCTGGTTTATAATAAAAGGTGAGTTTTCCAATCTAAAGAATTCTGTTGGAAACGCTAATTGTTGGTTTAATTTTTCATTTAATCACGAATTTTTATGCTTGATTTAATCATGGAAGACACATTTGAATATAAAGTCACTCATTCATTTGGTAAAGATATTGTTTGAATCATTAAGTTGAAGCGTTAAGAATGAATGGGTTTGATAAAGAAAGTAGTAAGTTCGATGTTGATTATTATTTACTTTCTATGTATTTGATAAAATAAATTCAAGAAATGTAGGTTTAGATGAATAAAAAAAAAATGACAAATTGAATCGGAATGTATGCTAGTATTAGAGAGTTGGACAAGATACTTGTGTGATCACATAAAATCTTGATCATGGGTTTAAAGAATCAGATTGTTGAATTTGTATAAAAAGAATTTATCAAAAGAAACGTTTGTTGTTGTCTTTTTAATGGCATGTTTGTTAATTTGAGAAGTAGTAATATGTTTCTTTTCTTCACTTGTCTTCAGCTATGCAAAATTCAATCTCTTTGCCAGTTCAATGTGCCATGGAGGAGGAACAACAGCAAACCTTTGTCCTCATGTTCTTCTTTCCCTTAGAAGAAACACAAATTCTGCTATGACCACCAAACTCGTGAACCTCCTCCTAGTGGCTTCCATTAACAAATCTCTCACCAAAGCTGGAGGAATTCGAAACCTGGATGTTGATTCTATTCCCCTCTCTGACGCTCTCGTCCTCCAAGTCCTTCGGAGGAACTCTCTTGATGCATCCAAAAAGGTTGATTTCTTCAGGTGGTGTTCACTCAACTCCAGCTACAAGCATTCAGCAGGTACGTATGCTGAAATCTTCCGCATTGTTTGCCAAGCCGGCTGCTTCCAACACCTCCATGAGGTCCCCGACCTTCTATCCTCCATGAAGCGAGACGGGGTTGTACTTGATTCGGCAATCTTCAAACTTCTACTCGACGCCTTCATTCGATCCGGCAAGTTCGATTCTGCATTGGAAATCCTGGACCACATGGAGGAAGAAGAATTAGGGATTAATGGCCGTTTGAATCCCTATGTGTATAGCTCTGTCCTCGTTGCCCTTGTTCGGAAAGAACAGTTGGGTTTGGCATTGTCCATTTTCTTCAAGCTCTTAGAATCCTCAAATGACGCCAACGGGAGTGGTGTGGTTCCTGATGCTGTTGCCTGTAACGAACTGTTTGTCGCTCTTAGAAAGGCGGACATGAGGACTGAATTCAAGCGGGTCTTTAACAAACTGAGAGAGAAGAATTGCTGTGCTTTGGATACCTGGGGCTACAATATATGTATCCATGCTTTTGGATGTTGGGGTGATATGATTACTTCACTAAATCTATTCAGAGAGATGAAGAATTTGCGCTTGGATCCAGACTTGTGCACGTACAACAGCCTCATCCATGTGTTTTGCTTGGTAGGGAAGGTGAAGGATGCACTTATTGTTTGGGAGGAATTGAAGGGGTCTGGTCATGAGCCTGATGTATTCACCTACCGTATCCTTATACAGGGCTGTTCTAAATCCTACCGAATCGATGATGCAACAAAGATATTTAGTGAGATGCAATACAATGGCTTTCGTCCGGATACTATCGTTTATAATTCTCTTTTAAATGGGCTGCTCAAAGCAAGGAAACTTACAGATGCATCCCAACTGTTTGAGAAAATGGTTGAGGAAGGGGTAAGAGCCTCATGTTGGACGCACAATATACTGATTGATGGTTTGTTCCGGAATGGAAGGGCCGCGGCAGGTTACTCATTGTTTTGCGACTTGAAGAAAAAAGGACAGTTTGTGGATGGAATCACCTACAGTATTGTTGTATTGCATCTTTCTAGTGAGGGTCAAGTTGAGGAAGCACTGCAGTTGGTTGAAGAGATGGAAGCTAGAGGCTTTGTTGTTGATCTGATTACGATATCATCTCTCTTGATTGGGCTTTATAAACATGGTCGGTGGGATTGGACAGACAGGCTTATGAAGCACATTAGGGATGGCAATCTAATGCCTACTGTTCTAAAGTGGAAAGCCAATATGGAGGCTTCAATGAAAAGTCCACAGAGCAAAAGAAAGGATTTTGCACCTATGTTCCCATCCAAAGACTTGAGTGAGATTGTGAATTTGGTGAGTTCGGCTGATTCGGGGGTTGACACTGTCCTTGGTTCTGAGGGTGGTGGGCTGCAAGACATTTCATCTGATGCAGTTGATCAGTGGTCATCATCCCCATATATGGATCAATTGGCTTATCAAGTGAATTCCAAGAACCAGTTGTTTCCATTGTTCTCTCTGTTAAAGGGGAAACGAGTTCAGGCAAAAGGCATTGACTCTTTTGACATTGATATGGTCAATACTTATTTATCTATATTTTTGGCCCAGGGAAAGCTAAGCTTAGCCTGCAAGTTGTTTGAGATTTTCACCGACATGGGTGTCGACCCTGTGAGTTACACTTACAATTCCATGATGAGTTCATTTGTCAAGAAGGGCTATTTCAACGAGGCATGGGGCATTCTTCATGAAATGGGTGTGAAGGTTTACCCAACAGACATAGCAACATATAATGTAATAATTCAGGGCTTGGGGAAGATACAAAGAGCAGATCTTGCCAGTGCTGTTGTGGATAAACTAATGAAACATGGTGGTTATCTTGATATTGTGATGTATAATACCCTGATCAATGCACTGGGGAAGGGTGGCCGGATTGATGAGGCAAACAAATTATTTGAGCAGATGAAGAATAGTGGAATAAATCCTGATGTTGTCACTTATAATACACTTATTGGAGTCCATAGCAAGGCAGGTCGACCGAGGGATGCTTACAAGTTCTTGAAGATGATGTTGGATGCAGGCTGTTCCCCAAACGATGTCACTGACACGACATTGGACTTTCTGGAAAAAGAGATTGAGAAAGCGAGGTACCAAAAGGCATCAATCAAGGACACCAATAAGGATGATTCTTGGTGAACAACTTTTCTGGTAATGATGCAGATAAATTTACTTCGATTTAAGTGTGATCTCACTCAAAATCTTGATCATTTCTTGTTAGGGTTGCAGATGAACTCAAGCCAATCCAAGATGAGTTTTTGGAGGTGTTCATGATCTGCTTGGTCATATACATAGTATGTTTGCGTTTGGTTTGCACTTGTCCCTAGCCCTAGTTGGGAAAAGGCTTTATTGAGTTTAGTTGAGTTGAGTAGCTCGTGCCCAGCCTCGTCCCCGTCAATCTTGTTCAGGGTTGGCTTGTCAAAGTTCAATATACCTTGAGCTTGCCTTGGCTCAATTTTGAAATATACTTTCTTCTTTCCCATAGAAACAAAAAATATATTGGCACTGTTACTGGCAGCTGTTGAAGAAAAAACTAGAAGAAGAATAATCTTCTCACCAAATGGGGATTGGAAGACTATATTAGGAAAACTCCTACACACCTTTAGAATTTTATTTAAATATTTAAAAACTAGGGCATTGAAGAAAGAGGAGGAGAAGTGTTAAAACCAAAAGGAATTTGAGAAACTCTGTGGACTACCATTGATCTTCAAGCAATGCAAGAGATTGGATATAAAGGATATAATAGAACAAAATCTGAGATGAAATAGGAAAGGTAAAGAGAGTCAAGTTAATTTAAAAGAGAAGAATCCAGAAATGTTGCAGCTAAGCCACTGAGTGTGTAATGCCAGTTCCCAATTTAATGGGTGGCTGCTACCCCTCCCTCTCTTAAGAAGATCTTGGCTGGGGTTCCCTTCAGCGCCTTACTCTAGGTGAGGGTTTCTTTGTGATTAATAACTTTCTTCTTCATCATTCTGGCCACAATTGTGTACTAAAATGAGCTGATTTTCTTATTTATAAATGGGTTCTTTTATTTGTTCATTCTGATTGTAGCACTGATATTAAGTTAAATGAAAGCAATATGTGTTTGTTCATTCTATGAATAGAGAACATTGGATGTTGTTTCATATGTTTTTGAAAATGGGATTATTCTTCTTTGTTTCTTGATGGGGTGCTTAGTAGATTGGTCGGTCTATTGAGAATATGCTGATTTTTGTGTTTGTTTCCAAGATGTATCACATTGTAATGGAGTTGAAATACAAAGATTACCAAATTAGTGATTTCTTATTGAAAACGTCAAATCAGATTTTATTTCCTTTATCCCTGGAAATAGGACTTTTTTTGCTTGTATTGGCTTTTATTTTGATGGCAATTCTCTCTTGGAGGACTGATATTTTTTCATTCTATTTTTTTTTTGGGAGGGGAGGGGGAGTGGGGGTTGTATTATCATTTGTTGTGTTACTTGTGAAGGAGGAGAAAGGAGGAGGGGGAGAAGAGAAGGAACAGAAAGGAGGGAAGAAGAATAGGGAAGAAAAATTCTATCATGATGAGGGAGGGTGCTCTCTCTGCCATTGGATTGAGAGGTTGAGCTTAAACTGTGTGTGTTGAATTGAGAGGCTGAAAGGGGATATGCTGGTTGAGAGTGACCTCCTCATACACCTGCTAAAGAAAGAAATTTCTGATTGTCTTTGCTCTTGTAGGTTTTACATCTTTAGGTCAACTGAAATGTCAGCTTTAATTATTTCGTTGACAGGGCACTTGTTATTCCTCACTACAGTCATGGAAGAAGATCTGACCAATTTTGAGAAGAAAAATACCAAATGTATAAATGATATTCCTCACTACAGCCATGGAAGAAGTCATGGAAGAAGATATGACCAATTTTGAGAAGAAAAATACCAAATGTATAAATGATGTGGACATATGTGTGTGTTTACATGCGGGTAGATGTTTTTGGCTCAAAAACTGGATTCTAATTAGGTATTAATTTGTTTGAACAAATAAAACATATTGGCAATTCAAATTTGACTTACAAGCGCCAACATTGGCAATAGGCTCGAAATCGTTTAGGTATTGATTCAGTTTACTTTTCTCAAAAGGCGAGTAAAGTGAGTGAGTTTTTGAATCATCTGTACATTTAAAAAATCAAATTAGTAAATTTCCTGTCATTTATTATTCAAAAAAATGATTTGTATATGAACAAAGAGGAACAAAGATTTTACTTGAAATGTAACTTTGGAAATAATTTTCTATATATTCTTTGATTAATAAAATTGACTTAAAATCGGTTGAGACCATGAGCGGTTTTTACTGAATGTCAAGTCGAAAGCTCTCTCAATCCAACCACTACTGTTTCGACAACTCCTACATTCACCATTAACGTTCGTTCAATTCTTGATGGGTCTTTTCGTTTTCATTTCTTATCTCTCTTATGTCTCTGTTAGTCTCCGTTCTTCAACCCAGAAGCCTCCTTTCCTACTTCACACCCATCAAATGAAAACCCTCTATCACCATTTTACTCTATCAATCTCTTCTTCTTCTTCAATGCTACATTCATGCAAAGACCTCCGAACTCTCAAACACTCGTAGTTTCAGCTCTGTGTGAATCCACTCCAATTGTTTCAAAGTTGTTATCTTTATATGCACAGTTTGACGACCTGGACAGCGCTGTTTCATTATTCAATGCTGCAGCTCGAGGAACTGACACAATAGTCTGGAATTTGATCATTAAGGCCTATGTTGATTCTGGTCTTGTTGATTCGGCATTTGGTCTTTACAAGCGGATGCGAGAGTTGTGTGTCGTGCATGATAGTTTTACGTTTCCGATAATAAACCAATCTGTTTTGTTGCTTCAAAATGGTATGCAATGCAGAGAATCGATTCATTGTTTGGCGATTCGTATGGGTTTTGATTCAGATATATATTTTTGCAACACGATGATTGAGGTCTACGTAAAATATGGCTGCTTTGGTTATGCTCGTCAGCTGTTTGATGAAATGTGTCACAGAGATTTGGTTTCTTGGACATCCACTACAAGAAAAATGGTTATTAACAACTTAATATATACATGGTACATACTTATATATTGTTAAATACTTACCTTTTACAACAAATTACTTTTTATCTTAATCTACAACATTTTCAAAACCTTGTTAATACAATTTAAATTTTTTCTTAAATTTTAGCGCGACATTTCCCCCCTTCTCTCTTTCTGTCCCTCTCTCTTTTTTTTTTTTTTTTGGTTTTTCACTCCCCACTTTGCGCTCACGACTCTTTCTCCCTGTCAAATGAAATAAAGGGGGTGAATTGAAAAACCTTTTCCCAAAGGCGCTTTCAACAAGCGGGGAAAGGTAGCCAGCTGGGTCTGAATGGGCAACCAATTCAACAATGAAACCCATATTTCTACCTTTTTTTGAAGACAAAACTGCTATCCCCTACCTTCCTTTGCGAAGGAGACGTTGGGAAATTGATAGCTCTGTAAGGGCAATACAGATTTCTCTGTCCCCAGATCTACAATCTGCCATGGCAAGGTCGTCACAATCAAATCGACTAAAATATGGGGGCTCTGCTGAATGAAAATCAAATACTCAGGCTCAACATTTCCTCTTTCCCTCTTTGATGAAACCCTAACCTTTCTCTTCCCAATTTCTACGACATTCCTCATTAAATCAAGTTTCATACCACATTTGACACTTCCTTGTATAACTTGAATGTTCTAATGTGAGCCCACGAGATGTCAATCTATGTGACCAAAACCTTTATTTAAGCTACTTTTCTTGCTGCAATAGTAATCCCTCCCTGAGGAGTGAAGGGTTCAGTTTGTTGTGAAGTCATGTTGCCCTGTACATGCATATCTCGTAAGAAGGTTGTTGCAGGACTAAATTCTGCTGGTTGCTAGGTATGCTTGGTCATAAATTTTCTTTTTGCACTTGAAATTGTGTCGATTATTTTCCTGGTTCTGTTGTAGTACTTCTTTATCTGGTGGCTGCTTTATGTTGATAAGGTGCCCTTTATTCTTTTTTCATTTTCGAACCGACAGGCACCTTAATCAGGCCATCAATATGGTGATTCATGCTTCATCATCAAAGCCTGCACAGGTTCGTGTTAAAATTGTGTAATGTTCAATATTTGAATCAGCATGAAATTGTGAACAACGAGAGTCCAGGAGATATTGCAGGAAATGTCTTGCTGGGTACCCTTTGAGGGTGTAGAAGCTGGTAGTCGATATCAGCATCAGTGTCATTCACTTTGTAAGTTCCTCGGGCTAAAAATTACTAGTTATTACCTTCCTTGATCTTTTCAGATATAACAAACTCTTGTATTTTTTTCTTGTTGATTCAAACTTAAGAGTAGCTTGAGTAGCCCTAAGTATGGAGTAGTTTTCGTTTTCCATTTTAGTGTATTTGTTAAGTTGAGGTAATTCTTGATTATGACTTGATATATCAACTCATTATTAGGAATTCACAAACACTACATAGATCATCATAATACAGTCATATATTACTTGAAAATTCTAGTTTTATTGTACTGCATTTGGGAAGGTTACTATCCATGCTGCTAATCAAGTCGGACTTCTTGTTTGTCTTGCTTAAATCATAGCTTTTTTCCCTTTCATTGTACGTGGTATGCCGTGCTTAAATCAAGCTGTTACTCCAATATCCGACAGACTTAATTGGAAATTGATCAATGATTGCAATCAAAACTATTGCTGCTCATATATTTATCATATTCCAGTTGAAATATGATTTTATGCTTGAGGTTGTAGGATCTTTTCCATCCATCTAATGGGAAAACTTTAGCCGGGGTACTGTTATTGGATCGAAACAATTTCAATTGTTGATTTTATCTTGATCCTTTGTTAAATAATAAATATAAAACCTGATTAAATTATGCGTCAATTTTGATTAAGATTAGTTGAATCACTGGCGATGGTCTCTCTTTTATAAATTCTCTTGTTGGAGATAATCTGGATTTGTGATCATGGTCATTCTACTCCTTTGGTAAGTGCATCCTACTCCTTTCTGAGGTCTATCTTCTCACAGATGTCATTCTGCAGATCCATTCATGTTTTCTTTCTTGTTTTAGTATAATGTATTGCATACCATTCTTTTTGTTCATTGCTTTTCTCTACTGTTACTTGCTTCCAGACCATGTTGGTTCATGCTTATTATTTTATTTTAACAGTTTTCAATGATTTTTCATTAGGTGCATTGCACTTGAATTTTACTGGTATAATGCAAAAGACTTGTATTTCCTAATTTCTCATGTCTAATTTATCCTAATAATAGAGAACCAATCATAATTACAAATAAGTGTATATACACTAAAATTAAAATTATGCAAAAAATACAAATTACATATACATGAGAAGGTTGAGGGTACAAGTCCCCTAAGGAGCAAAGTGGGTATGTGAGTTAATTTCTTACCAAGATAAATAATAATAATAATAATAAAATGAATAACACAAATATATAGTTATTTGGTTGTTCTTTCATTTGCAAGAGAACTTGGCCTATTCAAGTTATTTTCCTTCATAAATCGAACCTAGAACATCTGAATTTAGCTGAGCAAGTTGAATCAGGTACTTCACTTTTTCCCTTTTTTTCTCCTTTTCTTTAATTTTTTTTGGGTAATTTTTTCCTTCATTTTCTCTTGCTTTCTGGATCTTCTACTTTGTTTTTTCATGTCTTTTGGGGATTTTAGTGGAAGGGTTCTCCATATTTAGGCTTAACTTATAATGGTTTTCTTTATTTTTTACTATTTTGTTAGTTTTAGTGGTTCAGAAGCTTATTATGTGGTAGATTCAAGTTTTGAATTAATTTGATTTTAGAATTTCTGTAAAATGTTTACCCAAGAAGAGTATTTTTCCTGTAGAGTCAAATCTGAATAATTAAGTTCATAGAAGCTGGAATATTAATAAAAGTAAATAAAATAATAAATTTTTTTTTTTTTTAAAAACACCACCTTTAATTGTAGGCACCAAGAAATATAGATAATAGAGCTCTGAGATTCCTCATTTAATCAAGTTGCACATGTTCCTCATTTGCTATGTGTTTGGAGCCTTGTACTTTTTAAAATGTCACTTCAATTCATGCTGTTCCTCATTTAATCAAGTTGCACATGTTCCTCATTTGCTATGTGTTTGGAGCCTTGTACTTTTTAAAATGTCACTTCAATTCATGCTGATTGCCTTTGAGGTATTTCATTATTATTACTAATACATCTCTTTTGCTTGATATGTGCAAAGCAGTTCTGAAATAAGGAGCCAGTGGAAGAAGATCTTTCGGGAGGCTGTTTTATGCTAAAAAGATGTGTTCGTGATGGGTTTAGTGTTTGTGTTTTCTGTTATTTGGTTTTCTTACAAGTAAGTCCTTTGTGGAACTTATGAATTTTGTGCTTTGTGTGCAATAGGTCGCGTACTATCTTTGCTTGGCTTTTCTGTTTTGTATACCCAGTCTCTGTTGAATTATTGGAGTTAATATGTAGTGTCATGTTGCAATTTATAGGCTGCAGTTTCAGTTCTTCAATTACTACATTCCAATTTATGATTTTTGCATGTTGATAGAATAGTAGAACAGAATCACCAACACTACCACTACCAGGTGTTAGAACTTAGTGCCTTGGTGTTGTCAAATTTTGTGTGAAAAGCTTTGTGTTTCGATTTTCATTCTTATTTTTGAGTTTTGGTGTGCCTTGTCGAGTGAAGTGTGAAACAAGAAGTTCTGATCTTTGAAGCCCCGCACAAAAGTAAGATGGTCTTGAACAGCATTTTGAACTCACATTTAGATCACACAGTTGGAATTTCATCAAAAGGGCACCAATTTGACCGATATATTTGTCTGTCCGATTGATTATGCTACACCGTTAGGGGTGGTTTGAAGTAGTTACCAAATTATTTATGGGCTTTCTCTCTCCACACAGATGCACACTGATATTTTGATAATCGAATTTAACTGATTCGATTTATTGTGTCTGCCAGTTAGGCTCTTTTTATATAAAATTCCAAATTAGTGTGCGAAGAAGTGACAACTAATAAGATTAGCCTGGAATTAGAAACCCAAGGAAGTGGAGAACCAAGGATGATTCAATTAAAAGCATATATCATAGTTTCTCTTCTTATCATCACTTTTAATCTGTCCATTTTGAACTGCTGTGGACTTTATATCTACTGTAGACTTTATATGCATCCATTGGGTAGTCATTGTCTGTGAGGGAATGATGAATGGTTTTTAGCTTTGTTCTTGTTCCCAGATGCTTTTTAAAAGCATCTTTTAGCTATCAATTTTTTTTTTAAGCCCTTACTCGGTTGGATAATCTTGAATAGGAGTTTGAGTCTTCATCCATGGGGTAAGGAATGCAATCTTAGTTAGTGCCAGAACCTGCAATCTCTCTGGTTTTTTTTTTTTTTTTGATAAGTTTCAATCCACTTTAAAATAATAAATAGAATAGAAAAAATTTCACTACTGCAATAATCAGTGCATCCCTTCAAAAATTGTTACATATTCTCAAATTTTAGAATTGTTATATAACCTATCAACATGCCATTGAGCTTCAAGCTGTCAATCCTGAAAATGATTAAAAAATTACTAAACAAAAAATTATAAGACATGTATAAGTTTTGTATATGTAGGAATACACTTACACATATGTATATTATGATATTTATTTTGAGAAATTTGTGATTCTTTCTTCCAAGTATCAATTCCAATTAAGAGATTTAGGGCTATTGTCAACAAGTGGGAATTAGGGTAATTGTTGTATTCAGCAAGTTCTCCAAGAAAGTTAAAGGCGAAGCTAATAGGTATTGTAATTTTTATAATTAATCTCCAATACAATTTTCACTATATCTACTTGAAAGATTTACATTTTAAATATTTAACTATTTTTTCAGCTTTATTGATTTAATTTTGTTACTTGTGAAGTTTGAGTTTGGTTGGGTGCTATGCATTACTTTTTTTGACCATCTTTTTCTAAGTGACATAAGTTCTATTCCTATTTATTTATTTATTATTATTTGCCTTAATATTGGTAAGATTATAATTTTTTAGTCGGAATTCTATGTTGCGTGCGTATGTCTGAAAATTACTGTAGCTACGTATTTTTTTTAAAATTTTTTTTGGTTAATCAATGTGACTATTCTATGTCAATACATCAGGGAGAATAGTTTCAACTAGATACACGCACAAGCACTTTTGAATCATTTTTGCGATGAAGGGCTGAACATACATGTACATGCTCTATTAAGTTAGATTTGATAGAAATTCTAAAAAATAAATGAACAAAAGTATGCATATACTATTTTAAATTAGAAAGAATCTAGTGGACATTAGGATTGATAGAAATGTATATATAGAGATGTGTATATTGGTGTAGATTTAAGGGGCATATTCAAATATTTTAACTTCAAACAGACCTCTTCTTAGTTTTGGCTTCATTCACAAAATTAACTACGTCCTATTCAAGCCCAAACACTTCTCTTTGGTTAGATGGATGATGAAATTGCACTAGAGAAACTTGATACTTTTTCAGTATGGCTGAGTTATATCTCTAAAGTACTTGTTCCATCCGCATGAATCAATTCCCCAAATTGATTCCGTGTTGTCTCAAGACCTTGTAATTTTAATGCTATCCTCTACATTTATGTTATCAACGATAAGCTGCTTCTTTTTTTCTTTTCTTTTCTTTTTTTATTTTTTATTTTTTTTAAATATATATATATATATATATATATATATATTTTCATATGGGATTGTTTGTTATACAATGAAAGAGAGAGATTGGCGATGGGTCTCTGTTGTCTACTTTTGAAGATTTTGTTTTTATAAATTTATATTTATATTTGTGTTGTCTTTGTGTAACATCATACTTTTATATTATTTTCTCATAATTTGTCTCTGATTCATATAACTCACTGTTTTTCATTGTTGGGCAATTCTTTTTTGGTCAAATGTAAAAAAAAAAAAATTCAACTTTTGCTTTGTGGGTTTGTGATTCAGAGACTCTGTTTCTGTTTAATAATTATACCACCATCAATAAACAGTCACCTTATGGCTTTGTAATCTTCTAAAATCATCTATGTTGGTTTACTGCATGAACCAATTTGGTAGCTGCTGAAGCCAAAGGCTTAATGTTGACATATATTTGGTAAATTATTGATGTAAATGCTTTGGAAGGACTTTCTTAGTGTGATATTGAATTTTTATTTTATTAGAATGTTATGAATTTGTTTAAATATCTTTGTTTATTATATCAACTTGTTTTAATTACTTTCTAATTCTCTTTACATGAACATGATTACCTATCTTGCAGTTCTTAAAGGATCGTAATTACATAGCAAGATCGATCAACGTACTATCCAGAAAAACTCGACATGATTTTAGGTTACTATTTGTAATTAGTTTTTTTTTTTTCTCCCGGTTACTATCAGTAATTACTTGTTATGTTGTTGAAGACTTTGGTTCTCATTGTAATTAATCTTGAACTAGATTTTGCAATTGTTAACTTTCGTATTAATGTGAATTGCAAGTTTAAGAAAAAAAAAAATTTGGCTTATTGAGTATTTGTTGTTTATATGCTTGTGGATGGTTATTTGGTTTGTTATTTTATTGTTATTAGTGTGTTAGTGAATTCTTACATGAAAACAATGGACTAGAGCATATGTATATATTTTTTTAAATACACTTTCAACAAGGTGCAAGTTGACCTTGTAAATATTCAAAAAAATTAATACAAGACAAAATAAGGTGTTGTGACCGTAGATAATCACAATGATCATATTATTCTTGTAATTGTCTCTTACCTACTCATAACATAATTGAACCTTTGTTAAAAATATTATTTACAGCTTACAAAACACCTTGTTAATGCTAAATATATTTACAAGGCACCACGAAACTTTGTAAATATTATATCCACAATGGGGTACACTTCTTCTTTTACAAGGTACCTTGCATGCTGTAAAAACGGAAGACTTTTACAACATGGGATTTAACAGCATACAGCTACACGTTGTAAATTACTTTTTACAAGTCAAATAGCTTCTTGTTAAAAGTCTTTTTCCTTGTAGTGATCGATGATTTCCTGTCGTGCTTCTCAAGGAGATGTTCCCGGTGCTTTTATGCTGTTCCATGAAATGCGGATGGAGTTTGAACCCAATATAGTGACAGTAATGGTCATGGTCCAGGCATGTTCTATATCTACTACTACTAATGGAAGACTAACTGATGGGAGACAACTTCACGGTTATGCGATGAAAAAAGGATTCCTGATTGATAGGTCGGTGAAAAATTCAATTCTGAAAATGTATATTCATATGGATAATGTAAATGATGCTGAACTTTGTTTTAGAGAAATTGACAACAAGGATACTCATTGCTTCCATAAAATGCAGATTCAAGTAATACCCAGCTTTGAGACATTAACCTTACTTATTTCAGCATTTACAGAGGGTGGAGATCTTTTTCAAGGTAAACAGATACATTGCCTCTCTGTAAAAAGTGGACTACTTGACAATATTTTGAAAACTTGTTTGTTGGATTTTTATGCGAAGTCTGGGGAGTTGGAGGCCTCAGCAAAATTGTTCAGAGAAATCCCTCAAAAAAATAGTATTACCTGGAATGCTATGATGTCAGGTTTCAATCAAAATGGGAGTTTCAAAGAGGCCATTGAATTATTCCAGCAAATGTTAGCTGTGGGTGTTGAACCTGTAGCTGAAATTTTAAGAAGCCTCCTGGTTGCATATACCAATATGGGTGCTCTACAACTCGGCAAAGAGATTCATGGCTACCTTATAAAAAACAATTTCTTTAAGGAAGACGGTGTGCTCTTGGAAACCTCCATCTTAAACATGTACATAAGATGTGGAAATATTTCTTCCGCGAGGATTTGTTTCAATAGAATGCCTGACCGTGATATTGTGACATGGTCGTCAATGATTGAAGGATGTGGGACACATGGGATGGGTTTTGAAGCTCTAGAACTTTTTCATCGGATGGTAGACGGAGGAATAGAGCCAAATAGTGTCACCTTCTTAAGCTTGTTATTCGCTTGTAGCCACTCTGGTTTGTTGAGTGAAGGTTGTGAAGTGTTCAATTCCATGAGATGGAGATTTGGTGTTGAACCTGATTTGAATCACTACACTTGCCTGGTGGATCTATTGGGTCGATCTGGAAAGCTGAAAGAGGCCTTAGCTATAATTGTGAAAATGGTGGCTTTTCCGGATAGTAGGATTTGGGGTGCGCTTCTTGCAGGCTCCAGAGTATACGGGGACCAAAATGTTAGGGAATATGCAGGTGAGAGGGTGTTGGAGTTGAAACCTAATAATGCTGGATATTATACTGTGTTAAGTAATGCGCAAGCTAGTGTTGAAAGGTGGAGTGAAGTTGAAGAAGTAAGGAATGTCATGAAAGACAAGGATTTGATGAAAAGGCCTGGCTGGAGTTGCATAGAATTAAAAGGATTGCTTCATGGCTTTGTTTCAGGGGATAGATCACACCCTCGAGTTGTTGAAATCTCTGAGATTTTGGAATGTTTAAGCAGGAAAATGCAAGATTTATGAGATTTGATCAATTAGTGCTTCAAGATTTAGGATATGTATTGCCACTTGCCAGTGGGAAAAGTGCCTTTCACAAAATGGGATAAAACAGTTCTTATTTACTAGGGTAAAGTTCAAAAAGAAGATAAATAGATTTGTAACTACTACGTACTATTTTCTAAAATGATTAATTTATTATTAAAATTTTATTATTTATAATAAAATTTATTGTAATCCGTTTAACCTTTTTTATCATAGAAAAAAATACTATAATTTTCATATAACATATTGATGAAAAATTAATAAATTACTAAAGTAAAAATTACTTTCTTTTTCATGTAATATATTAATAAAAAATTTTAAAAATTAATTAGATTTTTTAAATAAAATTTTACTAAAGTTTTTTTATTTAAATAAATAATTAAAAAATTTAAAGATAAATTTATGTAAATTTAATGGAGAATATGTCATCAAATTAATATAATTTTTTTTCATAATTTAATATAATAAGAAAAATAGATTAAGTGTAATTCAATAAGAAAGGGTATTTTGGTCATTTAATGAAATATAGTATAGGCATTGGAGTTTTTTTTTTTGCAATAAAATGTAATAGTTTGGGAGTATTAAGTACAAAATATACTTAACGAGGGTTATTTATAAATTCAAACATAATTCATGTTGTTGTTGTTGTTGTTGTTGTTGTTATGTTTTTTTTTTTTTTTAAGTTTGAAAAAGAATAATAAGTTTAATTCGTAAAAAAATTATTTTTATATTTTTAAAAAAGGTTTAAAAGTTCCAATCAATATCATATAAGGACATTTTTGTTCAAGTAAAGAAGTTGTTAGTTTGTTACTTATACTCAGTGTCACAAAAATGATGCAATTTGGGAACAATTATAGTGATAAAAAAGAGAATGATGCAATTTGGAACAAGTATAGTGATGAAAAAGAGTAATGATGTTTTTTTAAAAATTTCCAAAAAAAGTAAATTTTCATATTTTAAAAAATAGAAGATTTTTGACTAATTCATAGCAAAAATGGAAAAAAATATATAAATTCCATTTTAGTACAAAATGGGTTTGACATGCACATTACACATGGTTAAGTTAGAACATTTTTTTCCTATACCACTGACCTGCAATGCAGAATTAATTAAAAAGAAATTCTCAGTTGTTTTCGAATTGGATTTATTTTTATTTATTTATTGTATTTTAATCAATTCCCGGATGGATCTCGTCTCGGGTTAAATGTGCAACACCGACATTATAAATTGAGAACGGTGACGACTCCAAGAAAGAAACGCCCAAGTGTTCTTCTTCACTTCCTTTCTTTCATGCGTTTTTTTCTCTCATCAACGAGATCTCTCTCATTACAATATCTTCTGATCTCTCGAGAGGGACAGCAAAACGCGAAGAGAAGCAGCCCTTACCCACCTCTCTTTTATCTCTCTAGAATAATATATATTTTCTCTCTCTAGAAATAGGAGGAGGTAGGGGGCGAGGGAAATGGGTGGTTTCCTGTGGTCATCATCAGCCTTCGATTCGAAGTCTGGACAACTCATTTTAGTGTCTCTATTGGTAATGACGGCGTCTTTCTACACGGGCACGTTCTTCGGCCGCAATTCCTCCATTTATGCACCACAACTTCCCTCCAATTCTTCATCACTCTCATCTTCATCCCCTGGTATCTTCTTTCTCTCTTTAGAAAATGGCCCCATTAATTATATGTGTATCAACTCACACTGCCAAGAAACTTTTAGTTTACATGTCATACGGTAATTCTTGATGTCTCTCTGTGTGTATATATATGCGTGTCTATATTTAAATGTATATCTTTATATTTTGATGGTCTACTTCATAAAACATAGTGGTTGGATATCTTGAGCAAGAAATTAACTTAAATGGACTCTTAGGTTTGCAATATTTTTTTTTTTACTGTAAAATTTCAAGAAAGCAGTCTGGCTAATCTAATTTTGTCACCAGTTAGGGGAGTGATGTTCATTAATTGTTTGTTTAGTGAATCATGGACAAAAATGCATTTTTAGGGACTTCTTGATTTCATGGTCAAAGAATCCAAACTCGACCCACATTTAAAGCCAAAGTTGTCATTTGAATGAGTTATTCATGAATGTCAAAACTATATTTTTTTTTTCCCTGGAAGGTATGCCACACAGACATTTTTTTTTAATCCATTCTGATATTTTTCCCTGGACAAACAAGGAATTTTGCATCATTAGAAAGTAATATGTATCCAATAACATGTAAGAATTAATTGAGCCGAGTGATTCCTCAATATAGTTTTCTGAATCTAGATGGAAACAGTGTTTAGAAGGATCTTCTTGTGGAGTATTTATGCCAATGACAGAAACTCTAAGATCCCAGCTTGATTACTCCTAAAAGAATCTCCATGCTCCACAAGAAGCGCTTCCAGCCTTCTGAAATATCTCTTCATGGGCACTGTTGATTAGGGGTATATGTGCTCTTTTTCTCATCTCATTATTTTAGTTCAGTTTTTGTGTAGTGCATCTCTGGCAACTGCAAGTTTAGGGTGATTTAAATGTCCGAGGCTATGTTTTTGACTCTTTTGAGGGATCCCTTCGTTTTTGTCTTTAGACTAGCCACAGCATGTCATTGTTCATAGTTAAGACTTATAAGATTGTGCTTTTAGGTATTATTGGAGGTTTGGATGCATTGACTTTTCCGATTTAAATAGTTTTTTCCTACTTGCAGGTATTCCAAAATTTACAAACAAAGTTGCCATCTCTTATAGGAAATTACCTCTTACAATCCCAGAAGTTGGGATGAATATATGCCCTTTGACATTCAATGAGTATATTCCCTGCCATGATGTTTCTTACATGAAAGAGTTGATGCCAAAGTTAGATATTTCCAAGAGAGAAGAACTGGATAGACATTGCCCTCCACTTGAGAGGCGCTTATTTTGCTTAGTGCCTCCACCAGATGACTATAAGATTCCAATACGATGGCCAACTAGTAGGGACTATGTGTGGCGAAGCAATGTGAATCATACACGTCTTGCTGAGGTAAAAGGAGGACAAAATTGGGTGCATGAGAAGAATCAGTTGTGGTGGTTTCCAGGTGGTGGTACTCATTTCAAGCATGGGGCTCCTGAGTACATTCAGAGGTACCTTTGGTCAAAATGTTTCTAATTTTAATTTTTTCCCCCTACTTACCACATAATGGTTCCATCACATTTGATAGGAAAAGCATTTGATGACGATTTTACTATCTAAGGAAGGAATAATATTTTGTTAATTTTAATAAAATATTGGCATGATATATTTGATCTTCTTTGAAGACAAACTTCTCTTGTATTAATTTCTATAATTAATTACCTTAGTGAAGATATTGGGGCTATCAGGATGATAGAAGCAAAAAAAATGTTTGCTTACATGAAAAGGAAGAAGATACAAATACATGTGACTAATGGGCTACTATGCCCTTCTTGAATGATGTTGTGGACAATATTTAGATAACTATTTGATCTATAGAGTTTGTGTTGAAAAAGAGATATTCGGTTTTAATAAGACCAGATTTTAGGGGATATTTTAGTGTACAACCTGTAGCTTCTATTAGTGTACAGCTTGTAGCTTCTGTTAGTATACAGCTTGTAATTACAACCTATAGTTTGCTGTTACAGCCTGTAGTCAGCTTGTAGTTTCCTTTTTTTAGCCCCTTGTATTTCCTATTTAACTAAAGCATTGTAAACCATTCAAAGTAAGGCAAAATACAGATTCCTTTCAATCTTGAAATCGCCTATTTGGTATCTTACCGATTCTTCTGAAAAAAAAAACCCCTAGCCGTCTCTTTTTTTTTTCTCTCTTCCAAACAACCCTAATCACCATGTCTGATGACATACCTGAGTCCAAGACCAAGACCTTTGAGTCCCAAGTTCAAAACTCTCAGACACACTCGGTCCAGATTACCACAATTCGGCTAAATGGTGAAAACTTCCTTTGCTGGTTCCAGTCCGTGTGGATGTATATCCGAGGCAGAGGCAAAATCGGCTACCTAACAGGAGAAAAGAAGGAACCAAAACCTGAAGATCCATCCTACTCGACCTGGGATGCAGAGAATTCGATGGTGATGACCTGGTTGGTGAATTCAATGGAGGAGGACATCAGTTCTAATTATATGTGTTACCTCCCAACAAAAGAACTCTGGGACAATGTCAACTAGATGTATTCAGACCTGGGAAATCAGTCTCAAGTCTATGAGCTAACGTTGAAACTCGGAGAGATTTGTCAAGGAGATAATAGTGTTACAAAATATTTCAACTCTCTGAAACGTTTGTGGCAGGACCTTGATTTGTTCAGCGATTATGAGTGGAAATCGCCTGAAGATTGCAACCATTACAAAAAGAAGGTGGAAGACAACCGCATCTTCAAGTTTCTCATTGGACTCAATGTCGAGTTTGATAAAGTGAGAGGCAGAATAATTGGACAACAACCCTTGCCTTTAATCGGTGAAGTCTTCTCCGAGGTTCGAAGAGAGGAAAGTCGCAGGCTGGTCATGCTTGGAAAAAAGTTATCAAATGGTGCTGTTGAGACCTCTACCTTGGTCGCATCCGAAGCGAATATTGGCAGGAAACATAATGAAAAGCCCCGTTTTTGGTGTAACCACTGCAACAAGCCTTACCATACCCGTGAAACCTGCTGGAAAATTCATGGTAAACCAGCAAATTGGAAGAGTAAGCAGGAAAGCAGATTCAACCAGGAAGGTAGATTCAACCGAGCCCCATCAGCTCATGAAGCCGAGGCACTTCCCTTCAACAAAGAACAGATGGATCATCTTCTAAAATTGCTGAAATTCAATTCCTCATTTGGTACTCCTAATGCTTCTCTTGCTCAAACAGGTAACAACCCGAAGGCCTTATCTTGTCGTTCAAATTCCAGTGTTACCCCATGAATCATTGATTCAGGGGCTTCTGACCATATGACAAGTTTTTCTCATTTATTTCAAACTTATTCACCCTGTTCTGGCTCTGAAAAAATCAGAATAGCCGATGGTTCTTCTTCTCCTATTGCAGGCAAAGGTTTGGTAAAACTTTAAAAAATTATTAATCTTAAGTCCGTCCTTCATGTCCCTAAGTTTGCTTGTAACCTTTTATCAGTTAGTAAATTGTCTAAAGACTCTAATTGTCGTGTTATCTTTTTTGAATCCTATTGTGAATTTCAGGACCAGAGCTTGGGGAAGACGATTAGCAGTGCTAAGATGATAGATGGTCTCTACTATTTTGAAGATGATATTTCAAGTATAAAAAGCTCAAGGTTTGAGTAGTTTTCGTTCTATCCCTGTTAGAGAACAAATAATGCTATGGCATTTTAGACTAGGGCATCCTAGTTTCCCTTATCTTAAAAAATTATTTCCTTCTTTGTTTAAAGGATTGGATTGTTCATCTTTTTATTGTGAGAATTGTTTTTTATCAAAGAGTCATCGTACTACGTATTCTCCCAAACCTTACCAAACATCAAAACCATTTTATTTAATCCATAGCGATGTTTGGGGCCCTTCTAGGATCACAACTCTTTCTGAAAAAAAATGGTTTGTGACTTTTATTGATGATCATACACGTTTGTGTTGGGTGTATTTAATGAATGAAAAATCTGAGGTTGAAAAATTATTCAAGGATTTTTATATGATGATTGAAAATCAATTTCAAACAAAAATTGGCATTCTTCATACTGATAATGGCACCGAATATTTTAATAAAGTTTTAGGAAGTTTTTTAACAGACAAAGGAAATTTTCACCAATCCACTTGTGTTGACACGCCCCAACAAAACGGAATTGCTGAAAGAAAGAATAAACATTTACTTGAAGTTTCTCGTGCCATCATATTTTCAATGAATGTTCCTAAGTATTTGTGGGGTGAAGCTGTTTTAACAGCAACATATTTGATTAACAGGATGCCTACTCGTGTTCTTAACTATTTTACACCCCTTGAAAGCCTTAAAGTTTTTTTTCTTGAAACTCGGATTTATTCCAACCTGCCTTTGAAAGTATTTGGGTGCACTGTCTTTGTCCATTTACCTAGTAGACTTCGGTCTAAATTGGATCCTCGGGCTGAAAAATGTGTATTTGTTGGGTATGCCCCGAATAAAAAGGGGTACAAATGCTTCAATCCGAAAAAAAAAAAATGTTTATCAGTATGGATGTCTTTTTTCTAGAAAATCATCCTTATTTTCAGAAAACTTTTATTCAGGGGGAGAAAGAGAGTGAAGAAATTTTTTGGGAGATTTCTACTAATATTCCCTTACCTAAAACTATTGTCTCACACTCTATTACTCCAAACACTGATCTTTTTAAACAGGGAAATGATGTTCTAGAATTAGGAAACCCGGAGCCTCTTAGTCATAATCTGCCGAGCCTTACTGTATTTCCAACAGGGGGAGAAATCCTACCAACGGTTTCAAAAAAACCGAATCCTGAGCTTCTAGTTTATAACAGGAAAAAGACTCATCAAAAGAGTAGAGAGCCTACTATTGTACCTGAGCAAGGCCAATCAGAGGTCCTGAGCAATGACTCCCTGAACACTCAAGGTACTCTAAATCCTAACTTGTCTACAGTTGTCCCTACTATTTCTGATCGTACAGAGTCACCTAGCCAAGTTCCTGTAGACCTTGATAGCCCTATAGCTGTTAGAAAATGAATCCGAACCTGTACCCAGCATCCCATTGCCAAATACTTGTCTTATGATAAACTTTCCCATAAACATAGGGCCTTTACTTCAAATATTTCTCACTTGTTTGTTCCAAGAAACATTCAGGAAGCATTAGATGATCCGAATTGGAAATCAGCAGTGTTAGAGGAGATGAATGCTTTTAAAAGGAGTGGAACGTGGGAGATAGTTGACTTGCCCAAAGGAAATAAAACTGTTGGGTGTGAATGGGTTTTCACTATTAAGTGTAAAGCTGATGGTAGTGTGGAAAGGTACAAGGCAAGACTTGTGGCGAAAGGTTTTACGCAAATGTACGGCATTGATTACCAAGAGACGTTTGCTCCTATAGCAAAAATAAATTCTATCCGAGTCTTATTGTCGTTGGCAGTCAATTCTAACTGGCCATTACATCAATTGGACATAAAAAATGCCTTTTTAAATGGAGACTTGGAAGAAGAAGTGTTTATGAGCTTGCCACCTGGGTTCAAAGGAAAACACAATCAGAGCAAAGTCTGTAAACTCAAAAAATCCCTGTACGGTTTGAAACAGTCTCCAAGAGCGTGGTTTGAACGCTTTGGAAAGGCTGTGAAGAATCATGGGTATCACCAGAGTCAGGCAGACCATACCATGTTCTACAAACACAGTGAGGAAGGGAAAATTGCCGTTTTAATTGTGTATGTGGATGATATAATTTTGACAGGTGATGACATTGAAGAGTTGACCAGACTGAATAAGAAACTTGCTAAAGATTTTGAAGTCAAAGATCTGGAAGCATTAAAATACTTCCTTGGAATGGAATTTGCCAGGTCAAGAGAAGGAATTTTCGTGAATTAACGAAAATATGTACTTGATTTGCTTAATGAGACAGGACTACTCGGGTGTAAAGCTGCTGACACTCCAATTGAAGTCAACCTGAAGTTAGAAGCTGCCGAACCCGAGAATATGGTTGATCGTGAAAGATATCAAAGATTGGTGGGCAGGCAGTATAGTTGATAGATGATCTACCTCAGGATATTGCACCTTCGTTGGAGGAAACTTAGTTACGTGGCGAAGCAAGAAACAAAATGTAGTAGCGAGGAGTAGTGCAGAAGCCGAGTTCAGAGCACTCGCCCATGGGATTTGCGAAGCTATATGGTTAAAAAGACTCCTTGAAGATTTGAAGGTTACTGTTTCTCCTCCAATGAGAGTCTACTGTGACAACAAAGCTGCCATTTCAATTGCTTATAATCCAGTTCTCCACAACAGAACCAAACATGTGGAAGTTGACAAACACTTTATCAAGGAAAAGCTTGATTGTGGTATGATTTGCATTCCTTATGTCTCTACTACTGAACAAGCTACAGACATCCTTACCAAAGGACTACACAAGAGACAGTTTGAAGTTTTAAGAAGCAAGCTAGCTATGAAAGACATCTACAAGCTAGCTTGAGGGGGAGTGTTGAAAAAGAGATATTCGGTTTTAATAAGACCAGATTTTAGGGGATATGATAGGCGTGTAAATATAGATAGTCAATGACCAGATTTTAGGGGATATTTTAGTGTACAACCTGTAGCTTCTATTAGTGTACAGCCTGTAGCTTCTGTTAGTATACAGCTTGTAATTACAGCCTATAGTTTGCTGTTACAGCCTGTAGTCAGCTTGTAGTTTCCTTTTTTTAGCCCCTTGTATTTCCTATTTAACTAAAGCATTGTAAACCATTCAACGTAAGGCAAAATACAGATTCCTTTCAATCTTTGAAATCGCCTATTGTTTGTCCTTTTTCTGCTCTTGTGTTGCCTTACTCCATAATTTAGTTGAATCTTTAGTTTATATACAATCGTAAATGTGAACCCCATGAGCCAGATCGCATCCTTCCCTCTAATAAAAATCCCCTCTTGCTCCTATTAGCTTTTGTATATGTGAGGAGAGTTAGGACACTTTGAGATAAAATCCTTAATGATAAGTTGCTTTATTTAGTTCATTTTGTATTTTTCTTTTTATTTATTTTTTTTTGGGGGGAAGGGGGGTGGCTCAAAAAGGAAGTTGCTTGTGCAAGATCATCGACGATGGTGAGAGTAATCATCTTGTTTTCCATTTATTCCATGGATGATGGAGGATCGTCTTTGATGATGGGCAAGAGGTTGTGCCAGCTAAAGGAATCCGCTGTGCTTGGCTAGTAGAGACCTTGTAAATCATGTAAAGTGTCCAAGAGGAACTACCTTTCGGGAAGTGGAGATGTTTATTCATTGAATTAAAAAAGCTATGATTGGTTTTTTACTTTTGGATTTTTACAATTCTCATGGGAAGTATATAGTTCTTAGATTCTTTACACTATTTTCTTAAATCTTTGAGGAGATTTGAATTCTATAGGATGGATGTGAAGATTTCTATTGTAGTTTGGTGACTCATGTATACTTTGCGTGCCCATGAATTGTGCTTCTCTTGTACTTTTGTTTATAATAGAAATTTACTTATACAAGAAATTCAGGAAACAAGATGCTGAAAAAAATGAATAGATTTCATGTGTGTGTGTTTGGGTGGGTGGGTGCATGGTTGGGGCCAGGGTCCGGGAGCTGGTGGCGAAAATTTTGTTTTTGCCCATTAATGCTTTCAGTCAGTTGCGAGCCATGTTCCCATCTAAATTTCTATGGTTTCTAAAACCTTATTTCCTCTCTTTAGATCATGTATCTTGACCCTGTATAACGGGTTCAATTGTTTGAGTTCTATGTAGACTAAAACCTATTCTAGCTAACGTGTATGGTCTATTTCAGTTGTATGTAGGTTTGTTAGGCCACACTTGCTGCACAGCATGTATAAGCTCCTTTTGTGTTTTTTGGCCTAGTTTTATAGTTTGTAAGTCTTATCCTTTTCCCTCAATGTTGTACTAGCATTCAAAATCCTGCCAAGTCCGAAAGGATAGATACACCAGTGGTTTTCAGTGGTTTTCGCTGGATCTTTCATGTCAGTTTATAATATGATAGTGTATCAGACGGTGATTCTATCAACACGATGTGATGCTATCTCTTTCTTATTTTATTATTTTGCACCATTTTGTTTTGTTATTTTTCACAAACAAGTTATCTAAGTTCATCAGCAGAACTGTTTCATACAACAATATTTTATTCTTTATATCAGACAAATTGATGACATACACAGCATTTTCCAGCTTCCCACTTTAGGTTTATGAGAACAATTAGTTAAGTCGTTTACTAATTTGCTATCTTGGTTCCATCATCTAAGTTTAGCAATGCTTTTCTCTATTATTTATTTATACTCAAAGTTCAAACTGTTATTTAAGGTTTTTGTTAAGGTTGATGCTGGGGTTTACATAATTAAATCACCTTTTTAAAATGATATTGCAGGTTAGGGAATATGACGACAAATGAAACAGGCAATTTACGTTCTGCTGGGGTATTTCAAGTTTTGGATGTTGGTTGTGGGGTTGCCAGCTTTTCAGCTTATCTACTTCCCTTAGATATACAAACAATGTCGTTTGCTCCCAAAGATGGTCATGAAAACCAAATTCAATTTGCTTTGGAGCGAGGAATTGGTGCTATGATTTCTGCTTTAGCCACAAAACAGCTGCCATATCCCAGTAGCTCATTTGATATGGTTCACTGCTCAAGGTGTCGTGTTGATTGGCACGAGAATGGTAAGGCATTGATGTCCTATAAGAGGAATTTGTTATATATATATATATATATGTAGTTAATATGTTTCATTTTAGATAAATATAGCTTTTCAATTATCTTGCTGGACCACTTCATGCATTTAAATGATGAAGTGATAATTGATGCGGTGATTAGAAAACTTAGTGATTACTATGATGTAGTATGGGACATCTGTGAAAACCAGTTGTAAATTACATACATTGCAATGCAGATTCAAGTATCAAATTTGTTTTTACCATGGACTTCTGTAGATATTGGTATTTCTTGCGTTTATAAGACCTTGACTTCTCTATTAAGTTTCATATGGTTGATTGGGTTTTCAGTTGTATAAGAGCTCAGTCTATCAGGCTATCTCTCGATGGTTATGGTTAAGGAAGATTGGTCTATTATGTGGTACGTCGGATACCCTACACATAAGTTAATACGGTTAACACATGCCATTTTTGAGGCTGAATAGTATACCACCAGTTACGGAAATGTAAAGCCAAGATTTCTTGTCGCTATTACTTTTATCAGGTTTCATAGTCTAGTTATGATAACTTTACCTGCCATTAATATATAATTTTTTCTTCATTTCTCCACAGTACTGTATGACCACACATTATATTTCACTCATTAGGATTGGAAGTTCTTGTCTGAAGAAGCGTGTGATGTACTTTGCTTGTTGCCATTAATGTCGTCACATCATTACCAAGTCCTCTCCCCATTATGATTTATGACTTAAAACTGATTGAAAGCCTGTATAATAGCGCTGTACCAAGAAAAGAAACAAAAAATCAAGAGAAGAAAAAGAGAGCGTCTTTAAGTAGTTGATATGGATGTGTATGATCAGTGCTCCTCATGAAACAATATGTATGAATCACTAGTTTGAATCGAAGATGACATATTTGATCAATTTTAAGAAGAAATGCCTTATATCACAGAGTCACTCACTTTTATATTTACCAAGTAGTTGAAGGTACTTATTCTCAGGTTATTGTCACTGCAAGTTTGTTTACAAGTTTTCGTTTACTGTGTATTCGGAAAAACTGTGTTCGTATAGTTTATGTCGTAAACCAATTGTCCTCTTACTCTGTCGTCGGATCCATTCGGATATTGTGCAGATGGTATTCTACTAAAAGAGGTGAATCGCCTCCTCCGGTATAATGGATATTTTGTCTATTCAGCTCCACCTGCTTATAGAAAAGATAAAGATTTTCCGATGATATGGGATAAGTTGACAAATATTACTTCTGGAATGTGCTGGAAACTTATTGCTCGGAAAGTTCAGACAGCGATCTGGATTAAGCAAGAAAATCGGCCATGCATCCAGCAAAATGCAGAGCAAAAGCTTGTAAATATATGTGATTCTGTGGATGATTCTAAACCATCATGGAATACACTACTAAGGAACTGTATAACGCTAAGTAATGCAGGATCTGATTCTCGGAAACTCCCCCCAAGGCCACAGCGTCTCTCAGAATATTCAGAAACTCTCAATCATATAGGTCTGTCCAAGCTCTTTTTTAATATTTCTCTACTTCTTTCCATTTTCCAAATCATTTTAAATCATGTCAACTTAAGAGTAATTAGCCTTAGAAGCATTGCTCTGTGCGCTGCTCAGTGAACATAGAATTTTAACTGCATAAGACAGCCATTTATATATATTATAATGGTGATTTGTTTTCTAGAACTTAAATCTTGAAATTAAGAATGGGCATATGATTTAGCAAAAACCATTATTTAGGCTAGTAATGGGGCTTCCCAATAGTTAGCTGCAACGTTCTGATAAATAATATGTCATAACTCATAAGTTAGGATCAAAATGGTGATGGAAAGTGACATTGGGTTAGCATGCATAATCATTATTCTCCCTGCATTTAGCGAGGATGAGTGATCCGCGGAACTAATTTATGTGATATTTTTGAAAAAAAAATATCCGGGTGTATATGTTACTCAGTATCATAAATTATGAATTCAGGTTATGTTTATTAGGTAAAACCTGCAACATTGACCTTGAATGTCATATATTTTGAAGGATCATTAAGAATTGAGTGGAAGCCTCATTTCTCTTTTGTATTTCTTTTTCCACTTTCTACTATACACCCCACCCCAACTACCACCTCAAAGAAAAAAATAAAAAATCTCCCAACCAAGAAAGAACTCTTGGCTATTGTTTGGAAACTGGAAATTAGCTAGCTCTAGTTGCATGAAGTTGAGGACAATAAATTTTTTAACCTCAGGCATAAACATCTGGAAGGATTACATAGCACCATAAGATTGATTAAACCTGACTTCCTATCAACCATTTGGTACTCTCCTTCAATGTTTCTTCACTTACTCTTCTACCCACAACTGAAATGAAAGAATTGGGTTTGGCTATGATGATTTTCTTTAATCAATCTTAGTCAAACATCACTCTTCCTGTTATAGGAGATGCATGGTCTGATAAATAAACTTATTGTTGCACTTAAGAAGGATAGATATGCATTTTTTAGACATTAGAACATGCTTGTTCTTGGGCAGTATTTGGGCCTGGTACCTTTCTCTTAATCCTTACAGGCTTGATCTGATAAATTTTGGCCTTTGTGAAACTTTGATTGTTGGAAACCTTAATAACTGGCTGTTTCTAGTAAATTTTTAAGTCAGTTTGGCTTAAGAACTATCATTAGACTATTCAACAAATAAGAATGGTGTCAACATTAAACAAACAATGAAATCAATATGAATTTGATGTTTCAAGAGAGATTAGTGAATCTGAAATATGTGGTTAGTGTATTTAAAGTTTTAAACTACTTGTTATATTTTGTTTTGGATTTTGTGTTTAGGTCGTTTTGCTTGATTTCTTGGAGCAACCATGTAAGGTTTAGATTTTTTCCTTCCTCAAAATGGTTGTCAACATATGAAAAATGAGATGAACAATTAGCAATCATATTACTGTTTCATTTGAATTTTTGCACTAAAATTACTTATAAATCTATGAAGAATGTTAATTTAGTTTTATTTTTATTTTTATTTATTTATTTTTGCATGAAAAGCAATGTTGTTGGTCTAATATGGCAGTTATACTTGACTGTAGGTATCAATCAAGAGAAATTTATTTCAGATACCATCTTCTGGCAAGATCAAGTTCGCCATTACTGGAGGTTGATGAATGTTGACGAGAGAGAAATACGAAATGTCATGGACATGAATGCTCTCTTTGGTGGATTTGCAGTTGCTTTGAATACATGGCCTGTTTGGGTGATGAATGTAGTTCCAGTAAGCATGAATAATACATTGTCTGCTGTTTACAATCGGGGTCTCGTAGGTGCTTTTCATGACTGGTAAGTTAATATCTACATAATGAACATTGGTATTGTATGATAACTTTTCAACTAACAAATATTATACGAAATTTGCTCTGCTGCTCATAGGTGTGAGCCATTCTCAACATATCCACGGTCATATGATCTGTTGCATGCCAATCATCTTTTTTCTCATTATAGAAAGCGTGAAGAAAGTTGCTTACTTGAGGATATCCTTCTTGAGATGGACCGTATTATTCGACCTCAGGTAATTATTTTGGTAAAACTCATTTTTATTGCTCGTAGACCTTGGACAAATCAAAATTTATTCTCTGTTTGATCTGTTGAAACTATTCTGCATTTAAATAAGGGGCCATTGCTTGCTGTAATGAGAGAAGTTCCTGCTCTAAGTGCGAGAACTAGAGGATGAGTTGAAGGGCAACCATTTTGTGCAAATAATGTGATGCAAAAAGAAGAAAATCTTCAGGCAGAACAGTGAAACATGACACATATAGCAGATCCCTATACTTGACAAGGCTTTATTCAGTTGAATTGAGAAAAAACATATTTCCAGAAAACCTTATTTGGTTATAGAAAGAGATTTTAAAGACCTAAAAGAGAGAACCACAGCCAAATACAGTTCTGGTCTGCAATTGAGATCCTTTTTCTTGAAGAACAATTCAATAAAATCTGGAAAAACTGATTACAACTTCTTCAGGTAGGTTCATTTATATAGTTGATAATTCTAGCAGTATTGAATGCTAACCATTAGAGCTGTCTATTCTCAGGCATATATCATAATTCTATCAAAGAAAATTAAAAAGACAAAGTATCACCTACTTTAATATGAATGGTGTTGTGCTACAGTAACTTGTGAACAATATTGCTACGTTAAGCACAATCCATGAACGGTCATGCTACAGTTACCCTTTAAATCCATCATTTTCCCTGGGCTAAGGAGATTCAGTTTCTATGAGAACAGTTGAATATACGGATAATAATTGTTTTTTTGTTTTTTTCGGAAAGTAAGTTAGTTGTATTGTATTGAAATAGAAGAAGTATACAAGGCAAAAGCCCAAACAAAAACAGATAAGGCTACCTACAGAGCCCATTCTATAGCAGAAAAGGCAGGCCCAAAGCCAAGCCAAATTAAACAGTTGCCCTAAGACAAATATAGGCTAAAGTAAACCCTAGACTAACGTTGTCTCAGTCAACATGTGCATCCGGTGGTTCCAAGTAAGAGGCAGAGCCTCCGACGTTCAATCCGGCTCCGGCGGTGGCCTGATGATGGACTGGGGTAGATCCCAGTCAAGGATGATTCTCCGAGCCGACGCTGAGTCTTTAATCCGCATGGAAAGCAGTCGCTGCTTCACCATGTCCATTGTTTGATTCAAAACCCTTGATTGAGAGCTTCTTTGATTCTTGAAGGCCCGGTTGTTGCGTCATTCCAGATCTGAGTAACAGTGGTGGACAGAACGATTTTGTTGATCGAATTCTGCAAATTCCGAGAGCTCCAGCGCTGTGATGCCCAATTGACAAATCTGTCCCAGTTGAGATGAGCCACCCAAAATCTACATTTATATTGTAGGAAGGACCAAATTGGCTTCGTGAAGGAGCATGTGAAGAACCAATGGTCGTGAGACTCCTCGGTCGTTTGGCAGAGACGGCAGAGCCTAGATCCAGTGAATGATTGCATACATCGACGGTCATAGGTGGAGAGGCGTCCTTGAACTGCAAGCCATAGTGTAAATTTGCATCGCGGAATAGAAAAGGAATTCCAGACCAGGTGATGCCACACTTTGGGTTGGTGGTGCGGGGCAAGCCATTCCACTGTATGGCAGAGCGAAAATTTCCCTATGGAGGAGGGGAGCCAAACGTCGATGTCTGAGGATTGGGTTGGTGGATCAATAAGCAATAGATCCGGGAAATGATGAATCATGGCTGGAGGGAAGTCCCAAGTGTTATTATTTGTAAGAGAAGAAAGTTTCTGCGCACGGATAATAATTGTTGGGTCAATTTGCTTCAGCTACTCTTCAGAAATCTAACTACCTACTTTGTGGGTTTATTACCATTTCACTTGAAATACATTGACTACTGATTATTCCTTCAAGATGGAGCCTCCTTCATGTTGAACACATTCTTAGTCACATCCCTAGACATCTTTGGTAACTGGTTAATCGAACTTTCATCTGTTAGCTGCTCAATGTTGCCATCAAACCCATAGAAAGTCGAATAAATCCAACAAACTGAAGGTAGGATTGGTTTGAATCTGTTTAATGCGCATATGATAAGCTTTTGAATATTCACCCATCTGCACATCTTGTGGCAATAACAAAAGATCTAGATGTTCTCGATATCAGGAATATACAGACATGTCCTGGCACATATTGGAGATATTTAGTTCATTGGAGAGATCATCCATTGATGGATTGTTCGTGATCTGTGAGACTGAGTTCAGATGATGTTGAGGAATTGTTAGATTAATTTAATCTTTTATTTATATATTGATGGTAATTTTTCCTGGTATGTTAGTTTTTACTTATTTTCTTTTGGTGTTATGACTTAAAGATGTGGAGATCACTTAAGTGCCTAAGGTGATGCACGTGTCAAACTAACTAGATTAAACGATTACATGTGATGGGCATAGCATCTAGCAAATATATTATCCATTAATTCATGCGATTTTCAATCTCCTGCTGGTATGGTTATTACACCCTTCTTGCTGCAATCAATTTATTTATCCAAACATCCTTTTGCCATCCGCGTCTTTTTTGCTGCACTCTATTGTTTATACTTGACATCCTGGACGACAATAATCATTGTGCATAGCATTCAAACTTGGATATCCTACAACTGAGAACATTATTAAGTATGCCTTTTCTTTGGGCGAGTAAACCTTTTAGTTCTTTAGGACTGGTGATGCCTTTTTTTGTTTTTGTTTTCGTGATTAGTGATTTAAACTTTACAAGAAGAATCCCACTTTAAAAGTGGCTGTAGTTTTAGCCGATTCGGAAGTGTAAAACCTTGACCGAGTTTTGTATCTCATTAATTGACTTGCCTTCCAAGCTCTTGAGCTATGTGATTTATTGTTTAGGATTTTACTTGACTATTTAGAAATTATCTAAGATTTTGAAAACATTAATGTGCAGGGATTTATGATTATTAGAGATGATGCATCCATTATATCAAGAATACAAGATATTGCTCCTAAATTTCTTTGGGAGGTTCAATCACATTTACTGGAAAATGAACAAAAGAAAACGGAACCAGTGCTAATTTGCAGGAAGAAGTTTTGGGCAATTGCCTAAGGTTACCAGCATTCAGAGCTTTGCAATGCAGGTTTTTTCAATTTTTTAATTTTTTATGTCCACGCGTGAATAGGTTGCTTGTATCATGAGGCTGCTGTATTTGATCTTCCATTTTTTGGCCTGTATTTGCAAATGCTTAATGGCCATGTTAACCGAAGGAAGATAGAAACTTAATAGTTTGTTGGTTTTTAATTAATTTATAGTATATGTTTAGAGAGGTTTTAGTTCATGAATTTGTGTACAAAATGATTGACCTGGGTTTATTCCTCCTTCTTGAACAAACAGAAATTTAGTATGTTTCCTTTGAAAAGGTAGAAGTGTAATCAGCTTAGCATGTGTCATATATATATATATATATTTCGCTCACAGGGTCATGCACAAATTATGTACATCCAATAGGGTGTAAGATATGCATCATGATTTATTATCTAGTGAAATATAATAGGCATTGTTAAAATATTCCCATTGAAGAGTGAACCTTTTGCACCTTGAAAGAGACCAATTGCTTGGTGGGTGTGAAGGCAAATGGAGCAACAGAAGCAGTAGTGGAAGAATTGGCAACAGAGAAGATCTTCTTATACGATTTTTGAGTGTTAACAGAAATTGATGCTACAACATGCAATTGCTATTAGTGCAAGTTTTACCAAGTATTTATGTTTTTGGCTAGTAAAAACTAGAAGTTTTTCCAAGTTGAAATCCTTTTCACATTAATTTAAAGCTTGATTATAAGAAATGATGGAATTAGGAGATGGTGGTATTGGTTAGTGTTGGAAGCTTGTATGTAAGAAAAGAGTTGAATGATGGTGACTATTGTAAGTAACACTGGACTTTTTGTCATCCATCCCTCATACTGTAGTGGTAATGCTTCATTTTTCCACGAAGAATAGTTTTAAACCAACATGTGATGAAAGTTGTGTAATGGAGTTGAAAAATGTCACCAATTTGGAAGTCGGCAAGAATCCAATTATGATGGCTGGAATCTGGGGTAATTTTCATTGGAGTTTAACTAGATTCTCTCACACTAGACAATGCCGTGTTTGGCACACTAGAGTAGAGTAGAGTAGAGTAGGCTTCTATAGCAAGAAGCCCAGCCCAGCCCTTGGCCTGAAACCATGTTAAAGTACTAGGAAGGATGACGAGTTACACTTGGGAATTGTGGTGTTAAAAAACATGAAGGAAAGGTGAGAGAGGAAGTAGGTTATGCTATTACTCCAATGTGGTGGTGACCGGCTGGCTTGCTTTTCATCATCATCAACTCCAACTATATTTGTTAATAATAATAACAACCCACATTAATAAATCAATCACAATGCGCGTAGTCTCACCAGGTTTCTGCCTAATTAATTAATTAATTAATTGTTTTGACATTTTCTTTTTCATGTATGTATTATATAATAATATTTACAAATTTTGAACCAGCTTACTAGGCTCATGTAGGAAACTTATGAGAAAGAATGGGGGAGGAAAGAGTGTAATGAGCAGCATCCCGTTCCATACCCTGCATGGAAGTGGCGGACAATGTAGTAAATTAAAGAATCACCAACGAGGAAGCAACTAATTGAAACTTGAAAGAGACTAGGGAGAGAAAAAAAGTGATATATATATATATATATATATAGAGAGAGAGAGAGAGAGAGAGAGAGAGAGGGTGGGGGAGGGAATTGAAGTTGACATGACAAGACAACCCCACGCTTGTCTCCCTGCTTGCCCCACCCCTCCACCTTCCATTATGTGATTTGCAGAATTTGCCATTTGCCATTTGCCCCCACTCACACTCTGATTTTGTGATTGACGTTTTGGCTGCTTCTTCTCTTACTCCTCTTAAGGCCCAGTTTGGTTGGTGGGTGATGAAATAAAAGAAAGGAAAGGTAATGGAAGAAAATGAAATATTATATTTGGTATATATTACATAATATATATTATTAAAAGAAAAGAAAGGATACGAAAATATTTGAAAATATACAATTTAGGCGAAAAGTGGAAGGAAATATAATTAATGTTAATGAAACTTTTTAAATATTAATTTTGTCCTTATTTTTATAAAAGATAAAATTTATACAAAAGAGTATAATAGTAAATTTATTAATATATATATATATATATTAAATATGATATTAATATCATTTTTTTTTTCTTTTCCTAATCAACCACACACAATAACTAGTTTTTTTTTTTTTCTTTTTCTTTTTCACTTTACCAAACATAACTTAATTTTTTTTTTTTTTTAACTTACCCACCCCGACCCCCACCACCGCCACCACCTTCTTAATTTATGCTTCTTGTTTTTTCCTTCATTATATATCTTACTTACCCCTCCCCTGCATGCTCTCTCTCTCTCTCTCTGCCCCCTCTCTGCCCCCTCTCTGTCAGTCGCGCGCACAGTGGGCCTAAATATATTCAAATGGACTTTAGAACAAAAAGAGTATATGCGCATTAAAAATCTACAATTCTTTTAAATTCAGGAAACAGAAAATAGTTATTTTTTTAAAATAAATAAATAAATAAACATATTTGACTGTTTTGTTAAATTATGGCATAGCTAGGACAACGTTATGGTCCCATACTCTTTTAATAGAGGTTTGATATTCATTTCCATAAACTTATTTATGATTATGAGTAGTGATATATGTAAATTATATTAGCCAAATTACACACCATTGAACGTTTAATCTTTATTACTTTAATGTTTTTTTGAGATTTGGCGAGTGCTCAACTGTTAATGAAAATTCAAAAAATGACTAAGTTACTCTTTCGATATATTAAAAAACTCCAATAACCTTATATTTTGATATAAAAGGACAAAAGTATTATGAATTGCATAGTATCAATTTCATTCCAATTTCATATTATTGTAATTTACATTTTTTGTTTTTGTTTTTGTTTTTAATGACATTTGATTGGGTTTATTTTTCTTTCTTCTACTTCTTTTTGTTTTTAAGCAAAAATAAATAAATAAATAAAAATAGGGTAATATAGTATTTACAAGAAGCATAAAAGGTAATAGATTCTTTTTGTTTGAGAGATTTTTTTTATTAAATTATTATTAAATTAGATAAGAATATGAAAAATATTTCACATTTTTAAGAGACGTTAAAATAATAAAGGTCAAAGTTTCATATATATATATATATATATATATATATATATGTAATTTAAAATATTATATATGTCAGTAGGCATCAATATAGCTTTGACGATAAATAGGAGCTTGGCCATATATCATCGTCATATGTAGTTGATTGAAAAAAATATAAAGAAGAGAATTAAAGTTTTTAGTCACCCAGGAAAAAAAAAAAAAAAAAAAAATTGAAGTTTTTAGTCACTCATCACGAGTTCATATTAGTGTTGTTTACAGGATAATTAATGAGATCTGAACATGATTGTTGTTTGTACCTACTACCTGCACATGCATATATATATATATATATATAAAGTCTTAAGCAAGATAAAACAGAACATTATACGATTGCGTTTAAAGGTTGTTCATCCATATATATACGTAAAGAAAAAATTTAGTACACCTACATGTAATGGACCCAATCCAACTAAGAACAAATTAATGATATGTAGTAGTACTGAACTTAGAACAGAGTGTTAATATATATATATATATATATATATATATACATTGCAGCAGGCCTGAGCAGATCAATAGAGGTTAATTGATGAAAGCAAAAGGAACAAAACAATACTGAAAGAGGAGATCGACGTGATCCAGGATAAATCAATAGAGTGCGTGGATGTTAGGTTTTGTCATAAATGCCTCGTGAGAGTCAGTGCCCACATCTGCAACCTTCCTAAAACCAATACTAATCCTCTGTACAATGCCAGGTACTAGTAACTGTTTATGTATATATATATACATACAAATATATATATATGAGCATTGGTTTTCACTCTTCAATCATATATATATATATATATATATATAGGACTCCTCACTTATGTGTCAACCAATCACCATGGCAAGCATTGGTTATCTACGGACGCTAACTATTTCAAATGGGAGTAGTTTGATTCATGCTACGACCAACATTATCGTGAATTTGTTTAACTTTTGAAATTTGCACAATAAATACTACGGAGTAGAGTAGTTCAAAGGAACCTGAGAGTTTAACCAAGTATTATGGGTATGCGCTTCAACTTTTAAAAAAAAAAAACCAAAACACACACACACACACATTGTCTGTCTAATAGATGATGCAAAATTCAATACATTAAAGGCCAAAATACAAATCTTTCTCAATGTAAGTTGGTTTGTTGTTTTAATGCATACAAAAAACAAGCACATGACAAAGAGAGATCCTACGGTGTGTAGCAATATGGTGAGTGTTGGACACGTGTCGAGTTGAATGATTTTTGGGTCGGGGGACCGCTTTTATAAGTGATCGTACGGTGTGTAGTAAAAGTTATAGACGGTGATGATGATGACAAGGATAGGTCAAGTCATAAGTCTACATCATATCCTAGCTTTGCCTTTAACCATTCACATTGTATGGTCACGTCAAACGGAAATCAAGAGACCATCGCACCTTAATTCCATCCGTTTTACTTGGTGTGAGGTATTTTTTATATAACCCATCAATTAAGTGACTTTAATGGCTATTTTGACCTTCAAAATTATCATCAACTACCTAGCTTGAAAATTATTGTATCACCTTTAACTAGTGCCAATAAGAGAGATCGAGTTCCAATGGTGGTAGTATTCATTGACTGAATTCATGGTGATGCAGTGGCGACAGTTATTCAAGTTGACGTGGACTCGCAATAATGCTACGTTTGACATCAATGAATTGACATTAAATTTAAAACATTCATTCAGTACTTTCAAATACAACATAAATATAATAATTAAGAAGAATGAGCCTTATTAAGGTCATATATTGGCCAGTTTTGTTAGAGTGAGCTGCACATTATTGTTTTTTCGAAGCCTAATTGAAATTTGCTTAGTATATATATAGTTTAATCCGACGGTTGCAATACTTTTTTTTAAATCCAAAGCACTGGTATGACATTAAACAAAAGCACCATGTTTATATATGTTAGCTATTATCTCTTGCTTTCAGAGCTTAATTGGCATGGAACAAAGTTAGTTTATATTATCGGGGTTCCTAAAACCTAACAAGGGAAGGCAAATTGGACTTCAAGCTACTATACTTATTTCATTCTTTATCCTTGAATACTATTGAGTGGTGATCCATTTTTTTTTTTTGGGGGGATTAAACCAAAACTTTTAAACTTGTTTTGTATTGGATGGGTTTTGATGTGATCTTAGTTTCTATTATAGGGGTGATAACGTGTTGTTATTTT